GTCTCAGAGAAATTGCTCATTACCTTTTTTGTTTTGTTCTTGTTTGTCATGTTTGCGAAATAAAACTTATGGCCTGTAGTATATTTGACTCTAAACTCGAGTTTCAAAAACGGTGCTTTTTCGTGCTAAATCGTTTTATCTAAATTCAGTTCCTCAAAAACTGAAAAGACTCGCTTTACATTATCTTATGATTGTTATCAGTCAACCGACACAACAAAATAACCTGCTAGTGTTTTTTCTTTGCTGGGACCTCTCTGCCAATCAAATTAGTAGCACTATTGTAAAAAAAGGAAATTTCTATCACACTTTCAAAATAAAAATCTCACGATGGCGCATGCTGATGGCGAAAAAATGATTCACCCTTAGTCATCATTTGCACGTCATTTGTTCAAACACTGCGACAGAAACTTCCTACATGAAAGCCATTTTTAAATTGAAATCCCTTGATTCATTATAGCGATTTACTGGATTAGAAGCTATGAATTGTTTTTATGTGTACCATTTCAAATCTCACACAGAAAATAGGAGACCTAGTGAAAAAAGTGAAAATCATAATTGATATTCGTTTAAGATAAATTCTTAGTAAATCCCATCTACTTTCCGGTACAACTCATATGCATCTTTATCCATCAGAATGACAGGTTCCTTGCTTTCGTATTCATTATCACCAAGCTTATAAGAAAGTAGGTTGTCAAGATCTCAGCGACAGGTGCATAATTGTAGACCTCTGACTATGGCGCTAATGATAAGTATATTTACTTAGAGAACGACATGCTCTTAAGTTCTTAAAGGGATCCTCATCCTAACTGAATGAAAAAAATATTTGATAAACAGCAAAAGTTAGAACAAAACACTAGTATCACCCTGATCATAATCTTGAAATGAGCATCGGAGGCTATAAAAGAGGGATATACCGTGAAATCACTTTGGATTTCTTTCTTCCATGATGCAAAAGAACTGTAAATGAAGATAGTTTCCTTATTGGTTGTCTTCTAAGGCTATCGGTTTTAAAGCATTCAATGGCTGCATATCTGTGTTATTTTCACCAGGAAACGTTTTTCAAAACATATATTAATTATCATCTTATTTGCTTCTTGGTGAAATTGTTATCAGATTTACTCATTATAAAAGAATTTTCAAATTAAAATAGAATAAAACCTTTAGGGGCTCAACTAGGCTCTCTGAGGCGATCTCAGAATTAAAACCTTCGCTTTCGCTTCCTAAAGCATATTATCTGTGGAGTCTAAACAGATTGGCAGCGGACATCCGCCAAGTGTTTGTTTATCATTTATGCAATTTTCATGATAACCAAAGCGAGCTTAGTTCTTTTATTTTTAATTCGGAACTTAAACAAAGTGACTTTGAGAGATCCAATATTCACACTGCGAGCTAAAACATCCGTTTGCATCCATTACAATGAATCGTTCTTTCAGGAATGCTTAATTGCTGGCTCGTAGGATAATGGCTATAATATAAAAGTGAATATTACAACATGGAAAAAAACAAGCGACCTTAATTATTATTCAGGTGCACCCAATATTATTCGCCAAGTTTTCAAAGTAATCTAAATTAAAAGGTGAGCTCCAATAATTTAAAAGGGAAAAAAAAAAGAAATTGTTAAGAGTGAACGCTAGAAACCGAGATGCAGGTACTTCATCGTTAAGCGATCAAGCCATCTCTTCTTTTAACTCTCTATAAGGTTAACTAGGATAAATGTTTGTGTTTTGTAGATCAGATAGCTTCTTTCGGTTTTTTCTTTTTTAATTAAATGTGCTACCTCAAATATTAGGACAAAAATTGTTTTATCAAATTGTGAACCTTTTGGCCACTCTCGAGTTATCGCCTGATTAACTAGCACGTTGGTATCAGTTAATGCAGAGCAAACAAACGAATTGCAGTCAAGACAACTAATTCAGGTAAGTTCAGCCTCATAGGTGTTGAAAAAAGGATCTCTTCAAATAACATAGATCGCTGGAGTAATTTTGTTTGAAATTGATTCTCTGGTCTTTTTGTAGCAAACTTCGGTCTAATTTACATTTCGCAACCCGTCAACCAAGTCACAACAATGAAAGTTTTCGATTGTTTTTCAATACTGCTGTGTCAGACGGACGAGATTGTAAAACGCACCGATACATAACAAAGTTTATTATTATTCTTGTGATTTGGTGCCCGCATCGATACTTGAAGGCAAACAGTATAAATTAAGCTGATTTTTGATATGATAATTAGTTCGCATTATTTTCTTTACTTAATTCCCGGATACATTTCTTCTGAAGACATCATCAGAAATTGGCGTCAATCACTTCTACCTGTAAGTATCGCTTAATATAGAAAAGGGAAACGATCGAGTGAACGTGGTTCTGGCTAGTCTTTTGAGAAGGCCGTCGGACACTTTTTTCATTTTGATCAATGATTGCTTAAATGCAAAGAAGCGAAAATAAGGACTTGTACATCCTCATCATTGCAGAGTAGATAGCACAAGTTTCAATTCACGATAGCGATTAAGCGTTATTTGTCAACACAGAAATATAGAAATAATTCTCTAGAAATACCTTTTTTGATTTTCAGACGTTCAAGGCCAAGGGTTACTAACTCCTCTTCACACCTGCCGTTCTTAGAAACTTTTTAACCGACAAGTTTTCTGAGAAAGGCATCCCAGGCGTTCGTCCTTTTTGACGAAATTAGAACGAGAAGTGTCCAAAAAGCATCCGAATTTTCACAGTTTGTATTACGCCTCATTGCAATGATTTTTTTGGCAAATTCGATTCTCTTTGAAAATTCACGATGGCGTTTATTTCAGATGATGTCAGATTTTAGCAGCATTCATAATTTACCTATTTCAACAAGCAGAAACTGTCAAAGACTACTCATTTTTATAAAAATGTTGTCAACAAGTTGAAAAATAACGAAGGCCCAAGGATATGATAATTACCATTTCCCTCCGTGCACAGGTGGAATGCGCCTCAATTGTTCGGTAACGACAATATGCAGTCTGCCTGAAACAGCGATTTCCCACGACGATTTTCCCATGTCTTAATATTCAATGATAAACGGTGTTGAATAAGAATAATTGCATATTCCACAATGGTCATCTGAACATCAGAATCACTGATTCTTTTTTGTATCATTATTAATTTTAATCTTTGGCAACGTCTGAGCGTACAAAAATGCTATCATTTCATGTCCCATCCTGATAGTTGGTCTTGAATACTATCGACAGAAGACTTATACCTTACACGAAATTAGTTACCAAATGAAGAAAATTAAAGAGGAAAAAGATTTTCAAGCGCAACTAAAATAAGTAAGCGCCAGGTCAGGACAGTCTAGGGAGACCTATTATCATTATTCTTTGACAACGTCTGAGAGTACAAAAAAAGCTATCATTTCATATCCTATCCTGGTAGTTGGTTTTGAATACTATCAAGAGAAGACTTAAATTTTACATGAAATTAGTTACTAAATGAAGGAAATAAAGGAGTGACAAGAATTTCAAACAAATCTAAACTTTGTTAATGTATGGCGCCGGCTAAGGAGTCTAACCCTTTACCAAGGGCTGGACTGTCCGTCGGGAAACCTAATCGGCTATCACTTGACAATATAACTCGGTTACTTCCAGCCTGTTTTTTTTTTTTTCTTAATTTGAACAACCTGCTTCCAATTTGCATGAAAATGACTTTTAAAACAAATTGTGCCTATGGGGCGTCAAAGTGAAATTGAGAGTGATGTTTCAATTAGCTGCTACCGTTTTTGACCAGTGCTTCTATGAAGTTTGATGCTGAATTTATCACTTGATTAAAGCTGTTCGGCCTCAGGACAACAATTGCGACGCATGAAAGGAGTAACTGTCGACCACAAACAAACAGTTCAGGTCGGTGAATTTAACTATTTGATTTGAGACTTTTCCAATTTAAATCGTTTTCGAAGTTGCACGACATGATGTTCTGATAAAACTTGATCATTCCTTAAAACACTGGCATAAGCATTACTCACAAACTTCCTTTCTTTTTGCAAAACGCAAATGGAGTTTTCTCTAGTATAAAGTATTTCTGGGTCTGCTCCTAACAAAATATAAATGTCGACGTAAATTTTCAATAAATTTGGAGATCTCCTATCGTTGGATAAAACTCACTGGGTAAAAATAAAAGTTGATAAGCATTGCAAGAGAACAAGACGGTACCACAGCCTTGAGTCACCGTGCTGCAGCAAAGATAAGATATTTACATTAAAACGAACGAAATCGTGTAAGGAGAAATGTGTGTAAAACTAATTTAACTAATATATGTTAATGCATATCACAAGCAGGGAGCAAAAATGTTTTTCAAGCTAGAATATTCACTGTTCTTGGTTATTCTTTGGCGAATAAGCTGTTTATACAATATCTTTCGCATCAATTATGAAAGCATGTGTTTTCAAGTCATCATCTCAGCTGTTGTGCCCAGTTGTTGAACCAAGTCGGTGATCCTCTTCTAAAAGCTGTTAATTACTTCTGCCCATAGAAAAAGATGTTATAAGTAGGTAAAAATTCGCTTAAAATCTCGCTTAGAGTAGAAACAAAATCAAATCTAGTGTAGAATCATGCAAATGTAAATGAAAAGGCCACTGAAATTCGATTTTGAAAATTGGTTAGAAAAAACTGTCATGTAATTCGGAATTCGCCAAGGAACCAGGACTGTGTTGAATCTCAAAACTACTCAAGTTTACTTGAGCAAAGTCATTCATTTTTCAATGTTCTAAAGTTCTGAATAGTCGTCAGCCAAAGAAGTGGTCATTGAGAGAATCGTAAGAACCATTGATGAGCAAAGTTGAATATATGTCGCCAGGGGCACGTACACGTCGTCATCAATCCTCTTTTTAACACTGTCGACTAAGCTACATTACAGACACTGTCAAGTAATTTTTATGCATTTTCTTGGTGTAAAAACTTTTTAAAGTTAGGTTTGTGATTACTGGAAAAATTGCTTCTTTAGCAGGTCATGTTACAGATTTGACAGCCTCTCAAAATGTCTGACGTTGCCGTGACAATCATTCTCACCTTACTCATCATTGCGGACATCATTGGTAACTGTCTGGTTTGTTTTGTCATAAAGACAAACCAAGATATGAGGTGCGTTGAGCCTGTTCGAAAATAGTTTAAAAACCCTGCAGTTATCGTGCTATCTTTTTAATTCGTTTGTTTATTTTGTTGCTGTTTTCTTTTTTTTTTACCATCTACGACCTTTCCCATTATTTGTTATCACATTTATCCCACAGAACTCCCATCGATTACCTGCTTGTAAACCTGGCCATATCAGACATTACGTTCGCAGTATTTGTGGCACCAAACCATATTTTGAAAAAACTCTTCATCCATCCAGACGGAGCAATTGGTTCAAATATGTGCAAATTTCTAACGAGTGGAAACATGGCCTGGGTGGGTGCAGCTTCATCGTCTGTGACCTTAGTTGTAATAGCAGTTGAACGTTATTACACTGTAATGTGTCCTATAGGTAACACAAGAAAACTAAACAAGCGTACAGTAAAGGTAAGGAAGCATGAAACTGCAGTTTATTATCTCCTTCGTTCTCCTTAAAGTCGTTGAATTACTTGCTTCAAGAAATATTTCAGCTAAAAACCCTCAGTTTACAATGCTAAACTGCGTTATCACATTTTTTTTGGTTGCTTATCACGCATTTCAGATAATCATTTGTGGATGTTGGATCTTTGCACTGACTTTAAATTCGCCAATGATCTCAGTGACGACATTCGATGACGAAAGTAGCGACTGCAAGTGGGATTGGCCTGAACAGTGGATGGGTGTGGCAAATGAGACCACGTGGCTTGTACTGTTGGCTTGTATTCCTTTAGCGATAATGACAGGATTATACTCAACGGTTGTGTACAGTTTATGGTTTAAACGAAATGATGACCAGGAACTCGCCTATCGTCAGAAGGTAAGAACCAGACCAACATGACCATTCAGGGAATTGCAAGAGATCAGCTAGTACACTCCATTTGGGATACTGTACGGAAGATCACCGAGAGTCGCGGTAAAAAAAAATGAAAATATGCACTTCAACGAAAATTGATCTAAATCTGGCGGGAGTTCGAGTTCCTATGCGATTAAGCATTCGAGAGAAATAATGCCTTTCACGTTTAGCGTCAACATTAACTCTGCACACTCCATCACGTTGAAATTTCCAAATAATTTAGGTAAGAAACTTTTGTAGGAAGATCGACCACTGGATTTGTAATTTGTTTCCTTCTAATTTCTAGGGGGTCCTTAAGGTTAGGAAACGAGTCACTTTGAGTGTGATCACTGTCAGTGCCATATTTGGAATCTGTTGGATTACTGGCCTTCTTATTTACGTCCTGAGTTACTACGACATCTACATGTTTGGGGACGCTTCTTACGCCATTTCTGACACTCTGTTCATGTTTAATTCAGCAGTAAATCCTCTTGTTTATTCTCTGCTGAATGAGCGTTTCAAGAGGAAGATCAAGACCATGTTTTGCAGTAAATGTACATCCAGGGTTCATACCTTGAGTGAAAGTGCAAGTATAGAACTACCTAACAACCCGTCCCGTACCAACAACACTGCCGCTGGATATATCGATTAAACGTTTTAATAACGTGTACACATAAAGAAATATATTAAGGCGCATGCTTAACAATTATCATGAACGGAAAGTGCTAAGGTTATCACAAAATTATGGTTCCTTTGATCTAGATTTAACCGAATTTTGGAACAGAACATTTTCACTATCTTTATTGCATTTTTATAGTAGATTTATACCTATTCTACCCATTCAGAACATTATGTACTTGCAAGAGAAAATAAGGGGTTTCAAGTAAATTTCACTTGATACTTGATAAGTACATTGACGTTCACCACCCACATGCATGTATCTGTTTAGCTACTCATACAAAAGTATTTGTTGACGATTTAGGCCTAAAAGTATGAAGTCAATAGACGACAGAATTTAGGACTTGCATTTGAAATACGTACCTCATAAGATGAAGTGTAAACATTTCATTGCAATGGAAGTGTACAGTGGTATATTCTTGCAAGCGAAGGGTTCTTTCCAGAGGGACTCGTGAAATATATAAATAAATATATATAAATACTAACTTGACGATATCAAACATGAAACTCAGTCATCACTGAATATTAACAAGATACTTAAAATTCATATCCAACCACGCGAACTTCAGGTATTTTAATCATTGTGTGAGTTAGAGTCAACAGGGTTCCCGTGAAGTAACATTTATGCGATTTTTTAAAGAAGCATAATTCGTGAAACTCTTATTCCATTTTCCATTTATCATAAAAAAGAAATACTCAAATTAAAGACGCTAACTTGATGCGTAAACGACAATTACCAAGCTTGCTATTAAGCTATGGTTCCCTTGATATAATTCATACGCCAATTAATGTAGCACGTTTTTTTAACGTAACCGTTTTCTCACTATTGTTATAGATTTAACCCATTCTAAAATATCTATGCACGGTGTCTGCCTAGCCTTGGACTTATAGGTTTAAGTTACTTGCAGATGGAACTCATCGCATACATTTAAAAGGATGTGTTACAATCTCTCTAAATACTTCACTGCAATATTAAAGCTTCTAACAAGCAGAGAGTTCTTTCCAGGGAAGACTCGTGACAACTTGTCGTCTAGGAATGAATAATTAACATAAGAAAATCAAACATGGAACTCGCTCATCAATTATTGTTATATTAATTTTAAGCTATGGTGTTCAAGTTTATGTCCACCCTGGCTAACTCCATCTATTTAAATTATTGTGGCAGTTATAGTCAGTAAGGTTCTCCAGTAGTTCTCAAGATTAGTTTTAATCCGTGAAACACTTATTTCTCTTTACATAATTTATCATGAACTGTGTTTAGTTAGCTGCCATTATTCCCTGTAATTATCATAACCAAACGTGCGAGGTGTTCCAACTAATAATAACTATTTGAAAACTAAAAAAAAGTAATCGACTCATCATTACTAATTAAGGTGCTTAGTTCAGCCAAACACGACATGTTCCATGGGTAAAGATCAAAAATACCATATTGACAGTCAAATCCTAAAAGACGTGTTAGAGCTTACTGCGAGCGTGGAAAGAAAACTTCGACTATCAATCTTACGAAATAGTTAAATAAACAAAAAATTTCCTTTGCCAATATAAATTGAATTGTATTCATGAAAGCTTCATAAAAAATGAACTTTTGAAAGCATTCCTGTTTTATCATTAACCGCAACAACTTCAAATAGTTTTTTTTTACTTACAGTGGGCCAGAAATATTTCATCGTTTTTGACGGACATCAATATGAATAGTTTCAGAATAAGGTACCAGATGGTCCAAGGGTAATTAAATGTGAGTCTTCTGCTCTCATGAATATTACATAACAATTAGATGTTTTTCGGTTTTCGAAGCAGTGTAATCGTTGGAACGTGACTAATTATCATAAGCATTGCCATCTTTCACAAGAGGAAGGGATTGATGTATGATAAAAGGTAGGGTTTGAAAAGGAGATAAGACATTACTTCAGCATTTACTTCAGTTCGTAAGAGAGATGTTTTACCTGTATTTGTAGACTACATAAAGTGAAATTATAGACAAGCCCAAGGACTAAATCAGAAACGGTCGCGTTCCGTTTCCATGTCGCCTCACATAAAACCTCCTTGGAGAGTTGGGATTCCCGCGAACGCCATTTCAACGCCATTTAGCTCGGAGTTTCTTGTTTTTAATCAACTGTTAAAAATCGTTTCTAAACTACAAGATGTTACTGAAATGACATTTATAAATTTACCTTAGGCAAATTTCTTTTGTCCTGGTTCTAAAAAAAACTTTGATTTATTTAAATTTTCATCAGAGAAAATGGCCCGGATAAGCAGTGACTCCAACTGTTCTGAGGCTGCCCGTCAAAATGTCACCTTCATTAGTTTATTACCTTCTAATGGCCGAATAAATGTTTTTAAAAAATCCTCTTTCAATTTATTACTGTTTTGGGAATTTTACAATTACTATCCTATCCTGCGAATCTTTATCGATGTTGTTTATTATGAAATTAAAGACAAAACAATTTCTTTTCGATAGCGGTTCAATTAAGGTCGTTTTTGTCATATTAAACAGCTAATTTTTAACTTTGAGTGGGATAAGTACACCGAAAATTGTACAGTGTTTGGGGAAAGATTGTACACCAAATTAATGATGGGAACAAAAATTTCAAATGATACGTGGAAATTACGAGTTAAATCGTTTGACAGGTGGCGTAAAAATATTTCTTTTGTCATTGACAGTTTCTGATAATGTCCGAACCAGCTGAAATTGCCGTAACATCGATACTGGCCCTACTCATCATTGCGAACATCATTGGTAACTGTCTAGTTTGTCTCGTCATAAAGAAATATAGAGATATGAGGTGCGTTAAATATCTTTAAAAAAATTATCTCAGAGAACCGAGCCTTAAGCCGATAATTTCTTCATAAGACCCGATGTAAAAAAAATAACTTACCCCATGGCAGACCAGATATAACTGGATACAAACTTGGAAACCTTCTTAATTATAAGACTGGCAGAGAGTTGCCAGCAAATCCTCATACTTGACTGAATGGACTTGTGTCGAGGCAGTATTGTATTTTTAAGGTTCTTGCCATGTTTTCAGCGAATTTTTGCAGCGGTCTAAACTGCGTGTGGATCATGCCATATAGTAAAATATTTGAATGCCACTGCAATTTAATCAAACAAGGACGGGTGACTCGATCGCTTTCAGTATTTTTTTTGGGTGTGTAAGGATCGTCATCAGATTTGCTGACATCAAGCGTACCTAAAGTACGTTGAGAGAAGCATGCAAGCATTGAGAAGCAACATTTTCTTGTCGTCGGCTGCATTGTGCCATAATTAAGACCTACCTGCTCATGTTTTCAATGCATAATTAGCATCTATTCCGCAGGACTCCCATCAACTACCTACTGGGCAACCTGGCGGTCTCTGACATCGTGTTTGCGCTTTTCATAGCACCAAATCATGTTTTGAAAAAATCGTTCAATCATCCAGACAACACCATTGGACTAGTCTTGTGTAAGGTTCTCACTGGCGGTAATGTGGCATGGATTGGAGTAGCATCGTCGGCTTTGACCCTCGTTGTCATATCAGTTGAACGTTTCTATACTGTCACGAGTCCTGTTAGTAGCAATGCAAAACTAACCATGCGGAAAGTAAAGGTGCGTCAACACAATTTTATGTGACAAAGCAGCATAAAAATACAGTTTTGGTTTCCTATTTGTCTATCTAATTTGTGCCTAAACCACGTAGTTAATGAAATGCTTCTAGTCTTGATGAGAATGCAGCTTTCTAACAGTAGTCTGTGGATTAATTTCAGACGATTATTCCCGCTTGTTGGAGCATTGGAGCACTTTTCAGTATACCAATCTTCCTGGTTACGACTTATGATAAAACAACTGGCAAATGTAAGTGGAATTGGCACGAGCAGTGGATGGGTGCAGTGTACGACACCATCTGGCTGGTACTGTTGGCTCTAATTCCTCTGTTAGTGATGACTGGTTTATATTCAAAAGTTGTTTACATGTTGTGGTTCAAACGAAACGAAGAAAATGAACTCGCCTTTCAACAGAAGGTAGGACTCTGAACTAAATGGATCTAATGTTAATTTTTACTCTTTGCCGTGTTAATGTAAGTTAACAGAGTTATTGTTCTGAGGTGCGAGGTTACTCTTTGGTGAGCATGTAATTAATTGACACCAGCTTGTTAAAATGCAAAACTGGACATGATTTACACCGCGAGGCAAGAAATTAATCCTAAAGGCAGCCGGGAAAGGCTCATCATCGCTGCAACCGAATGGTTATGACAACTAGGTAGGTTTGGCAAAGTTTGTTTTGATCCTAAGGATCTCCCTGGGGCTTAAATTCCTGCCAGCCCGTAAGTCATCGCACTTTGAGTTTTATTCTTGCTTTCTTTTTTGCAGGGAGTCCTTAAGGTGAGGAAGCGTGTAACATTGAGTGTGATTACTGTCAGCGCCATATTTGGAGCTTGTTGGATCACAGGATTGCTGGTTTACATCCTAAGCCACCTTGACATCTTCATATTTGGCTCAGTCTCATACGTCGTTTCTGACACTTTGTTCATGTTCAACTCTGCTATCAACCCTTACATTTATGCTCTGCTGAATGAGCGTTTTATGCAAAAGCTCAAGTTATTGTGCTCTGCTAACCGCACTCCTTGGGTATATAATTCAAGCTAGCCTGGCATTGTGCGCATTACTAACACCTCCAACAAGAAAAACACTCTGGCATTTTCACAGAGTAAACGTAGTGGTCGCATGTTAAAATGGAGCTCGAAAGTAACAGAGGAGCAACATGTAAAACAGGAGAAACACCAATTGACTCCCACAAGCCCGTAGTATTACACAAGAATCTAACGAGTGGTGACATAAAAGGAGGGAAATGTGGAAATTTTCTTCCGTTATTATTTTAGATTTCGATTTTTCTTCCTCTTTAGTACTTCATTTTGTATTCACGCTTGGCGCACGCAATTTTACCATATTAGATAATCACGCTAAATGACTCTAAACCTTGATACTGGAAAACTGACCCGGACACTTTCGCGTGCTTTTGTTGTTTTGTTTTTCAGAGTTGGTTTTTAGCTTTTTTTTTAGCTTTCTTTCACCCAAATTTGCTACCCCGTTATTTTGGAATCTCGGAATCTATGTTTGAGCCAAATGTTGTGGTTAATTTAACAAGTTCTATATAAATATTTTTTACGGAGTTTGGACTCTCACCTTCTTTTTTTTGTAAAAATTTTTTTTAAAGAAAGTTTGGATGTGTTGGCGCTGTGATGTTTGATATACGTCCCTTTACAAAATGTTTCAGGTCTGACGTTATCTGATGATGAGAAATAGCGAGATTAAAACATGACGTTTCGGCGAAGACATGTCACCATTACCAAATGTAAAATTATTGTAACTTCAGTGATGTTATAGAAAGTAAGAAAAGTGTGAAACTAAATTAGAATAAAGGAGATAGAGTTAAACAAAAGAATGTACATAATTAAATTAATAGTTTCGCTGAAATGCCTTGCCGACACCGTGCGCAGACAACTTGGAGACCTTGGAAAGAAAATCGACCGTGTACGACAACTAGTTTTCACAGGTAGGAAAATCGCGAAAGGTTTAAAAGTCACGGAAACAAAAAAGCCCTCACTGATAAACCAACAATGCGTTGTGAAGGTAATTCGTGTGATGCGGATTATATGGGCTACACGAACCGTCACCTCCACCTTTGCATTTTCCGTTATCGGTAAACATCTTAAGGACGAATACAATCAAAGACCGAACAATCTTCACGAACAATTTGCCATCCTAAAGAAATGCCGCGGAAAGTTTGAACGCCTTATTTATGAAACGCTTTTAATAAGGAAAAAGAGACCGACTCTGAACATTCAAACAGACTCCATCTCAGCAAAAGTATTCATTTAATTAGGTACATTCTTTTGTTTTAGTCCATCTCATTTTATTGTAATGGAGATTCACATTTTCCTTACTTAATAAAACGTCACTGAACTTAAAATAATTTTACATTTAATAATGATGACATGTCGCCGAAACGTCATGTTATGAAATGTTTTTCTTGATCTTTCGTTATCAGAATATCTGATGAGTTGTAAAATTAACATAATATATACAAGGATAAGCAAAGATGGTCTTAGAAGGAATCAGGCGAAGCGCTGATATGCTTTCAGGGATAAAATCGGACAAGACTAAAAATAAAGCTTGCATTCGGCTTAAATTGAGAAAACGTTAGCTTTACGTTATTTCTGAAAATAATCATCATGACGATGCATGCTTACTATGAGGTCAAAGAGCTGACCAACTCTTGTAACATGCTAGCTCTAAGACATATTTCCGTTTTGTATTAGCTAAATGTTTTTGAGCTTAAAATTAGCAAAGATGCGCTGAATGACTAAAGATACCCCGAATAAGATTTTTTCTTTTTAAAAAAGATCGAGGGGAGGGAGTCAGAGCTTCAGTTAAAAATTTAAAGAATACCTTATACCCCACTGACACATGGAAAAGGAAAACATGTTTATCTAAACCGGGTCTAGCTGCATGAGATCAAAAAGAGAGAACTGAAATACTGGATTATTCATAGGATTCAAGTAACCGCTAATTTATATTCTCAGTGTGTTTCGTTTTCAATCGACAATGATCAGTTTAAGCAGCCTATATAAAGAATGAAATGTTAAAATCTGTTAGAAAAAATAAAATAAAAAAACAGCTTTAAAACATGTTTAGGCCTTGGTGTAAGTGGGGCATTAGTTCTTCTACTAATATAAACCAAGGGATGCTGTCTTTCCATTAACGTATCCAAGTTACATATATCACTTTTTTCATATGTTAATACTTAGCCGGGGAATTTTTCTCAGGATAAAGGTTAAAAATTTAAAAAGTTTTCGATATTTAATTTGCATTTAACAAATAGAAGAGCTGAGCGGCAAAGCAAAGAGCCTCAGACTTACTGACATTCTGTTTCTGCTTCTGAATAATGAATTTGTCAGGTTCATAATGCATTGTTCAGAGAAGGCGGGGAGGATATTTCCTTAATTATACGGCAAGCTACCAGCTGATTGAAAACACCAGAGATAAATGAAGACACGTAGGAAAGGTGACAAGAATAGTAAAATAGAACATATCAGTAAGGAAAAAGTTGCATTTGGTTAATCATTTGCCTTTATGAAACAGCCATGCTTTGTTCGATTTACAAGAAGTCGGAAATTGTTAGAATAATTTTGATGCCTCAGACACCAGGTACAGGAGCCCAATGAACTCCTGCCCTGGTACCATTATTTTCAAGTGAAAACATAAACGTTTCATATTGATATTCAATGCATTACTGGTAATTTGCTTCCATTTGAATCACTCATAAAATTATATATCCTCAATACCCTGGAAATCATTTTGATTATTGAGAATTGAGACAAAATTAATGTTCCTCTCAGTACTCCAAACATATGTGCTTAGTAGATGATACATATCCTTTATGATAATTGACACTAAGGCATTTGATAGAAAGCAACTTTCTTGAACAATTTGCTTTGATTTTGGTAATTGATCTGCAAACATTTGAAAAATTATCACACAGGTATTCATATAATTTGTTTTCCTTTTAACATTGTATGTTGGCATATATAAAGAGTATCTAATAAGTAGCCATATATTGAGTACATTATCATAACAATAAAATAGTTACATTTTTGTCTGTAGTTTGCAAATTCTAAGAAACTGTTACATAACAGGCCACCTTTAAGTTATTTAATTGCCTCTTTAGCTTCAAGTGTGGTTTTCCCTTGAAGAACACAGTCTGAAACTAATTTTTGAAAGTGCTGGGAACAAAAACTACACTTCTCTACATTACCATCTTTGGGGAGACCACAGTAACAAAAGTCATGGGTGAAACACCTCTTAGGTATATACACATTTGAAGTGTGTTTGTACACAGTTTCATCACACCCATTTTCTCGTAACCAGAATAATGAAATGTACTCATGCTTAAAAACCTGACTCCATCTGTTGTTATACTGGGCATTGTTGGTAAATTTGGCAAGAGTAACATGCTTTGCCTCCCTTCCCTCCATTGTGTTTATTCCCAAGCCCAAACCTAATGTTTCCTGGAGTTGCTGGGCATGAACTGGCACTACATGGCCAATTGTCCAGGAAGTAGGGGTACTCTTTAAAAAGAGTGCAGTAGCTCTGAAATAGTTGGAACAAACTTGACTGAGACTTTGAACCTGCTCACTTGACATTGAGATCCTACTAAAAAGGGAGACTGAATCTCTTAGATTCAATCCTGTGTAGGCAAAAACATGTAACTTGAAAGTGTGAACATTCTGATCCTCATCAGTTTTCAGACTTTCAACGATATACATGAAATTGTGACAAAAAAGACGCGACTCTTTACCTGTAAAGCGATATTCCAAGGGTTTATTCTTTGTTCTGTCACCTGCAAACCACTTCCTGATCTTTTTTGCCAAGCGTGTTGCTTTCACATTGAATCTAATGGTATGATAATACTTACCAAAACAGCTGTTCGGAGAAACATCTGAAATAGACTCACATTCACCAAGATGACTGCGTGACAAAGAATACATCAAGATAGATGAATTCCATTGTTGCCAAGCATTATTCTTCAAATGAAGGGGTTCTGCTTTGGCCCTATCAATAAATTTACCAACCAAAGGAAGAAACTCTTGCCTGGATTTTTTCTGTGAGATGAAAGATGTTATTTTCTCACGCTTTGTGGCTGGTTTCAGAGTTGTTTTACTTACCTCTTCTTTCTTCTCTTTCACAGCAGCTGCCACTCTAAGTCTTTGACTATATTTCCATGGATGCCATTTGTCTTGTGGTTTTGAACCAAAATTTTCTTGAGTGTTGGCAATGTCTTTTTTGTTAATGTCTGCAAATGGAGAAAAATAAGAGGCAGATATACTTAGTTCTCCTCCTAGAAAAGCCAAATATTTCATGTCATTTGGTAACAGTTCAAATTGAAAGGACACAAACTTCTCCTTACCATCAATTTCTACTAAAAACATTTTCCCCTCAATTTCAGTCATTTGCCTTTCAAGCAGAACCACATATCTGCGAACAGGCTCACAGTCTTCAGAGCAATTGGCCCCAATTAAGAGAAAGTTCTCTGCAGAGCTACACACACGCTGACCACAGTTTAGGAAACTAACTAACCAAGCCAATGCTTGGTCATCCTTTCCAAAGGGTGCACCATCACCCCCTATGGCAACTTTAAAAGTTCCCTCTTGCTTCCCAAACCAGTTAAGCTTATCCTTCCTGTAATTGTTGGCACTGAGATAAAACTGTGCCATTTTCAACAATAGCTTTAAAAGGTCCCTGTACTTCCCATCAACCATATCTTCTTCCTTGAGCCCTTTGCAAAGGGTTTCCCCTACATCATGTAAATCACCTATGTCTATTTCATTAATTTTTTTAAGTACCTCTTTATAAGAAAGAAGTTTTGGTACTGGAATGTTGCTCATGAATTCAATATGCTTCCTTTTAACCCCAGCATCATCTAAGCCCATTGTTAATGATGACCTTATTGAATTATACTTCTGCTTGCTTGTAATGCCACCCCTGTACAAAATATTTACACTTCTAATAAAATTTGTTTGGCTTTTCTCAAAAATATTAATCTTCTGTTTCACAATTTTAGGAATGACTTTCTTTGTGAACTTAGCACATTTTATTATTGCATCACTCAATACTGACACTGGAGCACTTTCATTCAAAACTGCTATGAGACCTGCATAAGCTGGTGTCATATTCTCAGCAGTGGCTCCATGCAACATTTTTGCAGCATTTAATGTCTGTAGCCTCCTTCGTCTAGCACTACGGCCAGGGCCAGAGATCTTCCCTTCATCTCCCAAAATTGTTGGAGAGCGGGTCCTTCTGTCGACAATGTTGTCTGTAACAGAGATCTGAGGAAGACAAAAAATTTTGACCATGCAAATCTTCAGTTTTATTTCAATGCATAACTTCACAGCCAGAGTAAATCATAAATTACTCTATTGATAAACTGTTCGCATGGAATGAGATAGCTTTCTCCAAGAATATAATATTCAAAAGAGTACACATGAATTGAAGGTACTGACCTTTTCTTTCACATTTTTGTTATCCTCATTCACCAATTTTGCCTAAAACACAACAGTATTAGCCGAGTTTAACTGAAATCAAAGGAAAACGAGTCATTTCGTGGAAATTTCCAAAATATTTGCTCATTTCAACGTATTTAGAGGTAAAAGGCAATTTAACTGCCTTCTGATTTATATTTTATTTCTCTTAACAACAATTGAAGATGTATGCGTGCAAGTTCAGGAGATTCAAGTATTTGATATTCGATGTTGTTTACCTTTGACTCGAGGCGCTTTAATTTCCTTGCCTTTTTCGTAAACTCTTTATCACGGGCAAGGGCAGACACAAGAAGAGCATCTTGGTTCCGTTTAATCTCTATATATTCATTCAAAGGGAAGCGATTTTTCTGTCCTTTTCTTGGTGGCATGTCGCTGCACTCTGTTGCAACCTGTCTTAATCCACATTCTGTTGACAAAGGGAGAGTAGCTCGCTCAGTAAACCTCGAAATGCTCGAAATTCTAGTCATGGTAGTCGTTAAAAAGTTCAGATATCAAGGAAACGAGACAAAAATCAAAAATTCTGAATCGGAGAAGTCCTTACCAATGAACGCATGATTCCATAGTTTTGTGTCTAGCTTCTGGCCGTCTTGTCATTTTGAAGCTTAAATCTTTTTAAGATGCCTCAAAAATATGCTTTGCTTCACGACGCCATGACAGTCTCCTCTTTTCAACCAAGGGAAAACCAAATATATATCTCCTATTTCGCCTTGTTTGGTATTGAATAAAAGCTCTTGCGAGGATCTGGATGTTGGTACATCACGATTAACTTTTTACTCGAAAGGAAGATTAAGTACATCTACAGACCTGCAAATTGCCACAGCCTTTCATGACGATTATTTTAGCCAACTAATTTAAGTCATTCAAAACATGAAGTACAAAAGATAGATCAAATTGCGGCGTAACAAGCAAGGAGCTGTTTCACAGTGGAAAGTTAGGAAGCGGAAAGGATGAAGTATTTAAATAATTATTTTCTCTAAATAGCAGGTGCTCACATTCACGGAGCTTTTCTACTGTTCCCTTTTAGTCACAAATCGATGTCACATCATGGCTCAAAACCCCCCCTTCCTTTACTTAAGAAGTTTTGGAAAATTCAGATATTTTAACCAAAATTTGTAAACAACAAACATGACAGATTGTCTGCAGTAATGGTTGGAAGACTCAAAATCCATCTAGAACGAGTTTGGAAATGTAAAAGCAGCAGGCTTGGATTATCCTTTCAACTTAAAATTATTCAGCATTAAATTTTAAATGCTTCGTCCTCATGCGTTTGCGCTTTGACCTCGGATGTTATTTTTCATTTGTCCAAGTACATAATATTTTCTGTAGCTTGATAAGTGTCTTAATTTCTGGGGCAATTTCCGGAACTCGTATATGTTTTCCAATTTTAATGGTAATCCCGCCTTTCATTGGGTTAAATGTTTGAAAGCCAGTTTCAGCTGTGTGGCTGTTTAAATTGGTATGGAGAGAAATCTCTGTGGATGTTCAGTTGGTAACTGCACAGAAGAAATTGTACAAAAGTACAAGGGCAAAATTCTTAAAGCTGAGCACTGATAATGTTCATGTTTTTCTTTTTTAACCAGCGGAACGGCAACGTTTTGTTATCGTGTTGGTGTCCTTACGCCTTATCTATTGATGTGTATGGTCTGTAGATCTATTTTTCTCGAGTTCATTTTAACCATCACCGCTGTAGTCGTTGGTTTCATCTCTTCACAAGGTTTCTATTGACAGAATAATTCAAGTTTCACAGTTTCGAAAGGTAAGGCGTGTTGTGAAATTTATTGCAATTTTTTATCCATGCCAATTTTAAGCTGTATATGGTAGCGACAAACACAGGCAGCAAGTCTGTCAATATTTAACAATAAGGCATTACGGTTTGTCTTCTCTTTATTACAAAAGAACAAAATGAGCCGAAATACAGATTATAGCCTCGTTCACCATTACTATGTTGCAGGATTTTGCGTTTACTCAGATCTGATCGACTAAAATAAGACGAGAGGAGAACTAACAATTTCAACCATAACACGTCAGAAATCCTCTTACGTTCGCAAGGCTAATAATTACTCTTCCGAACTTTAAATTGCCGCAGCTCGTCATGATGATTTTCTTTCCAATTAGTACAACTCATTGAAAACATGAATTACAAAGGATTTATCAAACTGGGACGTAACAAACTAGGAGTTTTTCACAGTGAGAGTTTTAGAAGCGGATATAATGTAATACTGAGATAATTGCAAACCGAAAATAGAGCTTCAATGGAATCCTTTACATTTCTCTGCTCAGGAAAAAAAAGGCCCAGAAGCCATTGACGTTTCCTCGATACATCAAACGAGTTGGGTAAGGGCATGTCATTGAAAAATCACATTTCGAATAGAACAATACGATTATTTATTTAGCTAAAAGCATACATACCTTATTATTTTTCAAGCCTCTTGTCATGCCTGAGTCAGCCGACGTTGCGGTGACAACCATGTTAGCCCTACTAATAATAGCGGACATCAGTGGAAACTGTCTGGTTTGTTTGGTTATAAAGAAAAACAAAGATATGAGGTGAGTTGACTCTGAAGTCTGACTATGACAAGATAAAACAGCCAATTTTGTTGTCAAACGCAGGCTATGCACGCAACAAAAGATAAAAGAAATTTTGTATTCTTATTGGCTACAGATTAAATAATAATACGAGAAATCAAGCGAAGAATCTTGTAGGGCAATATTTCTCGCTTTAATCCCACAAGTAAAAAATGCTTGAATCGGTTATGAAATTTCAGAGGTTCATGGCAAGTTTTTCTGTGATCAAACTATGTAAATGTAAAGAAAACAAAGATCGTCATATTTCGTGCTTTGTTCCTCCGCCACATCGCAGATCAGCGATTTATCGCACATTTTAGAGACATGTCAAAAACGACAATTCGACGTGGTATCGAAGTTTTCGTGCATTGTCTTGCCGATATAACTTTCCTGCGAAATGTCACGATAGTCATTTCTCGTTGATCGAAAGCTGTGTCCTCATCACCATATATCGTTCCGGCGGAAAATTACCAACGGGATCTCCCGCAGCGAGAGGTAGACATCCTCAATTGTATCTCTGGAAAGTATGACCACAAGATACTTTTGACTGCATAATCACCTCAGGTTGAGTTTTATAAAATGCTACCCCTGCGGCTTATTCCATGCATTGGGAATTCTGTACACGTAAATTAAAGTTACTTACGGAGGAAAGCTCATCAAAATCACAAAGAAGTTGAGAAAGAAACTCTAACAATGTGAAGACATGCATGTCCAATATTAAAAGAAGTTGACAAAAACCATCTTTTAATTGCAGTGTCTGTCCTACCAGGACTGATTTAGTGGCACAAAGAAAACACCGTGACTAGGCGGCTTCTTTGATTAACTAATATCGTTTGCTGTGCGTCTAGGCGAGACTGATGTACTTCCTCCCGGTTTTTTAAGCGCTCACTTCGCTTTTCTTCATTTTTTCAAGAAATAGTCACAAAAATATTATGAGTTCTATGCGCAGTTTGGGTCGTTTAATAACTGTTCATGTTATAAACATGAAAAAACACTGCGGGTTTTGAGAGAGATGAACCCAAGTCTATTTTTATTGACTTTTTCGTATTCAATAAGGTGGAATATTTAAAAGTGACGTTGTTCTGTAGCACTTTATAATGAAATGGTCGCATTTTGTAATAAAAAAGCTGTCGCACTTCGTAATAAAAAAGCTGTCGCACTTCGTAATAAAAAAGCTGTGGCACTTTGTAATAAAAAAGCTGTCGTACTTTGTATTAAAATGAGATGTCGCACCTTTTAACACTTCGTGCTTCTTAAAAATAAACTTGATGTAGATGTTCAGAGGACAGGTAGATCCATTGACAGCTGTTAATTCTGTATATGATAATAATTATAATAATATTGATAATAATAACAATAGTGATGTTGATAACGATGAGAATGAAAATGATGATAATGTGAAAACACCAGCGGCTATGTTTCGGCTTCAAGATGTTCCTGGGTAAGTGCAGTTATACACAGTATCTATACGGACGATCTCCAGACCTCAAGATAGTTGTTACGGGTAAATATACTGATTTTTCCGTGTGTTTGTTTGGAACACATTTATTCGTAAACTTCTCACATTTAACCATTTCCAATTTATTCGAGCTCATTCAAGTTCTTTTATTTTAGTAAATAAAAGAAAAAAATATATTTAAAAAAAAAACCACAGTAGCCGTTGGAATAGATTTTGCTTGTTACCCGCTTTCACTATGCACCTGCATGTCGTTACTTTTGTTCATCATTACTAGTGAAATTTTAGGTAAATATAAGTGTTAATGATACACGACGGCGTGCCGATTACACAGACGACCGCGTGGCGATTACTAGCTTAGCTTTTACTCTGGCACGACATATGTTAGAGTGCTCTACGAATAAAGTCTGCAGTGGAACCAAAACGCTGTCTTATCCTTGACCTCCGTATAAGCTCGCTTGAAGTAGATCTCCGTGTGCTAGGATATCGTGACGAGTTTCCGTTCTCGTAAGCCGAGTGGTCTCTATGAGTTAATTTCCCCCGTTTTGTACGTTTCCCGCGAAGTCCAGTTAAGTGCGCGAAAACCTATCGTCACATAGTGTCCATCATGAAAGCGAAAGTCTTTGTCCTTAAGACGAGAGTTGACAGCTTGACTCCAACTCAAAACAATAAGATAATTTCAATAGCACGAGAAATGAAGAACTCCAGTTTCGTGACATGACTGAACACGTTACGACCTAAAGACACCTCATTAGCACATAGAACCTGATAACATAATACAATGGCTATTATTATGGACTTTCGCTCCACCATCTTGAGGTCACGAGGTCGTCCGCATAAATGGAGCTGATACTGCACTTCCCAAGGAAGATCTTGAAGCTGGAACACCGCAGCTGGTGTCTTCGTTAAGGAACAAATTATCATTACTGTCATGATTACAATTATTACCATTATTATCAGTATTTTCATTCTCTTTCCTTCAACACAAAGTGCAATGGTTCGAAATGGTCTCTTCTTACTAAGTGAGACAATTTCAAGTCATAGTGTGACGTGACAATTGTTTCACAAAGTGCGACAGAACAGACGTCAAGTTATTGTCTACGTATTTGATTCACACGCACAGAGGCAGGCGACTGGTTGTTTTAGAATACACTAAAACAGTGAGATATTATTGCACAAAAAGACAATTTTAACTCATTTATTACTGCAACGATTCCCAAATTATTTTGTGGGAAAATCCCGCGCGAGTTGAACGGAGGCGAATGGCAAAGATATTGTGAGTTTCAGTAGCCAATCAGAGCGCGCCTACGACGCTATCCTCTGTTTTAGCATATACTAACTAACAACTATTCCTCAAAGTTGAGGTAGCTTGTGATGGATATTTATCGAACTGAGAAGTGGCGAGGTAAACATGCTACTAGCACGGGAAGATGATTTCAGTAACTCATTTATTCCTGCAACGATTACAATATTTTCGGGCGCGAATCCCTCGTGCGTTGCTTGGAGGTGAATTGCTAACAGTCAGTCATGACATTTACTGAAATAAGTTTGATCTTAAATTCATAGGACTCCCTTCAATTACCTACTTGTGAACTTAGCTGTATCAGATATTATGTTTGCCACCTTCATAGCACCAAATCATGTCTTTGAGGACAGCTTCACTCATCCAAAAGGAACTACGGGCTTGGTTGTGTGCCTGGTAATAACAGCTGGAAACGTGGCTTGGATCGGTGCAGCTTCATCGTCCGTGACTCTTACTGCCATCGCAGTTGAACGCTACTGTACTGTTACTAGTCCTGATGGTAGTAATGGAAAACTCACCAAAAAAAAGCTTAAGGTGAGGAAATTATGATGTTTACTTTGTAACTTTCAACTGCCGTTAAGGATCAGCAGAAAATCATTAGATACGGGAGCTTATCAGAAAATTTTTGTAGAAAAACCGAGGTCAAGAAAATCTTCCATACTCTCTGCCCCCAAACAATGACAAGCTTATCTCTTTTTGTTTGCGGGGTAATTTAGTTAGGATGAAGGGGCTGGGGGGTGTTACTGCTAATTATATCATTCTCACAGTATTTCTATCGATTATAATATAAGCGTTTTTGTTTTAGGCGATTATTTCTGGATGTTGGATCTTCTCAGTGGCGCTAAACATGCCACTCTTTCTAGCAACAAGATTTGATTCATCAATCAGTGACTGCAAGTGGATTTGGCCTGAAAAGTGGATCGGTGCAGCATACGACTCCGTATGGCTTGTACTATTGGCTATAATTCCTCTGACAGTGATGACTGGTTTATATTCAAAGGTCGTTTACAGGTTGTGGTTCAAACGTAATGAGGAAAATGAAGTCGCTCATCAACAGAAGGTAGGATTCGATGGGATGTTCTGTGACTTGTAATGTGACAAGCTAAAGTGCAGGGGAAATGCATTTCCACGGGTTCTTTCCTAAGGTAGACGACGACACCATTGATACATTTTGCTTTTTATCACGAAATAAATTTTTTATCATGAAAGTGATATCCTTACAGTATCAATACAATATCAAGCAGGCAAGTGATGAGAATAAAGAAAAATATTATCTTAGGGATAAGGAGTTGATTCAATACCAAACTCTCCAAACTAACATCACAAATACTATATGGCAGACAGTACGGAGAATTATTAATGAGATCTTGGGAGTTTAAGGGTTAATGGATTTCTGATCCTCGAGATAAGTACAAGCGCTGGCTAGTTTTTTTTCCAAGTTTGGTTGGTGATCTGGGTAGATTTACACATTCATACTTCACTCGCAAATTTTTTCTTCCTTTTTCTTTTTTTCCAGGGAGTCCTGAAGGTCAGGAAGCGAGTAACGTTAAGTGTAATCACTGTCAGTGCCATATTTGGAGCTTGTTGGATCACAGGATTGCTGATTTACATCCTTAGCTACCTTGACATCCTCTTGTTTGGCTCAATCTCATACGTTCTTTCTGACACTTTGTTTATGTTCAACTCTGCCATCAACCCTTTTGTTTATGCTCTGCTGAATGAGCGTTTCAGGCAGAAGATCAAAATGTTATGCCGTACTCGCCGAATTTCTAGGGTACATACCTCAAGCAAGCATGGAATAGGGCTTCAAAACAACACCTCTCCCGTAACTGACACTGTAAATGTTCAATGAAATAATGCCACAGGTCCGATGGATAACAACAGACGATTGGCACGAGAAAAAGTTCCCCAGATGCATCTGCAAGGAGAGTTGGAGCATGGTCGTCGAGACTAACTAAGAGTTTCAAGGCAAAAGTAGCTGCGGGCAATAACGCCTGCGTAAAATACTGCAAATGTCACATTGAGACACTGTGACAATTAAGCTTGTGTTCGACACAAACTGACTGTCAGCGCCGCACCTATGAAAAAATTTTTAGCGTTAACGTAAACGGCCATGCATCAAACTACCCACAGCCACTGTACAATTAACTTTGAATCGTTAGTTTTTGTACGTGATCTATGCGTTGAATGAACGATAGCAAACTTTTTCTTCGCCTGAACTAATAGAGACTAATGGAAGTCAAAGCTTGAATTTATTCACCCCAACAAGTTCAAATATTTTAAATGAACGGACTGTGAACGGTTTACCTGAGAAGGCTAAGAATTAGGAACTCTGAACTAAGAATACTTTCCACGTACGATTCAATGCGACGTATTCGCGGCTTAGATTTCCCTAATGATAAAATTAATCAGTTGTGTATGCTTTTGATTCTACGATTCCACGATAGTCATCCAATCTTTTGTACTTCTACTTAGCTGGTTCACAGAAGCGAAGAAAACGCAAACGGAGTAATAAAAGGTACCACTCAGCGAGAGATGCACACACTTAAGATTATCGAGTGACCCTGTAAGGTTGATAACTGGGTAACTCTGTAAGGTGGACCACTGAGTGACCTTGTAAGATGGATCACCAGTTGACCTTGTAAGGTGGATTACTGAGTGACCATGTAAGGTGGATCACTGGGTAACTCTGTAAGGTGGATCACTGAGTGACCCTGTAAGGTGGATCACTGGGTAACTCTGTAAGGTGGATCACTGGGTGACCCTGTAAGGTGGATCACTGGGTAACTCTGTAAGGTGGATCACTGAGTGACCCTGTAAGGTGGATCACTGGGTAACTCTGTAAGGTGGATCACTGAGTGACCCTGTAAGGTGGATCACTGGGTAACCTGTAAGGTGGATCACTGAGTGACCCTGTAAGGTGGATCACTGGGTAACTCTGTAAGGTGGATCACTGAGTGACCTTGTAAGATGGATCACCGGTTGACCCTGTAAGGTGGATCACTGAGTGACCATGTAAGGTGGATCACTGAGTGACCATGTAAGGTGAATCGCTGAGTGACCCTGTAAGGTGGATCACTGGGTAACTCTGTAAGGTGGATCACTGAGTGACCCTGTAAGGTGGATCACTGGGTAACTCTGTAAGGTGGATCACTGAGTGACCCTGTAAGGTGGATCACTGGGTAACTCTGTAAGGTGGATCACTGGGTAACTCTGTAAGGTGGATCACTGAGTGACCCTGTAAGGTGGATCACTGGGTAACTCTGTAAGGTGGATCACTGAGTGACCTTGTAAGATGGATCACCGGTTGACCCTGTAAGGTGGATCACTGAGTGACCCTGTAAGGTGGATCACTGAGTGACCCTGTAAGGTGGATTACTGAGTGACCCTGTAAGGTGGATCACTGAGTGACCCTGTAAGGTGGATCACTGGGTAACTCTGTAAGGTGGATCACTGAGTGACCTTGTAAGATGGATCACCGGTTGACCCTGTAAGGTGGATCACTGAGTGACCATGTAAGGTGGATCACTGAGTGACCATGTAAGGTGAATCGCTGAGTGACCCTGTAAGGTGAATCGCTGAGTGACCCTGTAAGGTGGATCACCGAGTGACCCTGTAAGTAGGACGAGGCACGAGAGATTTCATATCATAAATAACTCATACTGGAGCCAAAGACTCAACGGCGACATTGAATAACCTAAATTTTCAAATTTAGTAGAGTTTTACAGGGACTTTTCAACACGACTAAGGTTAATCAATCGATCTATCAACTACTCAATTCGTTAATTCATAGCACAAAAGAGTGCCCAATATGATCTTTTCTTGGCGTAAACGCAGTGAGCTTTAACAATCATAACAAATTAGTATTTTCAAACGAATAAAGGATAAGTTCATCTCTGGTTCAAGCGATCATCTTGCAAAATATTACAGCACGAGGCCTATAGTGTGTCATGCGAAGGTCGGAGGGGGGGGGGTTGAAAAAAAGAAACATTCCGAAAACAAACTGAGTAGGACTCGGACCTACTACTAAAGGAGCAGGGATTGAATCGAAAGGACAAGCCGAAGTATTCGTATAAACTCAAAGATAATAAGGACTGTCAGCTTATCACAGTTATCTCTCAGTAAAAGTAGTTTGCAGTGTACGTATCACAGTGCATATCACAGTTAGATCTCCATCTCCAATTAACTGATAAACTCGATTGCAAAAACGTTGACACCTAAAATGCGTTGATAATGAACGTCGAGGCCTAACGGCTTAATGGGTACACACGCATTGACAGAACTTCGAACAGAAGCGAATAAAAACTGACTGCTGGTTATATTTTGGTGAATAAATCAAAATGGTGACCTTCCCACCGACTGTCTGCATTTTCCACTCCTACATTGCATCTTGAGTTCTTGTGATTAGACAGGTGAAATAAAGGTTAATGTTGTTCTTGGAGTTGTTGCAAGTAACTTGAATTTTATTTTGGCGTCATAATCTTCTAACACAGTTGGCACTGAATAAGGTCACTCATAGTAAATTAGCGTGCGATGCAAGTTTAAAGCCTTTCTCTATATTTTACTAACAAAATAAAAACTTACAAATTTGTGTAATACAATTTACAAAAACTAAATTAAATAACGAGCAACGCGCCGTCTGGTCGGGTAATCGGATAGTTCTAGGAAAGGTTTCAGCTGACCTCATGCCTGTTGCATGCGACAGCAATCCACAAAAAAAGATGAGAAATAAAGGCGAAGGAGACTCGTTTAAAGTTTAAAGGAATACCACTCATTTCAAACATAATCGGAGATCATAACAGTGAGGTTGCCGTTAATGACCCTCTTTTCGACGGTTTCATATTTAGCAAGGGCGTTATGTTTTGATTTTAGGGCATGCACAGATACCCTTTCACCAAGGCGAGCTGAGAACAAGTCAGGGAAAATAATTATTTAGATGTCGGCTACTCGTTCAAGCGCTTTTCTTTGAAACTACAATCATATCTGCCATTTGTTCTGTGCAAGAATCCAAGGTAGTCCTTATAAATTTGTATTTTTCTGCTCACCAGAATGGACACCTGTGGGACAAAATGTTGGAAACTTTTTATAATGATGATGATGATAATAATAATAATAATAATAATAATAATAATAATAATGATGATGATGATGACTTTATTGGCTAACACAATTACTGGTAGAACCAGTAGTTCTCATTGTGATCCAAAAGCGATTTATTTCGACGCAATGAAATTTCAGTTATTAATTCTTACCATCCTATGTAGCACTGGCAGAGATTCTCGTGTGAAGTGGCTTGTTTGATCAGAAGATCAACTTGGGTGGGTACATCGAGGTTGTTATTACTAGTGAAGTCGCTTCCTATAGAACAAAGACAGTAAGTAGCAAACGTTTCTCCAACAGACACTATCATTTGTAGAGCACCGTGTCTTGCTGAGCAACAATGCAGTGTGACGAAGGGTTATGCTTTAAAACTTCCGTGATTTTCCACATTTTCATCTCAGTTTCTTTACAAACTTACCTCATTTATTCATAAAACCTGAAAACGTGCAATTTGATACCCGACGTCTTACGTTACCGTCATGAACACTGGGAAATATAACTGCGGGTGGTTTATCCAATTTGAGCCATAAGTGAACGCAAGAAGCAATTGACAAGAAGGTGAAAATGTACCTGTTAATTTGTCTCTCACACGGTTAACAATGGCGACAGCTTTCTTGTTAAGGGCCTCTGGCTTAGGGCCGCTTTCATCTTCTGTAAAGAGAGCAAAATTTTAACATGCTTCATTAAAAGAACACCCATATTTTAAACATGCAAAAAATATAGAGCAAAATAAAAACAATAATAAATAATAAATTTAATACTTATATAGCGAAAAAATTAATTATAAGTAAATGATCTAATGCGCTTAATGATCCACAATATCATTAACATAGAACTTAAAAACAAATAAACAACCAAAAGAAAACAACAAAACAACAACATAATCCACACCAAGAAGAACTTCAGATTCAGCAACGAGTCTGTGTGGTTTTTCTTTATCAAAAAGTTGTTTCTCCCGAGAGGTCTTAATATATGAATGTCATTCATGATAAAACCAAAGTCATTTCCGTTCGCACCGTAAGATGGCATGTGTTCTGTCGACTGCTTCTTGGTGGGGCGTTCAGGATTCACCTCCACGCCTTCGAGAACATCTAATCATATAGAAAATGGAAAAAAAACGAAGACAATTAATGTATCATCGACTTAAACAAGTGCATGAAAAGATCTTCAAAGGAGAGCCTCACTCGAATGGTATAATAACTCATATTATACCTGTCGCGAGACAAGGAAAAAAACAAAAACAGAAACGAGTTTTGGTAGTTCGTCGCGATGAACTGGAACCAAAGGTTATCGTTTGTCTTACAACATTGGCCCCTGAGACCACGACGTTCTGAAGACTTCATGTCCTTCAGATAATATTCAGGCGATGAACTCGACTTGCGATCCGCTCAAAATTATATGCATGTGCTTATGACAAAATATCTTCAAGCTTATTTAAAATAAAAAAACAATTGTGTCAACGCACAGCAATAACTTACCCTCCCCTCCCTCAGACATCGTGTCAGATCTGCCCTTGGAGCGTTTGATTTTTGGCGTAGCTGTAAAAGGAACATGTAGTAAAGTAAGGCAAGTAGTATGAAAATGAGCAGATAAGATCAACAGATCACGTCACCACCAAAACTTCATTTAAATGTGACATTACGCTCTGTAACTCTAGTTGGCTTCCCTTAATTTTGTTTACAAAATATTGTAAAGAACGTCAATTGAAATGCTTAAAAATTATAGTCTGTATGCAACTTACAATCCATAAGCCTCCAATTCAGTAAGGGATCATAAACGAAAGCTTCCAACACCGCCATGACACTGTCCTTGTGAGCCCGCAGAACTCGCATAACACTTTCACACGTCATTCGGTAGTTTCCATCAATACCAGTCACCTAAACAACAAAACAGATCGATATCAACCTTAACACAAGAGGCACGCATTGCATTTTCCCATCAGCGCTTACATGTCATAACCCTCAAAACACATTATTCAATTTCAACTTATTTTTTTCGAGCAACTAAGTAAATTCAACCTTAGAATCATCCCCCTTTCAACCTGAGTCAGCCACAGAAACATTAAAGATTATGATTGTGGTTCATACCTCCATAGCATTCGTCAACATTCTCGTCAGTCTAAACGGGATTTTCTCGGGAAACTTTTCTCTGGTCATTGCCACCTCGAAAAGAAGGGAAAAGCAAATTTTTTACAAAGCCCTGGCACGGGAACAAACAAACCTACAAACCATAAATACAAGTGCAACATACCTCAAAGCAATCACCAAAATCGATATGGGCGATCTTTCCATTTAAGCGGTTCAGCATCAAATTTGATGGATGCCTGGGACATTTAAAACAAATCAGTGAGCTTGTCTAGTTTTAAGTTGATAAAGATTGCATATCGGATGAAAGTAATTCAGTAAAAGTGTCCCACAAAGCACACCATTCACTGTGATATTCCTTCAAAGTAGAAATAGGGCAAAGTAAAACTTTATCTAACCTGTCTCCCAGGCCCAGCACATATCCCACCATGGACATAACAGCAAGAGATCGAGTATAGTTAGTTCGACGATCAAACCATACCTTAAATACGTGAAACAATAAAAGAGAAATGTGTAAATAACAGCTATGAACAGGGCTCCTACTACGAACAATTCCCTTCAGAGTTTATTGCTAAAGCTGCAAATTTGGTTCATACTGTGTATGGGGAAAAAAAAAAAGTTTGGTTTGTGAACGTACTTACAATTTTCATCTTATCACCACGTAACACAAAATATGAATTTTCATTCAAAAGACAATACACCAACAATGAATGCTTGGTATGATTTCTTTACCTCTGAGCTGGGACTTTTCAGCCACAATAGCTTAGCCAAGTCATCTCCATTTGTGTTGGACAGCGCATGCTCAAACACCTCCACTTTTTGCATTAGAGTCAAATGGTCATAATCAGGCGCCATCTGACCAGACAAAAGATAAAATGACATTTAACCAAGTCAGTGTCTGACAGTCAGTGTGTGACTTCCAATGTGTGGCTGTCAAATACTGAAGATATTAGAGCTCTTCAAGTAAGAAGATGGTAAAAACATCGCTTGACGTTTATTGGCTAAAGGTACATGTATCTTAGTCAGAGAGTTCTATACCCTTACGAGCTGAACTTACTCTTAACATGATGCGATGTTCTATATTAAGGAGAATCTTTTTCTTTTCCCGATAGTCCCGGATGAGGGCGTGCAGGGTGTCACTGTGAGGCACCCAACCAATCAGACCAGAGTTTGTTGACAGCGGAATGACTGCATAACGCACAATTCTAGAAATAAAAGTAAATGAGACAAACGTAAATGAAACTATTCTCAGTGAATGAAAAAATACATTATTGAGCATGTTTTACCCCAAATGTCTCTTGGAAGTTTCTTGATCACCAGCCAACAGAGTGTTCACCAAACCAAAAAGTTGCATGACTCTTTCGTCCTGCCGAAGATCTTCGTGGCCCTTCAGCAAAAACATGAACTCGGAGCCATTACTCCCTACAGGACAGAGATAAGCATGAAAGAAGGATCACGTACATTTTTCAGTTTTTTCCACAACATTTTTCTCCAAACAATATTTTTTATTACTTTACCTGTAATAAACAGTTTTCTTGGTCTCTGTTTGGACGTAATGACGTTAAGGGAGGCATGAACATGTCTGATGTGTATCACAGGTTTGTGAGGTTCGTAGGTTCCAGGTACAGCCAGCTCCAGGTCCCGACACATCAACAATTTGGGAGACACGTACTGAAGCTCTAGAGAAGTCAACTGCATGAAGAAAACACACACGTTACTGATTTGATAGAGCTTTTAATTGCAGCTCCTTAGCACATCTCCTATGAATCAGTAACCAACAGTATCAGTTAAACGTCAGTTAATTATCTAGATCAACTTCAAGACAATTAAAGAAGCGTTAATTTTAATTTTTCTCTCCGATCTATTATTTTCAATATCATTTTGGATTTATACAAATTGTAACAGTACCTGTGGTAGTTGCTTGGAGATTCTTCTAAAGACCAAGTAGTACAAATCCCAGGCCTGAGTAAGATCTTTTACATTTCCTGATCGCTGATACTTCCTACACCACTCCTGAGCTTCCATAAGGTCCCGGCCGTAAGCCTGGACAAGATTAACAATTGATCTTGTTAAAGTGTAAATGTCTAACGCTTAAGCTTTAAACTTTAAAACTCATCTTTATTTGGAATAATTTTTTTCTCTCTTTTCTCTCATATGAGTATATGTAAATAAAGAAATGCGTGTTACAAGTGTTAAATTCTAATTTTAAATTCTAAGGTTCCTAGGCTTACATATACGAATGCAAGCGAAAACACAAAGAAAGGAACGAACGTACATTCAGAGGAACGAATGGAAACACTTATAACCGAACAGCTAGCAGAGAGACTTCATTGGTAGGGTCCATTATCAAGGTCTCCCCTTAAAAGGAACCCTCGTGAAGTGATAAAAAAGAAAGTGTGTCCACTATCCGGCCATTCAAGCCTGAACTGTAATTAGCATCACGGTGGACAAAACCGGAGGAAACACGGTCTGGATACATGTAAGTAGACAAAGAAATGAAAAAGCATAATATCTTTGGCAAAGACTACAACTACCACGCCACTTTAGATCATATACGTTACCTGGTTAAACGAAGTTTCTTTGAGAGTCTGTGGTCCCCTCTCCATCATCTGATGCAGCGGCTCCAAAGCGGTAAACATTCCTTTTACATTGCCTTCGCTGAAGTAAAGCCTTGAAGCTTCTTCGAGCCCTTCATGCCATAATTCATGCCACAAGATGGCCACTCGGATAAGCTCGTCACTTACCTAAAATAAGTGCATGATAAGGAAGAAACTAAAAATATCTGAACTGACCCAGCATTCATGTTTTCTATTGTAACCGTATATTGATCCATAAATAACAAAAATTGATGAGAAGAGCCGCTCATGCAAACTGAATCTGACTTGAACACAAAGTGGTCACGATGATCATTTCAAGTAATCTTTTTTTCCTTTAAAATGGGAAAGCAGATCAGTTTGACTATTCAATCGTGGCTTTCTCAGGTGAACCTGCCACAGCGGAAACAAACAGTAGCCGTCTTAACAACCAATTAAAGATTGGACATACCATAATTGCTTTCTGATCTATCTGAAAGATATGTTCAGAAAAGTTCTATATCTATCAGGACTATTTTCCTATCCAAGTTATGACTGTGTCCACCTATGTTAAACATTTGCCGCACGAAATGAAGGCTGAGTCCACACATGCTGTGTAGTTCTTATGATAACTGCTTGCTGCTGCTCTATCTGACTTAAGACTGAGTCCAAACACTTTCACAACCTACCATGACCGCTTACTATACTACCTTAAAACTGCGTTCAAACATGACCTGTACATACCATAACTGCTTGTTGTACGAGCTGTTGACTATGTTCACACATGTTATTTAGAATCTGATTGGCTGCGTCGTGACGGGCACTGCTTGCTGATTTGGAGGCTACAGTAAGTGGATAGATCAAAGCCTGACCAGAGATAAAACAAACGTTTAGTCAGATGTGTCATTTATGGACTGGTTATGGTCTTGGATAAAAAATGATTTGCAATTGTTTCTTTGCTCGAAGGGGGTAGTCTTTGCTTTGATTCTGCTCGACTTCTCATTGTCTTCAGACATTTACGTACCTGCTAAACGTGTGGGTATCGGATTTTCTCTTTTTCTTTAGTTTTCAATTTCATGCTAAACATCCCTTGATAACTACCAATCCGATAACTTAATAAGTAACCGTTTAAAGACTTGAGGATAAACCAAAAAGAACAGCACTTCATGCATTTTTGTTCTTTAGGATGAATGACTACAGTAGAAGCTGACTAAACCTGTGGATGATGTTTTCCAATATCTGTGAGCAGCTGATGAATAAGTCGTCCAACAAGTTGGCGAGGAGTATCAATCCTGGCGATCAGTTGCGGAATGACCTAAGAAAACGAGTACACAATAAGAATGATAGTAATGCAGAGTTGAGGAAATTAAAGAGATTAAAGAATAAAACATGAACATTATCGATGCTCAAAGCACTTTTTACAGAACCAAAACTGACTCGTGTCCAGATTTAAATCCGTACCTGAAGCCATGTGTCAATCTGAATTGTTTTAATTCCCTCCACGAGAGCTTCGTAAACCTCAGGCCAGTGACCATAATCAAACCACAGTGTCAACAATCTGATAAAGTAAGGCACGAAGAAAATAGACCTATCAGTATTGATTAGTGCCACTCCCTACCTCTACATTCCAGGCTTTTAAAGGTTAGCCGCACTTAATGATTGAAAATTGAAGACCGAACGAAAAAATAAAATGTGTAAAGTAAATGTAATAGATTATGTTCAGCAGATATGACCATGGTACTTTAAGGTCCGTGCATTCCATCAGAAGCGCCCAACAAGGATTCATGCAACTGTCACATAAGTGTCCTGGTGCTGGCCCGCTAACTCTCCTTAGCTCCACGTCCAACTAAGCAATACAGCGGCCAAACGCGGGCATCAATTCTGAAGGCCGCGCACCCATTTCCCTCGCAAAATTTCAAAACAAGCTATAACAAACAACTGCTGTCTTTCAAAATAAGCAAATTATAATTAAAACGTTCATAGAAACCTGTTAAAGAAAAGAAGTGGTAAAAAGAAAACTCGAGACTTTCGAACACTAAACTTATTCAAGTAAGAGCATCCTATTGATTTAACATTCTCTTTTAAGCTTTAAAAAAACTTTAAACGCTTTTGAAACACCGTAAACTATTTACTTGTTTGGTTGTTTGTAACTCGTGCGTGAAAACTTGGTTCCGGCAACCTGAGAGCACGCCACTTTGTCTTTACAACGTTTGCGCATGAATTGACATTTGACCGCCGTGTTGAAAAAGGCACCGGACACTTACCTGAGGGTATCTTGAAGGGAATTGCCGCTGGACAGAGCAATTGACTTAAAGAAACCGTTTACTGCAGGCACCGCGTATGTGATCACTGGGTTAGCTACCTAGAATGGATAATGTACACCATGTAAAAACAAACAACTTCATTTGATAAAAAGGTCTGGAAAGTCCCAGCTTAACGCAACTCTTAAACCATTTCCCTTTTCAATTGAACTTAAGAATGTACTTACAGATGAGGTCGACATCGGCGGAGGATTTTTGGAAGCGTTTCCATTATTAGGGCCATCAGTTCCTGACTGTTGACTTTTGTAGTACAACACTGTTTCAAAGTTCATGTAAGCCCACGCGTGCCATGCCTGAAGATGTTAGTGAGAATCAAAACGTAAGGCGAGAAGTCTCCATAAATGTGGATCACGGCTCAAAAACTCAATGTCGTTTGTACCGGATTCGTTTTTACTGGTGAGGCATTACTAAGAAATTTGCCGCTGCCAATCCATTTTTAGCAAAAAAATTCCAAATGTACCTTGTAGCAGTTTCTGTCATTTTCTGTAGCTGCAGCATAATACTGAAGTATTTGAGGAATAGATTTCTCGCTGTATCCCTCAAGAGCTGTTTGCCAGTCACCAAGCTTCAGGTAACACCTGTGCACGTTAAAAAGTTCATTATTTATAAGTCGCTCAAGAAAAGGACACAACTGAGGAGCATCAGTTACCTGGCAACAAGTTTGAGGAGCTCCTCTCTCTTCTGTCCATCATCAGTGGGTGACAGAGACGACAACGCCTGCTGGTGCAGCGTGTTTTGCACAAAATACTGAAGATGTTTGAAAGCGTCATCCTGCAACAAAACAATAGTTTTCCCATTCAAATTTACGGCGTACACTGTTTCATTGCAATAAGTTCAAATATTATGAACTTCGCTTCACTAGAAACTGTCCAACCTGTTTATTCTCTCTCCACATGTGCTTCATGTAAGCAAACGTGACTTGTGGGTAGGTGGTTGGTAAAGGTTGGTCAACTTGTTTCGATGGATCTGTTCCAAGTAGCATGACCAGAGTCTTGTGACTAAGCGCAAGTCGGCCACTCTTTCGGCATAAACTAGAGTACTTCAGCCATGATTTCATGTCCTCCTGTGGGGAGAGGACTAACGAGCGAACTTTTAGAATCTTTTGCCAGTCTTCTACTACTCGCTGGCATCCCTGTTCAGGAAAAAAAAATAAGACACAGCGTGACTCCTTCGTCCATCAGAAGACACATAAAAAAAAACCAGTTCAACTTGTTTATTGATTCACTAGGATGTACGGATGGAATTACCCACCCCACATCCCCAGTGCCACCGTTTAGTATGCCATGGATATTAGGGATGTAAAGTAACAGCACTACATACTTACCTGCAGCCTGTTCCACCAAGTTCTTTTAATGGCTTCTCTCCTCTCTGGGACTAGCTTAAACTGGATAATTTCTTCAAGCTCTGATAACATCTGTACGCTCACCATAGCCTGCATTGACAATCACACGAAAGTGGCTTTAAACAACTATACACCTACAAACTATCTTGCTTATTGGCTGCAATCAACTTTAACACTCTATTTGTAAATTTATCAGACTACAAACTGCAATCACCCTACGGAATTGAGCAATTTTGAAATGTGATTTCTTCAACGTATACGCGGGGAGAAATAAAAAAAAAATGAGACTGTCCCAAAAAGTATATATATGAGCACCGTACCCCATAAGCTCGGTTGTAGCTCTCGCCAGCTCGGGCTGTTAACTCTGTGTCTAACACATCACGTGCTGAGTCAATACACTGATGAAGAACAAACATCACTCGTTTAAAAATTAAAACTTGTTATCATGCAATAAAGAACCAATAAATTCCCATAGAAGTATTTTCAACATCAAAGTCACGAGTAAAAGGTGGCGTTGAAAAGGATTTTCACTGATTACGAACCGCCATTTTGAGCGAGAGAGGATTTAAGAGGACAGTTACTATTTTTACAAACACATAAACCAGCGGCGCTCATTAAGATATTTATCACTACACAATTCTAAATAATTAACTGTTGAGGGTTGCCACTTACTCCTTGTGCTTGTTGGAAATGGTTTTGATGAAGAGCAAGAGCCGCTCTGTAGAAAGCTCCTTCTTGTGTCTCTCGGGGTATCATACAGGTATATTCCTCCATACTGTCCCAGTTACCTGTGTGGACAACAAATTTAGTTTTGAATACGGCGCCTTCCTACCCTCCCCTAGCAAGTATTTACCACAGCCTTACCCAGTCCCCAGGCTGCTGCGGCCGCCATTCTAGCCATCTGTTGCCTGATGTCATCACTTACCACCGGCCACTTTTCAACAGCTACCTGATGAAGCTCCCCCCTGAAAAATTACCATAACCACATGTGTTACAAGAATAGGAAACTCTACTTTCCCCCCCCCCCTTTCCCACCCTGTCTGCTGTCAATGCTGCGAAGTTATCGGTTAGTTTGACACAACACTCATTTTGATATTAAAGAATAAAAGTCTGCGGGTCTTTGGGTATGTTCAAGGATTTTACAGTTCTGCACAACTCCTTGTCACTGTTGACTATAATGTGAAAACAAAGAGAAGTTTTTTAAGATATGTTGCATCTCTTTGTCCCACCTTTGCAATAAGGCGAAAAAATATTTGGCCATATCACTTTTATTGCTGTTATTCTGCGTAAGAGCCTACGCCCCGTTCTACGTCTAAACGATGGATGTTTACTCAATGAAAAAACAAGACTTACTTAACAGCTCACACCTTTAGTCACACGCACTCTTTAACTGTCTCTTATTGAAACGACCTATATTCTTGACAACGTCTTCAACGATTGATGGACTTTGAAAGGTCCTCAAATGTGGGTTTTTTTGAAGGTACTAGAGTTTCCTTTTAGTGTTTAATAGAAACCCTTTCGACAGTTTCTCAAAAAATCAACGTTTCGGTGATATTTTCTGCTCGACTACAGATTGTTTAGAGCGCTGTTTGGATGATAAATAAGGGTTAAGCATGACCGCCCTGAGGTCTGGGTATGGTAGTTGTTGAGTCAGTGATTACACTTTTAACAGAGGTATGTTGGGTATGTTGACTCAAACAAAATTTAACCATCAACCCACTGAAAAAAATTCGCGTGCAATTGGAAAAAACAAACAAACAAACGAACAATAACAAAAAGAGCAAAAGTAACCAACAACGAATTACCATTCGCCCAATGCTTCGAGGCATCTCATCCGTCCCAAGGAGAGGTTGATTTCATCAGGATTTTGAATCAATTTCTTGTTGTAAGCTTCCAACGCTTGCTCCCAGTCATGGAGTTTTTCGTACCAGCGCTCCTTAATTTTCTGTTAGATAACATACGTGTATTATCAAATCACCATAAAAGGTGGTGCAGATTAGGTAAGCTGTGTCAATCAATACTTTCAAACTGCTTACCACATCTGCTCCGTGATTCTTCATAGCATAAACCAAAACACCATGGGCTGCCTGTGGTTGCTGCAGTTTGTTGTTTATACTGACAGAAAGAAAAAAAAAAACAATTAAGTTACTCAAGGTAACTATCCAAAGGATACTAATGAACACACTCCAAATCAAACTCGCAAACCGAGAAAAGCCTATCATTAAGTAATAATTCAGCTGTTCGGCATAACCTTCACAGTATGTATTCCAAGACTCAATCGATAAGTCATCACATTTAAGAGGAGTTCTGATATTGGTTATTCAGCTGTTACCTGATCAGAGCCTCCAGTGTCTCAGTGGTCGGTCCTCTGTGAAATTCCTCTTCTTTGTAATGCAGCGCTTTTGCATAAGCTCGACATTTCGAGGCCTGTTCACCTAACAGATCATTGTTTAAAGGCAGTGCGCCCTAGAAAAAAGGCATTGAAAAACTTTAAAAGAAAGCCATGAAGAAGATATTACGTGAAAGAAAACATTTAACTGTACAGTAACAGGGCAGAGCACGAAATGAGAGAAAAGTTCAGCACCTTTTCCGTGTGCTCCATAAATTCTGCCAAATTAAGCAAGGTCTGAGTGATTTCTGGGATCTGACTTCCCAGGGCCATCTCCAAGTGTTTCACTAATTCATTCTGAAGTTCTTCGTGTAGCTCTGACCAACAAGATACGAACGCAACATTGAACAGGTCCCTGAGGAGATCAATAATAAGTTAAAGGACGCATTAAAATTAGATGTCTGAGAAACAAGTTCCACGAGAAAAATAGCGTGCAATTATACAAAGAGCAATTCAAGGCGAATAGCCTCCGTGCCTCAACCGTGGAAACTTTAGGGGAAAACTTTACAAGATCATTAACAATAATATCGTTTCATGCTACAACTTTGCGGGAGGTAATAATCCTTACGGCACCTCACTAAAGGAGTGTAAATCTGGGCTGGTGTTACTACATTGTTATTATCAAGGGGAGGGTACTACTGTGGCACCAGTAACACACTGTGTTTCTGCACCTCGTCCGAGGAGAGTAAGTCTATGGCAATGATAATGCACACGTTTACCTTGCAAGAGGGGGGTAAGTCTGTGCTGTAGCCCAACATGACCGTAATGCGGGTGAAGGTGATTCTTTTAGAAGTTCCACACTCAGTCTTCTCAACCATTCCATCCAATCATCCTTTGACACGCACCTTGATGCCCCCCACGCCTACAAGATAAAAAAACAATATCAGAAAGTATAACACGGATAATTCCAAATTTTCCCCAACAGAGTCCAACCCATGGCAAATATAGTTGAGATCAAATAGGAAGCAATCCGCGCTGATTTCTTTGGTCAAGTACTCATGTCTTACTGACTTAGATACATCATCAACCAAGAGCTTTATCTTTAAAATGAATGGAGAAAAATTAACATCACCCTTTGAAGACTGTCCGCCTTAAATGTCAGCTTCTTGATGCTCGCAGCTTCAATGGCTGCATTGGTAGCGGAGTCATCTGCCAAGTTTCCTCTACCAGCCTTTTGGCGGCGAGACAATACTTCGTTCTCCCAATCCAACAGAAAAGGGCTCTTGAAGAAGAAATGGTTAGCAACACTCTAATCTCCTTATCCAGCATAAATGGGCTCTCAAAAGGGGAAAGTACTCAGGTCACACAAACAACACACTATCCTCCTAATCAAAGGAAAATGGTCTCCTAACCTTTTACACCTGAACAGTGACCAGCAGTCATTAAGATCGTGAGAATGTATGAAATAATTTCTGATCTAAGAAGTATGGATTGTTGAACAAATTCTCCTAATTAGTGCTAAAGGAAATGTGCAGAGGATGTTAGGGCGTAAAGGTTAAAAAGGAAAGTATCCAGGTCAATCAAACCGTGTCAATACTCCATTCAACAAAAGGAGATAAGCTCTTCAAAGAAACTAAGACAACACCCATTCTTCCGTGAATCTAGCTGAAGTGGGCTTTTAAAAAGGATAGGATTCAAGTCATCGAAACCGCGACGATGGATCATTCACTCAGTCCATAGAGGTATTTAAAAGAGAAGAGTACACACAGTATCGATAAGTTTTAACCATGATTCTGGCAGGTTGCAGTTAGGTACACTAACCTTCACGATTTTAGTGATCAGAATGTCATAACGTTGGTGCTGGATCCGATGTCTCACAATTACCTGCAAGTTTAAGATAAAGAATAGACGAGTATGAGGAGCTGAGATACTTGGTCAAAGAAAAAAGAGGTCATTTTGTGATGATAAAAGCAGTCACACAAACCTTATGAACAGTGGGAATGAATGTAGAATATTGTTTCCCTAACTGGAACACCAGAGAACACAAAGTATCCATAGCTGTATGGCGTAGGTCTGGGCATGAGTCTAATGTCCTCATTATTGGATGAATGATTCGTGATGCAAAGTCTGTGAGATCCAGAGACTCACTGAGACGGTCCAAAGTCTCTAAAGCACATCTGTAATGAAAACACAGCTCACCGGAATAATTCATACATATTATCATTACCATCATTACTATTACTACTACCATTTACTGTGAAAACTCCCAGCATACTTGAAACAGTGTCAAAAGACAAATTGGATGGATGGACAGACATAAAGACAGGCACAGTTGTTCAGACTGACAGACGGACAGAACAAAATACAATAAAAAAGTCGACATGATTCATGTGCTTACCTTCTGACGACAAGCGGGATGTCAGACGAATCAAACAGTTTGACAACTGGTGGAACAAGAAGATGGAGGTAGTCATCGAGGCTGGAACCAAACATCTGAAGTGCATTCAATAGCTGCAGGATAACAAAAACGCTTGGTTATGACTGAGTCATTCATAACCAATAGAGATACCTGCATAGTTAATTAAACATAGGAGAAGTACAGCTTATGTTACCCTCTATCGACAACTCGGCCGCCTAAAGTACTCGTCCATGGCTTTAGCGGACTCGTCGATACTTGTTACTGGAATAAACGGTTGACTAAAGTTCTAATTTTATACACCCGATGCGGATCGAGTGGCGCCTTGCCGCGAACTCCGGCCCCGTTCTTCCCTCCCATCTCTTACCACTGGAAGAAATCTCTAATTTGCGCTTGATTTTCTCATGTTTTTCAACCTTCGCATAAGGGAAGCGAATGATTAACACGAATGTAAGATTCACCAAAGGGCGGATTATTGACCCGAATAACAATAAAGAGATCAACTTCGTTTTTTCCGTCACAGGAAAGCATTTCAAAATCATCACGTTAGGTGAGGCACAAATTCCCAGAGACAGCATTCGATGAAAGAGTACAAGCAAATGCGCGTAGTGAATGAAAAAAGGCAAATCAAAATACAAGCATTTGAGAGTAAACCTTTGCACGTGTGCAATCTCTCTACAGCACACGCGTTACTACACGCTCCGAAGAGCGTGTAATTAGCACCTCTTACACGCACTTGACGCGCGATTAAGGGATTGTAACATTGTTGAAAAATTCGAGCAAACGCACAGCATTCAATAACGTTTGCAATAATTAATTATAATTACCTTTGTTGTGACACTCCTTTGAGAGCTGTTGTCATGCATAAACACTTTGAGTATCTGAGGAATAATCTGCGGCAAGTAGATCTGAAAAGAAATGTTATGTTTCTTGGGTTAACCGTTTGAAAATCAGCTGGTTTATCGAAACCAGCCAAATTACCGTAGTTGCAAGTGGTGAGTATGCTTTGAAAAACTACAATCATAATTAGAAATGTTATGTTTTTCGGGTTAACCGTTTAAAAATCAGCTGGTTTATTGAAGTCAGTCTAATTACCGTAGTTGCCAGTGGTAAGTATGTTCTGAAAAACTACAATCATAATTACAAAATAATAATAATAATAATAATTCGATTGGGTGTCGGAAAACCAAAACCAAAGTTATCACAACAGCCAATCAAAACAAACGAAAATATTATAAGGAACCAATGAGAACTGTAACTAAAACCAAGCAAACTGCCTCAAGCGCGGGAAAACGCATGCGACCAGATCGTGATTGGTTTCACTTTTGTCGCTGATTGGCTGAGAGAGTGGCGCGAAGTAAAGCATAACCAATGCAAATTCGCATTACTTTCGACACTCTCTTGAAAATAACTCTATTCATTTATGCCAATAGACTCTACATAGTCTTTCAGCCATTTGAAAATGTTACCTTGAATTCTCCTCCTAGGGCTGTAACTATCTGTTCTACTAACAGTATAATGGTCGTCTGCATTGGACTGTTAAGGATCCAGTATTGCTGGAAAAATTAAACACCGTCAATACTTAGCTTCTCAGAAACTGGAGGTGTTTCAATACTTGCAAAAACCATCTTTCCACGGCGACTTGATGATGGAAGTTTCACAATTCATGTCAAACTAATGTGAGAGAATCAAGTCCAAATTCACAGCAAACTTCCCTTTACACACAAAGATCGCTTACCGGTCACATCGCCGACTACCTATTCGCCGACACCATGCATTAGTCAACTCGCCGACACAAATTTTAGTTAGTCGATATGATACACTTAAAGCGCAGTCTAAGTCCTCTTTGAAAACAGAGTTAAAAGCGGGACTTTTTGATGGTTTAGAAAGGAAACTAATTGTTTAATCGAACACACCTTGATCAGACCAAATATTTCATCCAAGTAGTTTCTGATATGTTGCTTGACAATTGATATCAGCACTCCTAGTTGCTGAAGTACAAACTACAAAAAATTCAACAAATTGTGAATCAAATGATGCTCTTGAAATTAATTTACTGGTAGTAATCATCCAGAGCACATATTTCCAAAATTTACAAACCTCTCTAAATGATGAATCACAAGTTCTAATGACATTCAGAAATGACGGCATAATCTGAAAACAAAAAGAAAAAGTTTACAATAACCACTAATAATTCCAATGACCGATAGGGAAATATGCAATAAAATTAATGATGGTTAAGAATATATATAAGAATAAGAATATATGAAGGTCATAAAATTAATGATCATACCTGAGAAAGGTAGGTCACACACTTCATTCCAAGACTCTTAAAAATAAATGTCACAGCCTAAAAGGAGAAAAAAATTAATATATCACCATTGGCATTTGAGTAACAATTGGGTCCACATTGTACCTCCAGTATAATTATTACAAATTAATTCCGAGTGGAATCCAATTCGGTCTGTAATCATACAAGTGAATGACAAAATCAGACAGCTGCGAAGCAGAAGTCCGATTTGTTTATCACGAGTAATCAAAAGTATTACAAATCTGAGAAACAAACTAGACATAGGTCATACGTTTTCATAAAAAAAATCGGCGAAATGCGCGACAACAGCACGCGTACATGACGCGAACTGCCCACTTACACAGGCATGACGTGTCAATTGGCCTATCAGTGCTCTAATCGGGCTGGTGATAATCAATCACGTTCGAGAATTTTGTTCAAGTTCTGATCAATGAAGTAATACCAGCGCTTGTGGTACACTTCACTTAACCCTTCAACCCATGAGTTTGAGCAGCATCCAATTTCTCTTCAAAACATCAGCCCTTAATCAAACATTAAGGCAATGAGAATAAAGGAAATGATCACCAACTAAATGAGCTTGATTGTTAAAAAAAAGTCTCCTTTTCAGCACTGTAGGGAATGTAAAGAGAACTGTACGGAGAAGATACATACTGATGTTGGGGTGTAAACGATAAACCATCAAGTACGTGAATATCAAAATGATTGGTACAAGAAAACCTATTTCATAACTTGATCATGCATTTTAAACATTGAGTTTTCATCTAGTACAGTGTATGTGCACTAAAGTCCTTCTTACATTGTACATGTACTAGTCATAACACTAACGGCTAGGTAGGAAGATGCTTTGAGACTTCTGAGAAACTATTGAAATAAAGTTTCAGTAGAATGGATAGTGTTATAATCATTGTTTATTCTGTTACCTGAATCACCATAGTATGGTGACTGGACAGTGATGAGTCCCTAACGATTCTCATGAGAGCAGACACAGCCACTGCAGGGTAGAACTCCTCTAGCTGAATGCTGCCCATGGTAACTAACATTTCACTTGTGCTAGTATCAGCTGCAAATGTATAGAATATAAACGAATGAGACTGTAATGGATTTGAGAAAAAAAAAAGAGACATGCAAAGCAATTTTGTTACCAAGCTACATGTTCATATTACCAGCCACACTTTTTCATTATTACAGTTGCATGTTTTCAAATCTGACCTGCTTCATTATCTGTTGAGTCTTTGGCAGAGTTTCCACCTACTAGGAGCCCTCCAGTCTGATTTAGTTTATGTTTATAAGGATCAAGAGCTCCTAAAAGTCCAAGCACTCGGATGGCCTACACACAAACAAAAAAATGAGTGAGGTTCAAAAAAACTCAATCATTCGGCAATTAAAGGAATAAAGCCAACTGACATATGAGTGTTACAGAACTACAAACACACCTCTCGCCTTATTCCAATGGCCTGTTCTGTTTTGAGGAAGTTCAACAAGACCTCTAAAAGATTAGGGTACTTCCTGTATGGTTCTACTACATATCTAAGAAATTCAAGCAGAACAATTTCAATATTGTTTTCAAATTTATGTTCATGCTTACGTCCAAATAGATTAAATAGAGAATAATACCAGGGCTTGTGGAGATGTGGAATTTCTCTTTGCGTTGAACACAAGAAAAGAGAAATTCTGTCTCTACACAAGCCCATTTATTTCTTTGTTTCAAATTAAAACACCACAGGCCTTTATTGACAAGAACATTTGACAAATGACCTTGATTTGAGAATGGTGAATGCTTTGCCATTTTATTCATCAACCTGACAGAGTGGCACAAAAGGCAAATGACATGTCAGCAGCTGATTGGCAATAAAAAAAACAAAACAAAACAGAAAAACACCTAAAAAGGCAATCATAATTTTACACAGGTGTAGTTGTAGCTTCTCTAAAGTCACCACAGTTTATATCAATAATAGGATGCAGCTTTCAGAGAAACAACTTCAAGTACAAAGCTTACCCAGTACTCTCCACAAGCTGACCAAGAGTCCACAGAGCAATCTGTTGGTGAAACACATCAAAATTGATTATGGCAAAATTCCCAGTCCATCATTCATCACTTCATGGGCAATGAAGTGATGAATGATTTATGGACAAACAAAATAATCAACTCCCTGTTGGCTTGATGAAATTAAGAGATCCTCGCAGCTAAGAACACTACTGAAACGAGTAGTTATAAATAGGACCTGAAAAAAATTCAGGCCCATACGGGATTTGAACCCATGACCTCTGCGATACCGGCTTGTTAGCTCAGTTGGTAGAGCACTGCACCAGTATCACAAAGGTCAAAGGGTTTTTTATTTTCACTACTGCTTCAGTAGTGTTTACTTAATTAGTGTGAGGATAACTCTCACATTCAGTAGCAGGGCTGTTGCTAGTTTATGTACTAGGCACATGTAATACTGTTTTGAGACTGTATTCCAACCATATATAGATACAGTATAGGGCTTTTATAAGTATTCTCCTTTTCAGGTAATAACTAGTACAATTTACCACCCACAGTACTTCTTATTACTACCTAAAATCACTTGGAAATCTTAATCACTTCTGAAATTCCATAAAATAGATTGCTCAACAGGTTTAAAAATTTCTTTCAGTTGTTGTGCTTAAAATAAGGGCAAACACTTTATTATGAATCTCACAAACAATTTGAACCCTAAATTCTCTACAAGTAACAAAATAATGTTTACCTCTCTTTTGTTGTTCAGTGAAGCATCCTGAAGCATATCAAGAATTATGGGACAAAGTTCATTCAGCCACTTGCTCATCTCTGTTCCACTGACCTAATAAGGAAATTAACAATGGTTGTTCAAAAAAATCTCCTTATTTATGATGTAAAATCATGGCAGCTAAAAATTAAAAATATAGGAGTTTGGCTCCATCAACTAAGTTAATAATGTTAATAGGCCACTGTAGAGAGTTTCTATAGCTGATGTTTCAAGCATTAGTCCTTTGTCACAGCTCTAACAAAGGGTTAACACTTGAAACATAAGCAGTTATATCGTCAAATCAGTGTATAAAACCAAATGATCTTAAAACATCCCTTACCAATACAGCACCACAGTTGTTTTAGAAACTTACTACTTTTTAAAAAAAAAACATAATAATTGTACTGACTAAAATTTTGCACTATACACCAATTTCTTACCAAGTTCAAGCACCCTTGGAAGTAGAATTGTCTTATCTAGACCCACAGTTTAAGTGATGTAAAAGATATTTGTTTCTCTGAATGATACCTGAGCATGTTCTCCGATGGCAGCCAATACACTTATAACTACATTGGGATCTTGGTCTTTTAGCTTTGGAATCAGCGCCTGTTAAAAAAACAAATTAATTTTCTCAACAAGGCAGCCATACAAGACAAACAAAAGGAAATGGTGCTTGTGCCATACAATTCATTTTTCTTTCATATCTGCGTGTTCACATAAAGTAAAGCAATAATTTTCACAAGTGTGCAATTTAAGCAATAATATTGCTAAAAAGAAGCCTGAAAAAATTCAGACTTTGGCGGGATTCAAACTCGTAGATACTGGTGGGGCAGGCATATCAAGAATGATAGTGCCCATGCATACTGTAGGAGGCACACATTAGAATCACACCAAAACCTAAATTTTTCAGGCTTCCTTTCTGCCTTTAAATTATAGTACACCTACAATGATCTTTGCATAACTTGATTTTCATCTGCTGGTCAAATGAAATTTTTTTTAAGCAAAACTTGTGTACTTGTTTACAAACTTTTAACATTCCCAGTAAAAGGTTGTTACATATTCTGACCTTGAGGATTGGTTCCATATAAGGCCTAATTAGTCTTGGTGCATTGGATACTAAATGACCCAGCATACGAGCACTCTGTTCCTTGTTGCGTCCCACTCCACTGTATTCTAGCTCAGTCAATATCTACAGTGTACATGTACAAAATTGTCATATGTCACAAACATAACTGACAATTGAAAACGTCTAAAATCATAACCCTCCAGGAAAAACATACATTGATGAATTCCTGTTTCTTAATGCAAATGACTTCTAACTTGTGTAGCCATTCACACAAGTTGGCAAATACATGTAAGTCTAAAACAGGAAGACACTGGGGATTTCAGTTAATTGGACATTTTATCATGTGGTATTTCAAAAATTTTAATCTCACAGTACTCTCAGAACCTGTGTGATGCAGTTTTTTTTATTCATTTTGGAGGGTATTGAAAACTATCCTCCAAGTCTTTCACCCTGTTCCCAGCCTTTTCCTGTTTCCAGTGTTTCAGAAACAATTACCTGATGTAATGTTCATCATTGTTATTTCTGTGTTATTTGCTATTAGAACCATAACATACAGAGTTGTGGTGGTTTCAGCATGACCTCGTCTTTCTACTTGTTATTGACTTCTTGTGGTATTCACTGATTCTTTTTTGTTATATTTATTTAACAGATTTGCAGAATTTTTTGCAGTATGCAATGTTCAGAACCCCCCTCCTAAAGGTATATTATAGGCAAGTATCATTCACTTTGGGACTCCACAGATACAGTAATTAATTTTTTGCAGACAGTACTTATGTATGCGACCCCTTCGTCTTGAGCAAAAACAATTTCTATATGACTCCAATAAAAACATATAGAATTGAGGTGAGCAACAATAAATACTAACTGTTCGATAGATACAAAGTATAAAAATCCAACATTGTGATACCAACAACTACAGGTTACTGAGAAAAAATACTATTAATAACTGCTGTACCTGAATAAGAGTTTTCCTCAGTGATGGCATGATATAAGCTGGATTCAAACTGCTAAGCCTTCCAATTGTACAGATGGCATGTTCACGAATTTCAAACTCCTGTTAATAACAATAACCAACTTCAACCTACTCAGATAAAAGTTACAGTATATCAATCAACATATATAAATACTATGACAATAAACTGCAAATGTACACTGTGCATAGTTGTACAGTAAGTTTCTGTTTCAATCAAACATACCTCATCATTAAGAGCCACAAACAAAGCTGATAAGTTCTCTGCTTGGGCTAGGTGTGCATCAAATCTCTCATCCAAGGATGACAACACACAAAAACGAATGTCTGGGTCTGCAGCCAAAACAGATGCAAAAAATTATGTACACATACAAAAACACAGGTTAAAACCTAGTGCTTCCTGTGCCATGGTTTGCATGAATTTTTTTTTCATGTTACATGTATGAACGGGTTGTGATAAGAAAATGTTATAAAATGCATGATGTGAACTGAGAAGAATTGGAATAAATGCCCTATGCTCCCATGTAAAGTTTTGAAGTTTGAAACTCGCTGAGACGAGATTTCCAGCATTCTGAGACATATGAGCCAATTTTCTTAACATTAGAATCAGTTCAAAAGACTTATTTTCTGTCTTTGATCACAATTCACGACATAGCCAATCCAAAATGGTTTGACAGCCAGTGGGTTTTTGCAACCTACAGCATCATAATTATACAAGAGACTGCCAGAAATAACATCAAAACCAACAAATCAATCATTTCAAAGCAATTAATATCAGCACAATTATGCAAAGCTGTGAGGATGACTGTGGAAAAGCAGCAAAAAAGCACAATAGTACCTCAAAAAAAAAAAAAGAAATCTAAAGCATACCTGGATCAGTTATTCCCACCATCAACATCTTAGACAACACCTCAGACACAACTTGTGTTGAGCTGGCACTGATGTTGGCATGATGAAGAGGAGCATGTGGTACAACCATAGGCTGCAAAACAAGCATTATGCAGATAAGGCTGAATAATATACTGCACTCATACTACTGCTCAAATGTGACTTGACAGTCTCCACTCAAAACTCAATCCTCAACTTTGAAACTACTGAGAATTCAGGCTCAAGTAGCAAGGAATTGAGGATTGTAAATCAAGGGTCAAGATGCTCTAGGAAGTTTTGAGGAAATGATTTCACTCTTGTCCGCAAAACAATACCAAAGGAAAAATTGCTTGCATGTGGCTTCATGACACAGAAACTGCTTGCATGTACAGCTGTATGCAAATATTTCTGATCAGTAATATCATGTTCATCCTTCTTGTTAGCCACACTTTGAGATTAAACTCAAAAACTCAACTGCAATATATAATTATTACTAAAATGACCATTTCCCCTGTTTTGTTGTTATAAGTAAACACAACAGTTACCACTTACATGGAGAGATGGTGACAAGAGCCTAGAGCAAGTTCTGACAGCTTCTATGCGGATATCCTTATGCTCACTTGCCAGAAAGGTATCAGCACAATGACGAACAAGATTTCCATGAGCCAGCAGATGTCCTGTAGGTGAAGAGTACATTCACCCATACAGTGTTAATGCTTGTTCGTGAATACATTACACTACCCATACGGACCGTACTCATCATCAAGTCAGTTTTATGACTCATTATGACCCGTGGTATTGGACAACCCTCAACTGAAAGCCACATATTGCATTCTTCATCATAAAACAAAGGGATTCAACTTAAATGGTGGTCAAGAGAACACCAATCAGAAGTAAATCAATTCTAATGAAACAACCATTAACCACATCTCAAGTAGTTTTAGTGAATGACTGTACAATTTTGAAATGTAAATAAATAAGACTATTGTACATTACTCAATTATTTTTAAATTTTGGATGGTTGTTGGCACTATCCAGAACTCCTTACAATGAGCTCTCACCATCAAAATCAAAGGTACCCAAGGTCCTTAAAGCCAAGACAGTGCTGGTCACATCCAGAGTGTCAAACAGTGAATGAGATGAGGCTGAAAAAAGAAAAAATAATTAAAATTTCCAAGTCAGCACAAAAGCTAATCAGTACAAAAGTTAATCAGTATCAGTACATTGGATACTCACACTTTTCTTACAACTTGATGACTTTTAACTTAGGCTTCCATTTGCCCTTTACACCCTAAAATAAGATATTTACATTCCCCATAGTGCTCTTTATACATTTCTTGAGGTGCCAACAAGGAGAATTTGTTTACCAATCAAAAGCTTCTTTAACATTAGTGATCATTTCCTTCATTCTCATGACCTTAACATGTGATTCAGGGGTGATTTTGTAATGAGAAATTAGTTGCAAGTCATTCTTAGGGTTTAAAGGGTTATGTGGGAAGCTTTGTTTTTCTTCCTGTCCCAAATCACCCCCTGACATTTACTGTGCATGCACAAGGTTAATATGATGGCTCAGTGGCAGAGCACATGATGTTTGGCTCTGGATTTGAAGCTCTCAGAGGATTGTTACTTCACTTTTGAAATGCAACTGACTTTTCCCAGTAAACACAAGAGTCTTCTTAAAGATGTAAGGGATGCCAAAAGAGTTCTACAAGCAAATTCTACTGAGTAAATCCTTTATCAAGCAACCTTCAAGATTTAGTGAGCTATCCAGTACCAAGTTTCAAGCACCAAAAGGATCATCTATACCAAAACTGATGCTTTTGAACACTTAAACATACCCAACTGCACTTTTGAAATACAACTGAATTTTCCAAATAAACACAGAAACAAAAACCTCAAGCAGTTTTTGGGTTAACTGTATTAATTTCTTTCTCATAATTTTTGCTTTTGTATTGACTTAGTGGAGTTTTTATTGCCTTGTTTTTATCTCTACAATTAAAGTAATAGGATATGTACTGGTAGTGGTCAAGCACTTCATGTCTCACAAAGATGGCTAAGCAGAGACTGCTTTTATATTCAACATTTGATGATTGTGATATCTTAGCTTGAAGTACAGTTGTACATGAAAATGTTTTTATCAAGTTGGCCTGTTAGTTGATGACTAAGCCATAGAGAAGATCAGGGAAGGTGCAGTGAGCACATGTATCCATACAACAGTCCCAGTTTGTGAGCCAGAAAGCCATGACCAAAAATGTTTTGCTGATTTCCAAGTAACAAGAACACTTGGTCTTAGATCAAGGGTAATGAATGCATTCCTCAACAGATGCTCATATACATTAAGTTTAACACTACTGAACAATTACCCAGCCTCACCTGAAGGAGTTAAAGTGGGTGTGGCATTTCTCGGTGCTCCAGGATGTCGTGGAGGCTTGTTCATCAAGATAGTAGAGAGCATTTTGAGGAGACCATCTGAAAGTTGAAAACAAAATAAAAAAATTAAAAATTACAACCAGATTTGTGTAACAGGTTAGCCCTTTATGATAGTCACCAAGTTAAAAATAATTATCACAGTAAGTTTTACTTCAAATCCAAAAGCAAAAGGAAAAAGTCAGCCACAGAATCAATACATGAGCAAAAAAATACAATCATGCATTTGTTATTGAGTTTTCATTTGGCACAAACCTTGAATACTTTTCTTTAGTTGTGGTACCTGGTGTGCTAAGTCATGTAAACATGCTGTAAGGGCTGGGCTGTGATATTACAAATAACATAATATAATATGAGAGCTAGGTTCATGTTATAATCAGGTCCATCATGACTAGTTGAAGAGATTCACATTAAATCATATTCAGTATGAGAATAATCATTAATGCTCACCGACAGACCTACACTGAACATCTACATGTACTAACAGTGAGGTTAGCTGACATGAACAGGCCGTTATTGGTAGCCCTTCAGCATGGGTCTTTCTTTGCCCACCGGAAAGTAAGAGGCCTTGAGAAATTTAAGGCAGCAAGAGGTATGCAAGGGGTCTAATGAAGCCAGACCCCCTGCAAACTGCTCCCAAACTCATCTAAAATCTTCCAAGGGGGCAGAGGGCTAACAATAAGACCTGCTCCCAGGCTAAAAGAAGTTGAACACCTTTATCAAGGGGATTAATCCTTAGGGCCATTTACTTAATATGTCAAAGAAAATAACTCTCACACTCCAAATGTGATTCACTACATCAAAATTATCACCATTACTTTTAGTATTACATGTACCGAGTACAGCTGTGTATACTTTACCTCAGCCCAACAGATAACATTGGCTCTAAAAGGTCTTTAACTTCTTTTGAGATCTTTGGTCCGATGGCTCTTGACATCATTGCAACACAGGCAAACACCATTGGATCAACAGTCACTGCTTTTTGACGCCTGAAAAGATGACAGTTACAGGAATATCATTGGTACATGTAAGTTGACATGAATGTGTGATATGCAGTAAAACTGAAAGATGATGCAACAATGAAAAAAATAAAAAATGTAAATGAACCAGCTCCAATGAGCAATATGCCCTGTGGCCATAGCAAATACCATGACAACCATTCCTCAGGCCCCTTGCAATTTCCAGGTACACATTTGCATTTAGATCCTTCTTACTTAGGGATGATGTGTATACATACAAAACTTTGTAACTGAAAAGAGTAGAGACAAGTAGAATTTACTGAACTAGAATCTCTTCACTCACTTATGCCCAAGATCCTTCATTGGAAGAAGAACTTTGACTTGCTCAAACACAGGTCCCCTGTGCTTCTCAACATCTTGTCGTACAGCAATGGCTATCAATCCAATTGCTTTGAAAGCTGAAGACCGCTCTCTTTCCTTTAAAATGAAAAATCTACCATTGACAATCTTTTCAGTACACATATTTTGTGCTACAGTAAGAAAGTATTTCATATTTACAGATAAAAAAATATGAAGTACATTTAAGCATGTTCTTTATTCATTAATTCCCAAAATACACTGTAACTAGGAAAAATTTGTTTTCATGAACAGGCCCTCCATTGAGAGATAAGAGAATTATATGTTTATCTATCAGAACTCTCCCCTACTAGGCAAAATTCTCTACTTTCAAGTACAAGTAGAATTCTCTATTCATTAGTCAGAATTTCCCACTTAACAAGGCAGAATCCTCTGAGAAAATTTCAATAGCCTTAACTTTTCCCAATCAGGGAGAATGTTTTATTACTACTTATACTAAATCTCCTGCTAAACCATTTCTTATCAAAAACTCTGCAATTAACATAAACATGACATATCAACTTGAAGTTAAAGTTGTGCACTCCAACCTGTAATTTTCAAAAAGTACAGTCATGCACATGTACAACACATGATAATTTTGTTATGTTTTACTTACTCTTCTAAGAGCAACACTTAAGTAGTCCATAGTCTCTCTGAGGTATCTAAAAATCATCAATTTACAATCAATATCACACCCAAAGCCATGTGTACATTAGGCATAAAGTAAACATGAAATTTATGTAAAATAGAAGAAAGAAAATTAATAATTAGTATCTATAAATCCTGTCCAAAATACTCACAAGTCTTTGTTCATGCTCTTTTCAGCACAGAATTCACTTTCATTGACAAAAATTACAGATATCATTTAATACTGTCAGTACCAATTTGCTGACTCTCTGTGTTCATCAATCAAGAAGGAACTCACAACTTTTCCAGATAGGATCATACAGGTTAGCAAATATCCAATTCAAACAAATGCTTAACTTACCTTTTAACAAATCGTTTTGGTTGAAATGCAGCAAGTCTGGGCAGAATGGTCAATAGCATCTGTTGGATGGAGCTGTTCCGTGTTGTTTTGTATCTTAGAACCAGTTTGCACACCTAAAGAACATGCATACAAAGAATTAAGAAGAAAAATGGGTAAGGAGGAGTACAAACAAATTTTATTCAAATATCCAATGTAATATATAGATCTATAAATACTCTTTTTAGCTCCACACAGTTTAGCAAAGTTCACAGAACACCATTACATGAACATAACTTGTAGCAAAAAATTATGAGCATGCTCAATTTGAATTCATTTACAGCTCTCTCAAATTACAGCTCATTTACAGCTCTCTCAAATGTCGTATTGACCCGAAGCAATCTGTTGACAAAAGTTTTCTGCCCAGTTTTCCTGAGAATGATTCCCCTCTTCTCCCTAACTATGCATTCTACTTAACAGTGTCTATAAATGGCTGAGTTCCAAACTGTCCCACAATCTCACATTCTGCTTGGTAATGCTAGCTTCTCCACCCACAAGTGACCACAAGCACTGCTACTCTCACAAGAAAGAGAGCAAGTCTGACCATGGTCACCCCTTAGTCAGCACTTTGTCAACTTGTGTACAGACTGACACACTGTTACAGTACTGCACATGCACAAAAACCCAGTATACTTCACACTTCAAGAAATATAAAAGCAACAACATATTCACCTCTTCAAAGTGGTCATCCATGAAATCTTTACAAACTTTACTATGACAGATAGTTTCCGCCATCCCTCCCCCTCCAAGTAAAGCCAATGATCTCTGATGTTGGTACCCAGTCTGCAGAGCAAACTTACTCTTGGGAGAATTAATGCCTAAATCATCCAGACTAAATTGAGTTTGGGTTTGATCACAGTAGATTTCTTCTAATTCCTGTTTGGCTCTCTGTAATGGTAAAATAAAACTTGACTCAAACCCCTTAACCCTTTTACTCCCAGATCTCAAAAGTAATTCTCCTTACGGTCTACTATACAATTCTTATGATATTAGTTCCAAGAATTTGGTATTGAATCAACTAGTAATCCCCAAATTTATATTTTTCTTCATTCTCATGACTGCTATACTTCATATAGTATTGATATTGTAAGGGGAAATTCTCTTTTATGGGAGGTAAAGGGTTAATACAAATAAAAAACAAAATGGAACACAGTTGCTTTCCTGGGTTTAAAGAGATATGACATAGGTATTTATGAATTGCATGCACAATTTGTTCACATTAAGACATTTTTTGTTTGTTTTATTTCGTTCTTTTTATCCTTCTTTTTGGTTTTTTATCAATGACTTTACCCTTTACATTTGTTAAATTACAATCTAGAATTTTTTTTAGTTGGTGATCAAGACTTCAATGTATGATTCAGGGGTGACTTTGTGGGGAGAAATTAGATTCTAGTTGCTCTGAGGGGTCAAAGGGGTTACATACATCACCTTGAACTGAAAAGATCATACAAAATCTAAAAGAACTGGCTAGCAATATCATAGGATTTGAGTGTTAGTTTGATGATTATCTCATACAGGATTCACACCATTATGACAATTTACAGATGTCATGCCAACCTCTCCTTCAATGCTTGCACTTCTTATCAGTTCATTCATTATAAGCAGAGATCCATGAGCTTTGTCATCTTTTGTGAGAACAACACCCTTTTCTTTAGTGTTAAGAGTGTCCTCAAACCCTCTCTTTGCCTCAGAATAGATTTGCTAAAAAAGTAAAATAATAAGAGCTTTTCAAAAAAGGTGCTTGTACAGTGTAGTACAAGATCTTAGTCAAGTAGTCCCAATATATAAATGTGTAGTCATAATAGAGACCACTGGCCTTATAATTATGGTCCAGTACCTCTTACTACCAACTATATCTCTTCAAATCATTCAACAGTATTGTTTAAAAGTATTGCTTTACTGTTTTGAAAATTTACCTGTCTTGCTTAAAATAAGGGAGAATGCTGTCACTGCATAAGATTATCAACAGACATTAAGCACTCCACTTACCAGTAATGTGCCATGAAATTTGTCTTGCAGTGAAAGTGCTCATCACTTTGTACATGTACACATATTGAAAAAAGATTTTCTGCATAAGACTTACAGTGTACCAGATGGGGCGTTGCTGAATTTCCTTTGTTTCTCTCTGAGCCAAAATAACAAGACAGGCTTGCAAGGCTTCCACTGCACCCTCACGGATTGCTTGCTATAAACATTACATGAGATGAAAATCAACCTGTGAACACTTTCTTTGCTACATACAGAACCTCAATTCTAATTTGTAACTATTGTAATAATTATGGCAAATCATGTTTATCAAGATTCTTAATGTCTTGAACTAAATTTACCTTTGGGTCTCGTACAGCATTTGAAATATTCTCAAAAAAAGGCTGAATTTGTTGAAAGAAGAACGTTGGAGCATTCAGTGCCAGTTCCTTCAAGACCAACACCTGTAATAGAATGATGATAAAAGTTTTCAACTGAGAAGCAGAATCCTTAACAGCAATAAAATTTAGAAAATTACCCAAAATTACCCTAAATTCTGAACCACAAAATATCACAAAAAGAGACAATACGAGAAAACGTCATAAAAATTAATATTAGAGTTATAGTTGGCAGACGCAAACTCCACTTGTGTAGAATATAGCCTCTTGCTGAAAAAGCTTGGATAATGGTGTATGTACTTACAGCAGCATGTCGACGACCTTCATTCCTGTCACCTCCAAGCCACTCTAACGCTCTCTTCACCTCGAACTCCACATAGTCAGCAGTAAACGTCCCTCCTGTGAGAGCTAATCTTCCCATAGCCTTGGAAGCCATCTGCATCACAACTTGATCATTTGACGGTAACAGGTTTCTCAAGTAATTGGCAAACCTGCTCATTTTTGTGGTATTCCCATTGTCGATGCCAATAAGAGCCACTATAACAGAATGAAAATAACTTCAAACACGTGACGTTTTTGTATATATGAACTGTAGAAAGTCATGTACATTTAAGTTTCATCGATGGTTCAGTCGTGTAGAAAGCAAAGAAAGGAAATAATTGTCCAGTGGAGTCTGAGTCTAAGATCATCAACTGATCACGAACCGAATGATCTTTGTTTATTTACATGTACGTAACAAGTCTTGGAAGGCATTTGAAAACTTTTCCGCAAATACACGAGCAATGGAGCCATAAAAGAACAAAGTTTATCATAACATCACTCACCAATTGCCATAATTCCTCCTTTCTTTTCATTCGCATCAGAACTCGACACCATTTCGAAAATGTGATGATTAAGTTCGTCCATAAAACTCGTGTACTGCTCGGCAGAAGCTTCGCGGAGTTCTGTAGACACATAATGCTGCAGATCTTTGGCCGCTTGAAGCCTTGATTCATCACTGCGGCTTTTCAACCCGTTTAAACGCTGCTGCATCATTTTGAATGGATCACAAAGGAACAAGTAAGGCCATTCATGCAATCCTTGTTTAGTGTCCGGGAAGTGTTATTTATCACATGTACACCATGTTGGATGTTGGACAGAAAGAGTAGTGTCCAGATTCCTCTCACATGACCCTCATAACCCAGTCGCCACTCGTTACCCCAACCTACATGTGCTGCTTCGGTTGTCAATAAATCATTTCATTAACCGAATTTCTAGGAAAATACGCGGCTAGTATCAACAGAAGTCCTTCATCAAACTGTTAACGAACACAGGTAAGCTGCTTGACATCAAAACTTCTCACTGTGGTGAGCCGACGAAGCTTTGCTCAATTCAAGGAAACAAATTCGAAACAAGAAATAACTTAACTCTGAGATACAAGGCGAAGCTAATGTGCGAAACTTTGAGCACAACAATTTTTAGATTTACTAGGCTTTACTTGAAAATGCCCGTTCTTAATTTATCTATTTGCAAGGACGCCAAAGTTTGGTCAGCAAAGAAATTAAGCCACGTTGCCGAGAGCAAATTATGTCTCAGTATTTTCTTTTGGCCGAAGTAAATGATGTAACTCGGGAAGAAGGACTTGTTATAATGGGGAAAATCCTGTCTACGTCAGTCTTAAATTAAAAAGCTCGAACACGTCCGAAGCAGAACAACTGCTGGACAAATAATTCTACGGAGATGTATTTTCTTTGAGCGAGCCGCCGGCTTCCTAATGAAATTCTCTTTGTTTATTTTCCATTTGCGGTTTCTTCCGGGTCTCACTTCAATCCCCGAATGTTTCTCCATCTAGTTACAAAAATAATGCGAGTAACCTCGTGATTTTTTATTAAAAAAAAAAAAAAAGAACCATGATTCATTTGGGGGGGTGGGGGTTATTTAAGTGATGAATTCAACAGAAATTTACTCCTCTCCCTTTGTCTTTACCATTCCGACTGTAAATTATTTCATGTTAACTCTGTACGACCAGTGACTATATTTACCAAAAGTGACACTTCAATACTAAATGTTTATTTAGCTGCTTATAATTTCTATGGTTTACTGAATAGTCTTTGCAACAAAAAAAAAAAACAAACCAATGGATAAAGACAACGGAGAAAAGGATCCTTCCTCAGATGAAAGACCACCTTACGATTTTCTTAACAGAAAAAGAAAGAAGGAATGTCTAATCCAGTGAAGAAAAATTTAAAAGCTGCGCGGTTGAAAAAACAGGTGCTTTGGATTTTAATTAGCAGCAATCATACTATTTCCTGGTTAATTCATCAATGAACAGCGGCCCAAGTTGACAAAGCCAACATGAAAATTGAAAAAAGCGATTACATTTGAGTCGAGTTCAGATGCGTTTGATCTGCTATTCGGTGACCGACCTACAATGGACGCCAAGACCCTTTCCGCCATGATATTTAAATCATTTCTCGTTCTTATCATATCGTTAACCTCAGTAATCGGTAATTCCATGGTGTTAGCAGTTGTGTATCGAAGTCAGCGACTTCGAACTCTGACAAACGCGTACATTGTAAACCTGGCTATATCAGATATCTTCATGGCCACATTGTGCATGCCATTAACGATCACTGCTTTGATAACTGTTAACTGGTCATGGGGTGACACAATGTGTAAATTCCAAGGCATCCTCGGAGTCTCACTGGCCTTTATTTCTTTACAAACCATGACGCTGACGGCAGCAAATCGATATTTTCGAATTGTACGTCCAAGAAAATATCCATCAATATTTACCAAGCGGTCTACATTTGTCATGATATCTGTGTTATGGGTGGTGGGACTGTGTTTTGGTGAGTTGTACGTGTGGGCCAGCGGAGGAGAAATCATCTACATTCCAAACGCAGGAACTTGTTTCCCTCGTTTTGTCCCTCTTGTAGTTGCTGTAATTGGTTTTCTTCTGCCGTCTATCCTGATGTTTCTGTGCTATTTCTTGGTTTACAGAGCGGTCCGCCGACACTCCCTGACAGTCACATGTTCATTACAACGAGGAGACGTAAGGCCAAATTGTGAAGAACTGAACACCACCAAGCTGCTCTTCTTTGTCATGCTTGGCTTTGTTCTTTGTTGGGTTCCAACCCAAGTTATTGGAATGATCCTCGCAAAAGTTATGGACACTCTTCCTCCTGAATATCCGTGGATTTGTTTCACGCTTGTGTATTTATCCTGTGCAGTAAATCCTATAATTTATGGTGTAATGAATGCTAGATTTAGACGGGAGTTTAAGAAGTTGGTATCTTCAGCTAAACGTGGAGTAGTTTGTACTGGTAGGCATTTTAGGACAAACCCAACAAACCAACGGGAAGAATTGGTTTTACAAGTTATTTGATTGCAATATATGTTGTCATTAGTCTAAAATAATACAGGGGCTTTTGCTCCTTTATAAAAAAAAAGCCGGAGGGGATAAAAGTTATAGTTAAGGTTTAACGGATCTAATGCCGAGTGACATATAATTTCCTTATAATTTTTGCATATCAATTATTTGGATGAAAAATTCATAACCTGTATAGTCACCTCGGTAGGCCGTATACAGCACGTTGTAGGGCAATATGTAACTTCCTCTTCCTTCATTTGTTTATAAGTTCAGCTGCAAGCTGGTTTGAATGGGGGCTTGCTTAAAACAATTGAGTATAACAAATATGTGTGGAAACATAAAATACAAAAGGAGCCCACAACACAAATTACAATTTACACATACAATATACAATATAAGTTACATTTAAAAAAATACAAATATATTCATATAAAAGCAAAAATGGAAAGAATAAATTACAGCTACTGCAATGATATAGTGAGATTCGTCATGAATGGCTGATAAAATGAACGGCCCACAAATATCACAATTTAAGAAGCGCAATTTACACAAATATCATCACCTTGATGTCCAACTAATTCACATGCATCTCTCGAATAAACATTTCATTACCTCTGACTAATTAGAAACTAGGATAAATACCGCATGTACTGAACATAGGGAATGGCTATTGCATTTGTGCGATGAGATGAAGAGAGGATAATGATAACAAAACTGGAACTACAGCAGAGAAATAAGCTGATAATAAATAATTTAAACAAAAAGGTCGTCGTAAGGGTCCTGAAAAGAAAGGACAAATGTTCATTTCATTCCTTCGCTTTTTTTCATCGCAACAAAATCTACAAAGCACAAAGTGAAGACATAAAATACGGATGCAAATAAGCTCTGTCAACTCCATACGGATCAGATAAACTTAGTCTGGATCTTCAGTTAGCAATTCAATTCAATTCAATTCCCAAAACCTTGTGATTCTCTTATTTCTCAGTTGTTGTGTTCCTGCCAGGTGGACCCACTTCAACAAAAACAGTTGCTGGAACACTTTTTCTGACTAAGTAATTAGTATTCTTTTCTAAATAGAGCGCAGAATGAAGGAAAACCAGCCTTTAAAAGCCAATGAGAACTCAAACTAAGACAACCAAACTGCCTTAAGTGCGGGAGATCGTACACGAGCGACCGAGTCGTGAACGGTGTTAGTTTTGTATACGATTGGTCAAGAGAGTGGCGAGAGTTTTCTGGACCAATCTCAGAGTGAACCAAAAACAAAACAGTCAAGGATTATTTTTGACACTCGCTTGAAAATTTCGATCTATAAAACTGTACATTTGCCAAAATGGCCATTATAAGACATGGTATTAGTTATCTATTCTACCTAGGTGTTGATAGGAGAAAGTTTATCCATTTGTTGTCTTTAAATATCGTTATATCAGCTGGAGTCTTGATTAACGTTGCATATTTAAAAGAGGTGTGGTCAGCGTTCATGAATACAAATGTCCTAAAACCTAAATATTGCCACCAGCTCTAAATACAGATTGCTCCTTTGCGTCCATCACGCCAGCTAGCAGCGCAATGTGTATTATGCACGAGGCACTGAATTAAACTTCAATTAAAACTCTGAGACAAAAGTTATTTGGGGTTAGGGTACATTGAAGAAGTTTGAAGGTTCTCGAGATCGATCAGTTTGTACAAAGAGGCCATTCCACCAGCAGTTCAAGAAAGAAACAAGCTCATATGTCTCTAGTTTCTCTACTGACCCGGTACTGACCTTCTTTAAACTGACAAAGTTTTTCTTGATTTGTCTCCTTAATTAGAATATGCAGAATAATATACCCGAACGATAAAGATTCTGGCGCAAATGACTTCTACTTTCATGGCACTTTAAGGTGAAAACCACGCACGTAAACCTAACGAAGTATTCTTGTCTTATTTGTCTTTGACCAAATTAAAAATTGATCATCGACGACTTGTGGCAAAAAGCTTTTTTGAATTACTTTAAAGAACACCTTTGAGTAGACTTATTTGAATATTTTCAGTATTCAGAAGAGGAAGACATTTTCAGCTTTCACCTTGTCGACGTCTGAATTGCATCCCCTAATCAGCGTGAATGTACTATAGAATGGTTTGGGAATACCACGTATTTGAAACTGTTGAGCAATCCTCCTAGAAGAGTAGAAAACGAGAGGATGTTTTTGATAAGATTGACAGGACCTGACAAGAATAAGTTTCCAAGTTCCTTCTGAAAGTTCCTTCATTTCACTTTCATTTTGTTTTTGGAAATATCAAGAGATTGTGAGGATAACAAATTAAAAATTAGTTCTTCAAAACAACTTTCCATCGGATAACTTTAATCACCAAGTGAGGGCAGAAAATGTGAGACAATTAGCGTTCAATTAAATATATTACAGCATCATCGACGTAGCTAGGATGTGTAAACAATGATTTGAGATTTCGTCCCGCTTTGTTGAAATCTGCGTGCTTCTGAAAAAAAGAACGTCTAACCAATGAGACTACCTGGGAGATACTTGCGAGTGATGCTTAAACTACTGATATTTTCGGTCCTTATGTACTTATGCAGGATAAATACCACGGTGCGAACCGTAGGTAAGTGAATCGAACCGTTGCACTGAGGTGAAGGTTTACGTAAAGTGAAAACATCTAACAGATTAAATGACCAGCCCTTTCCATAACTCTTCCACCACTGTCAACTTATCAGGGCGATACCGCTGCGGAATAGAAAGTGAATTAGAGTCTTGCATTTTTTTAATTCGGTAACTGCCTGTCTAGTCAGTGTATTTTATTGAAGATTTGGCACTCGTTAGTCTACACATTTTATCCTTAAACCAAAACAATCTAACTTGCCAATGCAAGTCCTCTTACTAATTTGAAAAGTAACACCGCAGTTTACACAATCGTGTATAATGTAGCTCTTCCTTAACTGGACTAAAGTAGATGCAAAAAGTAAAGACAAGAAAAAATCAACTTTACTCGCCATTATTAGCTGCTCCCATTTATGGAGAGTAAATCCAAGGGAAATACCTAAATTGAAGAGAAAAACAATTTTGAAGTAAGTTCGCCTCTCTACACTACAAGCAACCGAAATTGAAAATCGAGATGGAGAATCCTTTAAGCCCGTTCCGTTTGTTTTCGCTCACTTGACCATATAAGTACTTTACCGTAGGTCGTCAAATATTCTCAAATGAGTAACTTCAGTAATATCTTATTTGGTATACATCCAACAAAGGAGGGGTGGTATAAATAGCAAGACACAAGAGTCTCACCTGGAGGAAGAAGCCGGTTTCATTGTACGAATTCTGTGATCCACAAACCGAGACAACATAATGCGGAGTGTGGCTGAGATTTTACTTTTACTCTAGGAGCTAGTTTCGACATGTAAAATGACTCAAATTGTTCATTATTCTCAAAACTGAGCTAATAATTTAAGAAGTTTTGACATACCTTGGTTTATAGTTGCTTGTTACTCTTACGGAAAATTCAGCCCGATGTTAATTTCCCCCACAATAATTATTATGTGCCTCATGTTAACAGACTTTCTTTCAGAGGCTTGCAGAGCACTTGAATTCACTGACCTGTTTGAAGGAGTGGCCCTTATAGGTCACCTGATAAAGAATTTGTCATTAGAGGTTCAAACAACTGTCAACTGAGCTGCTACCTAGAGGACGATTGTATTTCTTATAACCTTGGCCCCAAGAACACTGATGGCAAGTACGTTTGCGAACTAAGTGACTCTGACGACCAACAATTTCCCGGAGACCTGGTGCCAAGAAATGGGTTCATATATGGTGTAACTAAGGTAAGGCCCCCTGAATTTTAAAAAACTTCATCCTTAAATCAGTGGTACCGATAATATTATTTATGACAATGTAAAAACTGGCGTTTGAACTTCAACATCAGAAAGCGACCAAAGGCTTCTCCTTTTTTAAACCTGAGAACTTCTGTATAGATCGTTTTTGCATAGATCTGTATTAAAATATCGTTCAAATTATCAATGACATTGTTAAAACTGGGGTTTGAATATCCGAAAGTGACCGAACACTTCTCCCTTTTTAACTCTTAGAACTTTTGTTCCAATTCCAAGTGTTCTGGTAATGGTAAATGTCAGAATGGATTTACGGACAAGGGATACCGCTGCTTGTGCCAGAAAGGATTTGTGGGTGATAACTGTGAGAACGGTAAGGAAGGTTTAACTGCAGTTAAATAATAAGCATGAAGAGAATGGTACTTGGCACAATATGACATCTATAGACTTTACTCTATATATTTGTTTTATGTGAGATCGCTGACCTAAAATTGAATGTTCCACCTTCTCAGCCCAGAACCATACAAAATGAAGAGGGGGGGGGGGGAAGGGAAGATGTACAGTGGAAGCACCCTTCCTTGGTATTTTTTAGATCTTTACCCCTCATACTGTTCGCAGTTTCTCGGTTTTTTTGGATGAAATAATTGTTCATACATTCACCATATGAATAAGCTTCGTTCACTACTTATATCTGGTTCTATCTAATTCTTACGACATAAAAAATTTACTCGCGAGTCCCTGATCAATGAAGTGAATACTACTCCGACAACCCCTCCCTAAACTTTAACTCCCCGTCCCCTTTTGCTAATCCTGCCTACATTTCCGAAATCTGCCTGTTTTTAAGGTTTTAAAATAGGGAGCTGGCTCAAGGTAAATACCAATCCTCTTTGTTTTGGAACACGTAATGACGATCATGGATCATTTACCATTGCAAAGGCTGGATCCATTTCTGCCTTGAAGCTTGTTCACATTTCGGGTGCCTTGACCTGCCACAGTTCGAGCACCAGATCGTTCTGGGGTTGTGAAGTGTCCAGTTACGGGAAGAAGACTCTCATGACTCTGGTCACTTACATCAACCGCACTGTTTTCTTACCAACGAGAGAAACAGCAGACATGGGCGAGCCCGGCCATACGTGCGCTACTGAATACATTTACCACCTTCAAGGCTTTGATGACGTCTCCACAGAAATAATATTCAACACGAGCTCAAAGGCTCTACCAGTTAAATTGAACCAAGGGTTCCAAATTTGGTATGGCCAAGATTTAAGTGATTGCAGTGAGATCAACAACAGCGGTCAGAGCTGTGTTAATGTGTATGTGTGGTACGATACTATTTATTAACGGGGCACTGTCTCTTGTCATATCAAAGTTTATAACTGCAATTGAACTGAGTGCAATTTGTATAGGTAATCACATGATTTCGAGCGCATTTTGGGATAAATCAGCACGAGTTAATTTTTCAAAGGCTCACCAAATTGCATGAGCCCGTGAGACTCGTGAAATGTGTAGTCTTTGAAAAATTTACTCGTGCTGTTTTATCCCAAATTGCACCGGAAAAATCGTGTGATTACTAGTTAATGATATGAAAGCAAAATGTGACTCTGTTTTCCTTTTTAGCTGTTTTTATTTCGTGTCATGGCTTACCAGTTCGGCCGCTTGCCTTTGCCTCGTCACTGGAGTTGTCCAGCTTTTCCCTCTAGATGTTACTTAAAACTTTAAAACATCTCTCAACAATAATTAAGCGTTTGTACTCTTTCTCTGTTAGGTGTCAGCTGACAGCAGTAACTCATTACAAGAAAGCAATCACGCTTGTAATCTTCCCCGTCTTTCATAAGAACTGTTGTGTAAAACTCCTCGACAATTTTATTCGGGGCTTATGGTTCATAATTACATATCCGTTTTTGGAAGCCAGACTTTTAGCTACTTGTTTTCCCCTTGTTAGTTTTTTTTGTATGTTTGTTTTTAGCATTCTCCCTCAAACTCTGAACTAAAAAGTTGTTACTTTCTCCTCACCTGTCCGCCACTTTGTTTAGTTGTCTTTTCGCAACTTACCTGTCAATCAATTTAATTTCAACTTTCTGGGTTACCCTAAACAAATCAACATGCTTAAATTTTTTGCATGTGTATTATTAGGTCTGAAATCAAATGCGTGATTTCAAAATCACAAGTATGATTTCACACCAAAATTGCCAGACGAAAAGTTCAATTACCACTTCACAACATCCATTTTGTATAGGTAAAAACATGATTTCGAGTGCAGTTTGGTGTTAATAAGCACGAGTAGATTTTTCAAAGACAATAAAACCGCGTGAGTCCGTAGTGCGTAATTGCGTATTTTTTTTAACCTTTATTAGCGCCCCAGCTGTTTGCTACATGTATTAACAGTATTCCTTTATCTCCTCTACAACACATTTCTCGTCACAACATTCGACGACAATGTCAGTTTGTGATCTCTTAGTGTGGATCCGGTTGCGAGGTAAATACAGAAACTTTGACGCCTCATCCTTTTTAAAGCTGATGTCACTCAACGTTAGACCTACAAGGAAAGCAAACATTTAGAAACAATTTTATCAAGTGGGCTCATTTTCCGAATCGAATTACAATTCCAGAAAATAAAAAGATTAAGAAAAAGATTTAACTTTGTGAATAACATGTAGTAAGAACAAGCACGGTTTTTTTTTTTCGCTAAAATTTAGTTTTGGTTTGACACCTACTTTGACGTTACCGCCATGACATAAAATATGCACCTTTTTATCTCGGCTCAGTGAAAAAATTCGAACTTCATCCCCACGATATTTTTATTCAGACTGGCTAAAATAGGGTAGAAGAGCATGGAAATATAAAAACATGCCGTGGCTTCCGCGGACTTCAGGAATTTCAATTTACCGAAGTGATTGTTTGAAACTTGCATTCCGTAATTTTACTCTTTCATGAATAAGCAATCTTCGACCATTTATGATAGTTTCTTAACCAAACTCGATTTGGTGTCTCTTGAGTTAGATAGGACTTCAAAATGCTTCCACATTTCCTTGAGCATCTTATCCTTTAGAAATGAAAGTTTGCTTTAAAATGCCATTTCACAAAGGTTGTAGACATCATACATCACTGTATGCTTGACACCAATTTCAGACTGTTACACTGGCTTTCTTGAAGCATTTGTTCATCTGTTAGCGAGGCATACCCTAGAGAGTGGCGTAAAAAATCGCAGGATTTGAAGTTTTGAAAGCCGTTCCATTCGATTAAACATTCGTGTGCCATCGGTGTTGCGAGCATTGCAAGCTACGTGTACAGGATGCTCCTCCCTTTTTTTTACCAAATCAATAATTCATCCCGTTTATTCGTTTGTTTTGTTTTGTTTTTTTTCGAAAAATATCTTCTTTCCGACGATTTTATGCTAACTTATAGTTTATAGACACAAAAGAGGGGACCTTTCAATAAAAAAAGTTCTCGTTACGAAATTTTATTAGATTTAAGGTTACATTTTCGAATAAAAAGGGCTGCACTTTCAGTGCTGTTAAGATGAAGAGTTTCTAAATGAACAACATGAAATATTCTGAATATACCTGAATCTTGTCATAGCTATCCTGGCCTCTGAAGTTTTCCTCTTTCTTATAATTGACTGATAGACAAAACAATAGGTCGCCTTGAGCTAAGAGTCAGCTTTGGGCAGCTCTGTTTTTCTACATGAAGTGAGTGAAGATTTTTCTTAACTTAATGATGTTTTGTCTTATTGCAAGTCAAAAAAAAAGCTTTTATGGACTCAAATCACGCGTCAGTCATAAGCTGGCCATATAAATTTCGTTTATTTTTGAGACCGCTCCATGTGCATCGTTAGTTCGAATTTTCGAAAATGCGTGCAGTTTGTTGGCCGGCTATTCAAAATTTTCACCGAAACCACAACAAGTTTTTACATTCCCATGCTCTTCTATCCTATCTTAGCCAGTCTGAATAAAAATATCGTGGGAAAGAAGTTCGAATTTTGTGCTGACCCGAGATAAAAAAGTTGCATTTTTCAGGTCATTGCGGTAGCGTAAAAGTAGGTGTCAAACAAAAAAAAATTCAGTGAAAAACCGTTAAAATAACAAAACTTACGTGCTTTGTTCTTATGAAGAGTTGATCAAAATATGTGAAACAAAACAAAACCCTCAAACTAGAATTTTCTGAAAAAACCAGTCGGCAATTTGTACCATTTTTGATAATCAGTGTTATTAAAAACGGGCGTTTGAGCTTTGAGCTGAAGCGATTTTCGCTCAGAAAAAAATTATTTTTCTATATTTGAAAAGACCAAGGTGGTTTCGATAAATTTTAAGACTAAGATAGATTCCTGGACAAAGTTTGAAAGAAATCGATTTTTCGACTCGAAACGCACCGCTTCCACAGAGACTGCGTCTCAATTTTGCTGATGAATAGGACAGAACGTGATACCTGTCTTTGATCGCTTTTTACGACTGTCGCAAACTTGTTCGATCACGGTCGGTATATCATCGCCACAATATGCGTTACAGTAAACCGAGGGAGGAGAATGTGTTTCAGACGTTTTACATCCCGTGTACGGTGCTGTAGTAGCTGCAATGGCTGCCGGACTTGAATCTGTTTGTCCATTGATGTAACATGGAATAATGATGAACAGTCCAATCAGCACAAGAAAGTGATCCATGCACATCTAAAGAGAAAGACAAAAATCAATTTAATGTTGTTAACCTTATTTCGAATTACAGCTGAAAATCAGCACTCACAGAGATGTCTTGAACTTCTTAAGCTCGTACGTTTGGCTTTCGCAAAGTAGAAGTCTTTCTTTCAAATCTAGTCCTAACGTGCATATGGGTGCATAATTTACAAACGCAAAGGAGGAAATTCCCTTGAGACCTGCATTGGAAAAACAAAACATAGAAGCCAAAGACGTCTTTTAAATTCGCTTGGTGCTTCAGTCATGCTTTTCGAGTAGTCTAGCTGTTTAAAATACCTTCTCGCTCGTTCTCACCCCTTCTAACACACTTTCTTTGCCAAATCATTTCGGCCATTTCATCTGAATAATACTATTTTATAGACCTTATTATTGATGAAATCATTCGGAATTTGGCTGATATTGGTCATCTGCATCTTTTCTAAAACAACAATTGGCTAGATAGGACTACCACAAAGAATGTAGACATTAAAAATGTAAAGTTGTGATCTAGAGATGAGGATGTAAAATCTAAAGTAATCTTGGGACCAAAAGCCGGGTTATATATAGAATCATCAACATGACGAAGCAACATCAAGCTGCCAGTAAACACGACTTATAATCAATCAAACGACCAATTTATAAGTTGCTGCTGTTTGGGGATAGTGAAAGTGCCACCTTACTTAATGCACAATACACGAGAAATGACGAAATGGGCGGAATACTCAAAAATAAACTACTTATTATGGCGTCAACTTAATTAAAGTAGGCATATCAGTTTCTTCCCTAACAAAGGGATCAATACGGTGATACATTACATTCTCGACACGAGGTCACTTAAAAGAAGATATTTTTCAAAACCGTTCTTTTAAAAACAGGAAAACGTTTCAATTATCATTTCGCTAGAAGTAATGTTATGCATATAGTGCATAGTTTCGTTTGATATTGTGTCATATCAGACAAAACACATGGTTTTAGTTTTTTTTTTAAGTTTAAGAAGCGTGAAACGTATAACTATCCAAATCGTCATCCTTTCATTCAAATTCTTCTCAAGAATGAAGGAAATAAGTATAATCTACTTCCCTTTTCAGAGAAAGAAAGAGTAGAAAAATTAAAAACGTCTATCGAACCCGGGTTCAAACGATTTCAGCTGTGTTCAGGCGCTTCACTTAATGTGAATCCCAACCCACGGAAAAACATGATATCATAAAGCACTGCTAGCGTTTCCTTGTCACTATTATTTGTTTTTCTCTCATGCGATTTAGAACCCGCTGGATGGCAAGAAAAAAATTATAATCATGTTTCAAAAACCATGCACTCATGCGAGAAATGTGCTTTGTTTCGTTGTGTAAAGAAGACTTCAATTTAAAGCCTTTATTTCAGAATTAAGATTCTGATCTTCGTTTTCGTTTCTCTTTGCTTTATTTCCTATTTTTGTTGAAAGTGTAACCGTTATGAAATCTCTACATGAACAAATTGTTACTACTAGCAAATTCTATCCAAGCTATGTTTAGTGTTGCACAATACTCAAACATTCGTGGCAATTCTGGTTGCTAGAGGCGATATCTTCCTTAAGAAACGACTGGCCCTCCCTAACTTGACGCAGTAGTCAAACTTACCTGACGAGGAAGAACTCTTAAAACACGATGAAAATTGATTTGCTTTCTTCTCTCCAGTATGACCTTGAGTCTGTTTAGAGACAATCCCACTGTGGATCTCTCCTGCTCATCGCCTTTTCATCTCCTCCAATGCTAGTTTTCGCTAACCACACAATTTACCTCACTGACCGATGTTTATTCGCTCTTCGATATGTCGTGTGGTTTTCACTTGGCGATGCAAGCTGTGAGAGATAAGATCTATTATGAAACTCCTCGATAGAGAGCACTATTTTAAGAATACCTATTTGGATTTAAGGAGCGCTGCACGTAACGCCTTTATAGGCGCGGTTGGACAGTTTTTAAAGCACTGGTTTGCATTCAGGAAGCAAAATGTTGTCGTTGTTCTGAGTTGTTTGAGTTTCAGGCGTTAACGTAATGGAAACGAGGAGGTGCGTCAGGTGAAATGATACACGTGTGTAGGTTTAATATCAGCTCAAATATCGTGACATCATGAATTTGTGTTCGACTGCTGCTTTTGTTCTCCCTTGTATCATTAATTGAAAGTGGTAGGCGGTTGATGATACATGCCAAGATAATATACTTCCTCTCTGAAAGTACATTGAAGTGCGTGGTGTTAAGCGGTGCTTAAGTATTTTGATACAGCATTTGTGACAAGCTGATTGAGTTTTGTTCGACTCACATTTTGCGCCGGTTACTCTACTCAGTGTGTGCACAACACCATTAACACATTGTGACAGTCGTATTTCAAAAGTTGATTTATTTTTGAGTACTACAGGGAAAATTTATTTGAAATAACAGACTTAAGAAGAAACATATGAAAAAGTTAAAAGGAAATGCAAAATTGTGCTGACCAATGTAGAAAAAAAAAAAAGTAATGCATGTTTTAAAACGTTATGTTCTCAGTCTTGTTTTGAACTAGGCTCGCATCCCACAAACAAGGAGAAAATAAACTGAAGAGCTTTGAAGGCCAGACCTGTTATCTACATTCCACCCTTAAAAGAGTGAAATGTAGATAACAGGTCTGGAGGAGAAAGCGAAGGACTAATCATCTGCCAAGCAATGTTCGCAACAGACTGTCTGAACTTAGAGCACCTAAATAAAATTTTAAGATAATATTAATCCACAATTGTTATTTACTAAATAAGGAGAAGAGATCGCGCAAAATGTGAGACCGTAGATAACTTGAGTGGCCCGGTTTGACAAGTGAACAACAGAGTGCACATCGTCAATAGAACAATTATTGGTAAAACTTGAGCAACATGATTTTTTATTAGTCTGGGGCCTTTGTGCTCGACTACTTCATTGAGAAAACAGAATTTGTAAGGAGAAAAAAGCAAAAATAACATACTTTCCGGTAGAGGATACCTTACATAATGGTTTTCCATTAAGTAAGAACTGGCATTTTGCTCTCCACTCTTAAAATATTACGAAATTAACTTGAAAAATATCCGTGTACGCTGTCTGTTGAACAATCAGAATTGGCAAAACGAAGTGTAATGAACTCCTTTATTTCCACAAGTGTGGGAATTGTCACTAAAAAAAATAACTTAGGACTTCAACACTTGAACAACTCTAAAATATATAGTTTTCTTTAAAAATCTCTTCACATATTAGACACCGAAATTTGGACAACAAAACATTTCAAATAGCCATTTCATCTTATGGATGCATGTTTCGTATAAATATAGGGCAAAGCAAACGATACTAATAATACGCTCGTGTAAAACAACATTACTTGAACTAATAAACTAATCATCTCTCAGGTGCACTGGTTAGAATTTTAAGTAACCTCTATGTAAAACTAAATAGAAAGGGTCGTTTACTCTAATGCTGAGGTCTTACTTCGGTCGCCACTTGGAATAGTCAATGAACCTCAGTTTTCTTCGATAGGGTTGATGTTAATTATAAGCTTCTTGACGCTGCTCACAAAATTCAACATTCCCCTCAGATAAGGGTTGGGCTAAATTGAAGATGATATAGGACACAGCTTTGCTGTACAACGTCCAAACTGCGTTTAACTAAACGGCCTTGAATACTTTAACCTATACGCTACTTGACGATGTCAAAAACAACGAGTAATATAACAAATAAAATTAAAGTATGTCTGATGGTAAAACTACACAACGAAATATCTCTAATGTTCATTGTTCTAGAGCTTTCTACAAAGCTGCTCCATTTCCCTAGCCAAGCATGTATTAAGCATTTTTAAAATCCTTACAATACAAATGCTATTTTAAGGTCTCAATAAAAGTCAGCCGCGTAGGAGTCAATCAGCCATTCAAGAAAATGAAAATTAACACACCAACAAAAAACGAGCTGACAGATCAGAAGATTGATCTGAATTATGGCAGTACATCTCAATTTCCCTTTCAAGGGCGGAATGATCGATTAATCAACCAAAAAGAGAAAAAAAAACCCAAAACAAGACGCTTAAAAGCGCTCGCTAAAAGACGCCCTTCTTGTTGCCACTATGAAACAAAAACAGTCTAAACAGCTGGAGACAAAGTTTCAGGTCAAGAGAAAATGGGAATTTAGAGTGGAATATCCACTGATTTCCAGCAATACTATACTCGCGAGTTACCTTGGGAAAAATCTTCTACGCAAGTATTGAGGGGACTGCCTGCGTAAGTCGAATAAAATAAGGTGCTTAGTTACCCCAAGAAATTCGAAATACTTTAAAATCAGTTTACAACTAGATCTTTTTAAATAATGGACTAGCTCTCGCGCCCTTCGAGAATCGTAGACCCATAGAGTGTGGGTTGCTGTGGCGCCTTGCATCACGACATACAGAGTGATCCACTTTCGACATCCACGGTAAGGTCTACAGTTCCAGCTTCTCGACACTTCGGAAGGGATTTTCGACCTTACGAAATATTCTACACCGGCTCCGGTAAGTTGTCAAAATGCTTCCTCATAGACTTTATACTCTTATAGATTTTGTTCCTATGACCTATCAAGGTCACTCCAATGTCTTTGAGTTCGCCGTCCTTAAGGTGAGTTACTTGTGTTAAGTCATTGTAGCCCGCAGTCTTGAAGTTAGCAGTATACTGTCCCATATGAATACTGATCAGCCATTCTTGGATTGTCCTAAGTTCGGTGAAGTCTGCTGACACGGCACTAGGAGTTAAAATAAATTTTGGCGAAAGTTAGTTTACGTAGCCTTGAAAATTTGATGGAAAAAGCCAATCTTTTACAACGGACAAGTACCCATCATTCTAAACCTTACAGCAAACAACACAAAATATTCGCTTTAGAGCACTTTTACAAAGCCACACAAAATCCTTCTTATGATCGTACGTGACAAAATAGCTCCGTACGCCCCGCCCCACCCCCCCACCCTCCTTCCAAAAAATAGACTTAGAGTAATCAAATCCATAAAATAGGTAGAGCCTACCACGACATCTAGGCCAGGTTTTATCACCCCTCCCTCCACAGGTAAGCTTAAATTAGTGAAGTACATGTGTTAAGTGTTACCTTGTATAGCAAACAAGATTGTCATTTAACATTTCCGGTGCGCGGATCAGCTCGTCCAGTCGTTTCACAATTTCTTCAAAGTTAGGTCGTCTGAACCTGTCCTTATCCCAGCAGTCCATCATGATTGCGTGGACAATTTTGGGACATTTCTATACAAAAAAGAACAAATCATCTTACACGTCATTAAAGATAAAACGCAAGTGAGGAGCAAACAAACAGTTGATCACCCCGAGCAGGGTGTTTCTTTTTCTTCTTCAATCAAGCATTAGAGGTTATCATTCATAGCTGTGATAATCAAATCTTATAGTACATACACACACTTAACCTCTGTAACCCTTCCCCCTTTCCTAAACGTAAATCAAATGAACATGACATAAGTATCGTGCATACCATAGGAGCTGGCAGCCTGTAGCCTCCTTCTACTCTGTCCATAACCTAAAACAGTAAAACACGAGTAGCTCAGTTTGATTGTCGACCCTTCGTTTCGGATGCCATGTATTTCCATGCAAAACATTTACTAGGACTGTCTTTTTTTTTATGCATGTGGCTGCCTCCGCAAGGGGTTATAGTGTATTGTGCGATTATTATTTTTTGGGGGGCTGAAAAAGGTTTTCGACACAAATTTTTACACAAAGTAAGGCGCTAAACAAAGGTACTGAACGTCTTAAACAAAAAGAAAAACAAAAGAAAACAACAACAACAAAAACAACAACAAACTAACACACTGAGAAAACCCAGACAACTACCATCCCTTTTCCGACCTACTAGAGCAAAGCGAAATTCTTGGCGTAACTCACTGGTCGTCTAGTGGCTAGCGGTGGATTCACCTTTTTCTTGTTTAAAAAATTTCAAACCAGTTTCACTCTTATTTTCTCATTGAGATATATTACCTAATCTGCTTAGTAATAAACTTCGTAAAACTTTGAATTCCTTTTGCAAACGTATCTGACCATAAACATCTAAGTTGGTACAAAAATACTTAATTACCTCAAAGTTATTCCAGTCCCAGTACGGCCTCTCGCCAAACGACATGGCCTCCCACAAAACTATTCCATAGCTCCATACGTCACTAGAAGAGCTAAATTTTCGATATCTTATCGCTTCTGGTGCTGTCCAACGAATTGGAATTTTTCCTCCCTGTGACAAGGCAAAATCGTGCGTCATCTCTCCACTTACGCTACAGTTAAAGGGTTGTGAAACAATTTTCGAATAATCACATCCACTTAGGTGTCTGCGTAAAAATTTAACTAGTGAATTACCTGCGTTTGATACTCTGAATCTGGGTTATCCTCCAACTCTCTGGACAATCCGAAGTCAGACACCTTACACGCCATGTTCTCTCCAACCAAAACATTGCGAGCAGCAAGGTCCTGAAATCAGGATTGCACAAATATAATAAACTGGCCTCGAGCTTTGACTCTAAATATATGTACTCTGTATTTACAACCCAAGCATTGATTTCTGCACAATTTTAACTGACATAAAACATCACATGGTTCTGGTTTAGAGGAAGTGTATCGCGCGTTATACCCTGTCTGATTTGATTGACCGTTCCGTCCAGCTCTTAGTAGAGGTATACATAAACACAGTTATGTGTCGTTAGATACCCGCTAACCCCTTACCCTAACCCATTCAAGTAAAGAAACCAAATAAATTATGCTTAATGTATGGTTATTTTCCTGTTATAAGAACTTGCGGCGTAGTTTGATCTGTTTCCCGGTGCAATACTTACCCTGTGTATGAAATTCATGGACGAAAGGTACAACATTCCTGAGGAGACTCCACGGACCATACCAATGAGCTGAAGGGGCGTAAGTTTACCTTCGTGATCCTAAGAAAGGAAGAAAGAAGTAATACTCATAACTTGAGCTACAACGCTGGCATACTTTTGAAGCACTGAGACAAGGCACTCCGTTTGTTTGGTCAACTGTTGAGATTCCAAAGAAAAGTGGAATTTGATTGTTCGGCTCCAATGGAATTGAACAATAGCCGTCAATCTTCGCTGTATTTGCTCTAATTCAGAGTTAAAGCCTGGTCTGTTCAAGAGCATCGTTATTCCTTTACCTTAAGAAACTTATCAAGTGATCCTCCTTCCATAAACTCTGTTACAATCATCATGGGTCTACCTGACAGGACAAACCGAAAAAATAACCTGTTAAGCGAGGCACTTACTAACTGTACTGTCGCCTAACATCGTGTATATCTTAAATGAAGTTCACTTACTGACTGTGACCACGCCAATCAGCTTGATGACATTTGGATGTTTAAACTGACCCATGATGGACGCCTCAGAAATAAAGTCGTCTCTGGTCTTGGAACTCGATCCTTGCTGATAAAACAAAGGAAAGAAAACCGTTGATTGTTTCTTCCTTAGTGTTAAGATCATAGAAAACTGCTAAACGATTGAAATGTAACAAGACACGACATTTGAACTTAATTGTACTTGGAAGCACGTATAACATGGTTGTGATCGATTGAAATTCAGATCCAACTGTAACCAGAAAGATTAGAACTAATAGGCAAGGTAACACCTTCCATCTTAACGACATGGAAAGGAAATAAAAAAAATCGGAATGGCACACGCACCTTGAGGATTTTAACAGCAACCAAACAATCTTCATACAATCCTTTGAAAACTTCAGCAAATTCACCTGACGATTAATTAAATGTTAAGTTAGAAGTTCAGGATAAAGAAAAACATTTGTTTTCTTAACAAGAGAGAAAAGTCATTATTAATAGATACTAACCATCGCCAACTCTAGTTTCCAGTTTAATTTGACATCCGTCGATCTCGGCGGCAAATGTTTTGACAGCGTCCATGAGATCACCATAGTTACTGGGATCCACATACTGACTTAGCCCATGGTTAGAAAAGAGTTCAGTGGCTGAAAACGAAAAGAGTAAAAGTACTTTGTTATTAACGAGAAAATCGATTTAGTAGATAGCTAAAATAAAAATAACTTAATAAATAACAAATCAGAATTTGGGATGTGAGCAATCGAAGGGTAAATTCTAAGTCGTCGGCGAAATGCCCATTCCACTGACCTTCAAATGTATTCGCTCGTTTCCGAGATTTCCTGGAAGAAATCATTACATCAAGCATGTTATTTATTTCAGTCAGTTTTCTCCCCTTGTTCTTGAAACTTGAAATAACTGGTTATCCACATACAAACAAATGAGATCAAGAATAATACCTTTTTTTTGATAGAGCGAACGAGACTATAGCAGTTATGATCAGAATAAGGAAAATTCCTCCGACGGCAGCAGCGATCATGAACCAAAGTTTCTTGTCTTCATCCAAACTGGGAACTGACAAATTAAATTAAATAATCAGCGAATAAATACAATAACACACATGATACTAACCAGAGGTCAAAAGCTGATAGAAAATAAAGGACCATGGGACCAGGTAATCAAAGGGCGGATGACGTTATATCCAATGGGTAAACGCAAAAGATCATATTCTCTTGGTAAAGCCTATTCAGCGGATAAGTGTTCACGCGTTGTGTAAATCGCTATCCACTGGCTGGGACTATTTAAATGGATAGCGTTATCCACTCTTCGTAAAACCTGAGGTTGAAAAGAACTGTTTTCGGTTATTACAGCACCTAAGTCTCGACATCCTGAGCGTACAGTAAGTCATCATCACAGTCAGGTGAGAATATAGGTCGGGATGATAAAAGATCTCTCTCTTAACCAGCTTGTACTTTAATTTATAACCAGATCCCAAAGGGGTGATGGCTTTTACGGCTGACGGTTAATATAATTCCATTGTTTTCGCCAGAATTTTTTTTTTACAGTTAACTTTTTTTCTCGACTAACGGTTAAAATTTTTCAATTTTTGTTCCTGACGACTAATTTTTGGGCCGCTTTACGGCTAACGGTTAACCCCATCGAAACCCTCCTGTAAGGATTTATACTATACATTAGTTAAAGCACTTGCGAGAAAAGTTTACCGGGGTAGTCTTGTGGCGTTTTCACTGCCTGGCTACTTGGCCCGAAGCCTCTGCTGTTCTTTGCAACGACCTAAAATTCGGGAAACAACAGAATTCAATGATTCATAAGAAAGATACTGCTACAACACTTTGAAATTATCAACATAGAGTACTACTAAATAAAAATCATTCTCGTAAATAGCCTCTGAGCATGACTGGGCGGCGTTGCAAAAAATGAATGAATAAGTTGTAATTATTGGGAAAATTTAAATTCGCAGCGATTTGTACTGTAAAAAAGGGGCATTAATTGATCACATCTAACTCACCACGATTTCATATTTCACGTCAGGTTCCAATCCAGTTATTTTGATGTAGGTTTTCGTTGTGTTGATAGTGTGATAATTGTCTGCACTGTCTAATATTTTGCGGTATCGTACAAGGAAGAAATGGATGTCTTCATGGCCAGTTTTAAGAGTCCACGACACATTCACCGAAGTGCTGTCGATCCTTTGCACTGTCACCACAGGCTGGTCAGGAACTGAGATAAAAACAACGGGCAAAACAAAGCTTATCTAAACACCCTGAGATGGAAAATGGACTTGTGGTATTAAGCAGAATAATCATAGAACTTCACTTAATCATAAAGCATCACTTAAAGGAGATGAACCAAACTGACCCGACTCAAGTGTAGTGACGTCTAACTTGGCAAACCGGGAAGGGAATCCGTCCATCTCAGCCTTTTCACTGACTCCATTCTTTGCATGTACCTTAAATCTGTAAACTGTCCGTGATATCAAGTTCGTCAAAATCACCTTGGTGTGCGATAGGTTGTTCTGTCTAGGCAGGAAAAGAACTTGTGATCCACAATCCTGACTGCAGCTTCGTTGATCTTTCCGACACAAAATTTTACATTCTATCTCATAATACAAGTCAGTTCGACCACCAAGGTGCCGCGGATGTGACCATACTAAACTCACTGTTGTTTGATTGGTGAAAAGGCTTCGCAGATGTTTTGGTGCAGAAGGAGGAGCTGTAAGGACAAAAAAGATATGCCAACGAGCATGAGTATGAAAAATATGATTACCAACGGCAAAAACCTGAAACTTGCCGGCGGCACTACATTACTGACCTGTACAATTGTCTGACACACTTTGCCATGATGCGCGAAAAAACCCTCTGGAGCATTTGCAGCGTTTCCGATATCTGTCCGAGTTGCTGTTTAGCGGGCATTTTGAGCATTTGGTGTTTCCGGTCTTGTCTTTAAAGTATCCCAGTGGACAAGCTGAGAGTGAGAATAACATATGATTATAACTGGTAACTAAACTCTAACAATAGACCCATCAAAAACCCCTAATCTCTGCTAACAACCTGGGTTTATTAAGAGCCAAAACAAATTTTTGATCGTTGAAATTTCCCCTGCCTAAAGTGTATGTAGACCTTCAGAGGAACTAACAGCGAAAACACGGGGCGAAAAAGAAGGTGCGAAAAAGTCGCATGAAAACATCAGGTACACAGCCTACCCAAATCTAAGATATGATCCAATAGAAACGCGACCGGTCCCTAAACTCTCTCTTTTCTTGATCTGCGCTACTCTAGTGCCCTGGTTGAAAGTCTAGAACAGCCTAGGCGTGAACGGCCTTAATTTGCATTCGCGTTCATTAAATTTCTCGCTACTCGTCAATCTCGCCCGCGCTGTGGACGGTGATCTCAGTAAAAGAAATTGTTAGCCAGAGAACTGACTGGATACAAACAGTCCTCTCGAATTGCGTCAGCTGTCACGTGGTGTGTCTACATGTGTCTGCCGCAGCTCAGCATGTTGGCTTCGGTATGCAAAATAACACCCTTCGGTAAATTTCAGTGCAGACCGTCAGAAATTTTCAAGAATCTTAAAAAACTACGATCATTTATAAAGGGATTTTACCCATATTTAATCAGGTCGGTTGAACGTTCCCCATTGACAAAGATGCCGCGTTGTTTGCCAACATGGCGGCAAACTAAACATGACTACTGGAATCGTGTTTGACCCTTAGCATTGGCTGAAGTTAACTGCAAACAAAGGAATCCATTGTTGTCTAACAATGCTTCTTCACAAGCTTGCAGTTTGATAAGGTATGCTTTTATCTTCAAGATCGTTCTATCAAAGCATTCAGATCTGTCATTCCTGACATTTGCTATATTACTGACTGACGAAGATCACAGATAACATCACCACACTGACCACTTATCAGTCATTCTGATCGTTTGTTTCTTTACATTAATGGAAGCTTGAGATACTTTTATAAGCGCTTCAAAAGAAACAATGTCCTTTAACGCCCAGAATCAAGTAAAGAAAAACATTTTAGTTTTAACGAAAGGAAATAGAGGAGATTCTTTACAAATAGATATTCCGTGTGTGACAGACTTGTTTACGATAAAAGCAATAACGATAAAAAAGTAATGAGGGCAGTTTTGAAGCACCCAGACAGACACGTCTGTCAAGCCTTGCCAGTACAATAAAACCAATGATAATGCAAGAGGAAGCCATGCCCATCTTAATTGTGACTTGTTATGTACAAGATTTCAGTAATGTGTGTTGGTTCTGGCAAAGAAGAACCTGAAAAAACCCCTGAACAATGTAGTAGTGGGCTGATGAGTATTTGGTTGAGATTTCTACCAAACACCAAATGATGAGAGTTATTATGTTTTGTCTACTTGGAGTGAGGCTTATTGAATCTTTTGCATGCTATGGATAACAATCATTGCTATCCAATGTCTGTGCTTTTGTTTAACAATCTAAGGGCCAGATTATTTCTTTTATCATACAAATTTCATTACTTTAGGTTTTATTAATATGCCAATGTCACTTAACCTATCAAATAATTGAAATGAATGGGCCTAAAAAATCTCAGCAGGGTGCCTTCTCCAAATTACAACTGTAAACAACGTCACTAAAGAGAAATGTCACTACAGAACAAAAGTTCCAATAATTCATAGATGGCAAATGCTGATTTTGTGAAAACCCTGCACCCCAGAGATACCCACATACTGTCTATTAGGCTTGTAATACAGGATACATTTTTATAACATGCTTTAACTCCCTCCTTATTGCTCTCAAACATAACCACCCCCTCCCCTTTACTGTACCTAGCATTCTTGCATGGCACAATTCACTGTCAGTTCTGTAACCTAAACTCCAATATTGTAATTTGGAAACATACCTTGACATTCCGTATCAATTTTCTCCCATCCTGGTAAACACAGACATTTTCCTGCAGCATCATCACTCTGAGTCCATTCACCACTGCTGCTACAGATGGCACTCAACACTGGTGCTGTACGTTGTGAATTTGCCACACATTCCCCTGGTATTTTGACTATTTCAGATTCATTCACTGGAGCTATTGTTTGTGGTAGCAATACAAGACTTGTTGGTAAAGTCCGCTCTGGACAAACATTGTATGTCACCAGAAATGAATGCAATACAAGACAAGCTCCTTGGTCGTGAATAGCAAAGAATACCTTTGAAGTTCTTTCTTTGATGAAAAGTGACAGCTTTGCAACTCCTTGTACCCTTTCAGACTTGCTTGAGGTGTTACTTGGCATGGATATTACTTTCATTTTGTTGTAAAATCCATTTTTTGGATCAGTATTTGACTCATTTAAGTTCTCATTTGATTGGTATCCATAAACATCAAATTGTTCTGAGCAGTTTAGTCTCTCATCAGAAAACGAAGCACATCTCTTGATTGTGTAGTTGATAGCTAGGTCGATTCTCTTCAGATTATTGTGACTTATAGCATCACTCCATAGCCAGTTACTTGGTTGCCAAACACCTATGTCACAAACTGTATATATACGCGATGCGGCATCATCAGAGGTTGTAGCAGTCCACTGTGAAACACCAAAATAACCATTTTAGACTTTTAACAAGGTGAAAGGAAAAAAAAATAAAAATCAGAAGCAAACACTACCATCAAATAATCCTTGGCTACCTTACATATGACTGGTAACTCTTGATTGATAAATCAGATTTAGCCACAATAGTAGTCTTTGGGTAGGTTTGATTGTAATAGAAAAAAATAATGATGATACAATTCACTGAACTTTTAACTGAAGTAGTCAACTTGACTTAAACTAAACTTCTGAGAGGTTAACCCTTCAACTCCCTACAAGTGATTGTCAATTCTTCCCTCTGACTGCAACACATTTACTTATAAACTACAGTACTAGTTAGCTACTAAGCTTGCAACCTGATAAGTTGAGACTTCTCACAACCTATTTGCTGAAAAATGTATGGATATTATGGGGAGAAGTTACATGTTAATCACTTCTGGTGGTTAAAGGGTTTATGTGAGCTACTAATACTTTCATTAAAAGTGTTGAGTGGAGAGACAAATCTGTCATAAAATTGTGTTACTAAAGAAAACTTTAATATAAATGTGTCACATCAGAAGGCAGACAGACAACAGTCTTAATAGCTCTGTTTTTCTCCATTACACACACAGAGAGCCATATATTTAATGAAGTATGTAAGTGCACAAGAGGCATCAACTTAGATGCATTGTTTGTAAATCTCCAAGGAAATTTGTGTATATTAGGAAAGTGTAATGGCTAAAATTTCTGCTTGTTCTTAATATCTCAACCTTTTCTTGATGCATTTCAAAACATCTATATAGATCCCTCAATCCAGTAATTTTCTGGATATTTTAAGTGTTTTTTTTTCTGTTTCAACATTTCTTAGTTTCCCAGGAACTTATCCCAAGCTGGACTAGTGTGGAGAAAAACTTGGAATTCCTGTGAGCTCGAAGAAACTGCAGAGTAGATCCTTACAAATTCCTGGCTTTGCTTTGAGTAGAATAACAGTAAGGGAATGCAACATATAGGAAGATGAAATTATGTTTGCTTTGTAACTTACCCCTGACCCATGGCCATGAGATGTTTTCCAATACCAGCTCTCTGCACCACCACCTGATTTAGGTCTTTCTAACAAGGTGGCTGTTTGAATTTGAGTAAATTTGAAAAAGACAATTTTGAGTGATTAAACTTCAAATATACAAGAGTAGATCATTTTAAATGTTGGGCAAATCAAAGGAAATACCTGTAATTTCAAAAATTTGTATAATTCAATATCCTTCAACATCCTTGAAAATATTTCAGAGATGTTGTTTGTTTACATTGCACATTAGGACATATTTGCAGCTTGTTTGAATATTTACATAACAAGTAATATCCATAATTTAATACATGTATGGCAAGTCAGCAAAAACCAAAACAAAAACAAAAAAACAATCTTAGTTTTGAAAAAGAGCTTTCCATATGGTGCATCCAATTCAAAAGATCTTCTGTTAACATGATTTTCAAGCAGGCCACTTTTTGGCCGAACAACCAACTAAGATTGAACCAAACAAAAAAACACCTCTAACTCAACACCTATGGCTGATCATTCTTATTCAGTTTTGCAAATTCAGAGAAATTTCTTGCCTAATGGAATAATTCAATATCCCTTGCTAAGTGAATACTCATATAAAGCCCTGACTCATGTTTTTTCCATGTTCCTATTAAGGTAACCTAAAATTAAAGGAAATTTGAGTGGAAGGAAAAAAGGGGAAACATATAAAAAGTGAAAAAAAAAAAACAACAACAACACTTCGCATTCTTATATTAAGCAAATAAACCACACACTACTTGTCTGCAAAATTATAAAATGAATCTGGGTGCAAATTATTTTTGGTGGTTCACTCAAGATCCAAAGACCAGAGAAACTTGAGAGAATGAGGCGATTTTTGGTAAAATAAAATGATTGAACACAGAACTCTATCTCATTTTGACTTAGCACAGAAGACCTCTAACCTTAAAATTGCCAAAGCTCGAGAGACATGAATGTTTTCCCTAAAGGAAAATGATGGAGCAAAGGTTTCTATCTCTTTTTGACTTAACTTGCAAGATTTCTAGGCTCAAAACTGCAACAATGTGGGAGAATGAGGCAATTTACGATGGAACAGATTTCTGTCTGATCATTTTGACTTTACACACAGGATCAGTCTTACGCTTAGCAAAGCAACACCTTGAGAGAAAGAGGCATTGTTCTTTAGATAAAATGATGAACATAGATTTCTATCTCATTTTAACTTTAAGATTAGAACACTTCTAAATGAAAATGTTACATGCTAAATAACCACAAGTTGCCAAATAGGCCACTTTTTCAAGCAAATTAAGACATGAAACCTTTTCTCGAGCTAGCCATGACATCAGATTACAGATTACACTCTGTTTTGCGTAAAATAACTTGGAGAAATCAAAGGATGCCCTGAGAAAGTTTTTTTTTTCCTGATGTTCTGGCTTTTACACAAATCAAGGTCTATTGATGAGAAGCATATTTCCTACATAAGTTAGGAGCCTCAAATATTTATGTCAAGCCAATGAAGTTAGAAGCTAAATTGGTGTTAAACAGGAAAGAAATGATAACTTCCACTTGAGCATACGTTTCGTAATGTTGAACTCAAGCCATGGTAGTCTTAAATTTTTCAAAATTTCACCGCGTCTCACTAATCAACCCGCTGCTTCCAATATATGGAATTTTGGATATTAAATATCATGATCAGTCTTGCCTCTAAGAAAAATCTCATAAAATAAGATTTCAAAGAATCTGATCTGAAAAGCCAGCCACACTCGAATTAAATTTATTTAGACCGCTATCAGTGGTGTACAATTTTAATTAATTTCATTCGGGTGGTAATTAAATTACTTTACTCCACTAAAAGTATTTACTCTTAACTAAGACCTAACTTAGAAGCACCGAATTTGATAAAGGAAATAATACTTTTTCGCCCCAAGGCTTAAAAAAGATAATGCTTCCTGACATGTATTTGCATACAATATTGATTTCGTTTTCTGTTTGCAAAGGGCGCTATTTCCTATTACCAAATTCTTGTCCTTTTTCACGCACGGATTAATCTGCTCCACGCCGCGGTCTTAAAACTCTTCAAAAACATTTTAATCAAACAACGAACGAAGTTAGATCTTAAATGTCAATTCATGTAAACATATTTTGACAACAGCTGTTAAATCCGAAGCTTTCTTTAAGTGTTGTTTACGAAATTGCACTCTTTTCATCATGCAAAACATTTATGTTTCGATTGCAGCTTGTATGCAAATATCTTCCCGATTTGTCACTGTGACAGACATGTTTCCGTCGCAGTCATCAGTTTCCCAATTACGGTTATGATAAAGCAACATTAGAAATGTAAAGAAACGTAGCTTTTTCCTCGAAAGTAAAAAAATCCTTATTACGAAGATGCCTTTTTCAAATTGTGTTCGAAACATTTAGGAGTGAGATCATTAGCAGAATAATCTCAAGCTGCGAGCCATTAACGACATAAAAGGTCTAGTTATGGTTATCAAAATTCGTACGGAGACCGATACATTACTTGAGTAAAGAGAATCAAAGCAACATTCACGTTTCTTGGACAGGGAGGTTACGAAAGTAACGTAAGAACACAATCCTACGATCGGAAGTCGGATTTTAAAGGTGCTAATTGCTGGGCAAACACTTGAACATGGAAGGAATACATTCTCCACTTCTATGACTCTACCGAGCGGAGTGTCAGGTTTCCAAATCATTTGAATTTTGGGCGTACGCTTCAAAAATAAAGCGGCCGCACTTGACAAACAAATAGTAAAAAATTCACATTACATAATTTCATTGAGACACGCTAAATTCACACGGTGAAAGAGAAATTACAAATCAGCACTACAATAGAACGCAATCTGTGACTAACAGATGTACACATCTTCGCGGGCAGTTCATCAAATTTCCCTTCCATTCTTTGATTTCTGAATTTAATGGGAACGCTTTTATCACTTTTTTTGCCTACTTCTTTAACTGGAATGATAGCCTTGCCTTATCCGTGTTTTTGTAGCTGAAGTAAACAGCAGTAACCACCCATCGGGAAGAACAACCGCAACGCATCATCGCTGCTTAGATTACGTTTCATAGCAGTCAATATTCCTAAACGCTTAGATGACAGATCTTCTCAGAGCTGATTCAAGTCACGCACCCAGCGACAAAGAACTCCTAAGGAGGTCATCCACTGAGCGGTTTATTTATACATCATTCCGTGAACAGCTAAATCCTACTAAGACACGCACCCCTTGACAGAATCTACTTGGGAACTATTTCGTCGTCTTTTAAATCGCGTAACGGCAATCGCCTTTGACTCTCGTGATTATATCTAACAGTCGAAATTAAGTTGTCTTACCTCTATCTCCTGCTGATAAACTGAAGAGAAATGTAACCAAGTCGAGCACGAAAATCCAATTTACCCACACCATGTCCATTTCTCTGACACACGTTCGCACTTTTGGGACCGATGGTCAGCTCGTGCAGCGGCTTTCTTCACTCAAAACGGAAGTAATTTATACGGAAATGACGTAACTGCTAAACATAAACACGAGTCACATTAGCAAACTAAGAACAGTTTTTGTTCTAAATATCTACCATTTTTCAAACCATGAAAACAACAGCGGCTGAAATGAGAATGAATCTACATTAGCATATGAAAACTGAATAGTTCTTTTTTTTTTTCATGCTTGATGGACTGAGCAGTTACGTTCTTCAAAATCAATTACATACTCCGTTTTTCACCCATTCATTGTTCACTCTAGATGTTTAATTGTCTTTAAGATCTCTATGGCCGCGAAAGCATTAAGCAAAATTGGAAAACATCAATTATTTAAAAGCTAAAGTGAATTGCCTCTGGCAGGTGTATTTTTTATTTTGGAAAGTTTCCTATTATGTCGATGTTGCAAACAACGGCTTCTTCCAGAACTGATGATGTCAGCTAATAGGTTGCAGACAGAATATTACTCAGGATGAATGTCGCTCTCTTTGTTAGCGAATTCTACAAGTTTTCTGTCAATATTATGCTCCTTATCACAATCTTCACACCGGCGGAGAACCTTTAACACTGGATGAAGCAAGGACTAAACCGAAATTGCGGACAAACCGCAAAGTAAGATTACAGTGTTTTGATGAAATGTGCTGCGCATTTGGGCTTTCATATTTCCGCCAATGCATTTTAATCCTCGTTAAACCTTGAAAGGTACCATAAGATTAATATTTGGAAGATTTTGTCGCTCGAGGCTTAAAATTGCATTAGAAGACAGTGGCGACCAAAACATAAAATCATAAAGATGACATAGAGAAATAGCTGCGGTTAACAGTTCCGATGGAAATGGAGACTCATGTCTGATAACAACAACACGCATAGTTGGAAAAATGGGAGAGTTTCAGTGTAAAAGATATACTGTTCTGATTCAGCGACAATTAGCTTTTAGACACCGGTTCTGAAAAAGATAATTGAAGTGAGCAAATAAGCAAAGTGCAAAGTTTTCATTGAAATTGAGACAAAAGCAAATAAATTAAAAGTGTGGTTAAAACAAAGCTCCGTGTGCGCCACAATAAAAGCCTAAGTGTCAACTGACATTAACTCATGTAAATGGACAACACGAACCGACTTCAAACTCACTTTTATCTATCACTTTTATGTTCCGATGCAAATATGAATCTCGAATATGAAAAGGAAATCCCAAAGACATGTTACTATCAGTAGCATGAATAATTTCCCGATTTTTTTTTTTTATTTCACTGTTATGTCCTAAAATCTATCTTCTGTTGCAGTTTGGTAAAATGACAAATTATATGTTGTTTGGTCTTACGCGTCTAATTTTCTTGTCGTTGTTTTATTTCCTGTCGCAATGTAAAATGCTTTGATGACATCTTAATCAGTTTGCTTTAGTAGGATACACGTCTCTTACGTTTCATATGCAGAGTGACAGATTTTATCAATTTTATCTTTTATGTCACGACCCTTTTTAAACTTCTCAGCTAATGGATACTCTAGAAACTTTCAAAATGCCCTCGTCGGGGGTGGGTGGGTGGTTGAGGTTAGTGGACCCGCCTTCTAGTCACTCGTGGTTTAGAAGATAGCTAGAAAGTTCATATTTTTGTATCATGACTCCACTTGACCCCCTGCAAAGATAATTGCACGTGTGATGAACTCCTAATTATACACATTGAGGTATACCAACCAGAGACCCACAAATTATAGCAGCCTGAATTTCTGGGATAAGGTGATCTATCGCAAGATCTTTCTTTTCCTTTTTCTACCGACTTCCGGCAATCTTGTCGATTTTTCTAATTTTGTAATAATTGTAAATAAAATCGTTAAATACATTGAGAGATGTCCCAACATGACAACGCATCAGGAACAGTATTTAACCCCGACATCACCATGCAGGTTCTCCATACTGTTCTCTACGCATTTCTTGAGATATTTAAAAGGTGAATTTGTATTTAAATCAATGTCTTCTTGAGTTTGTGATCATTTCCTTTATTCACATGACCTTTATGTTCTATTCAGGGTGATATTGTTGGGAGAAATTAGATGCTTATCACTCTTACGGGTTAAAAGGTTGAAATTGAACCACGTCCCTCTTGAAGACATGCACAAGTGGTACATTCAGGATCTTTCTTGGCTGATAATGTGAGAAGAGTCAGAGAAAGTTTAGTGCACTTCCCTGCCGTCAAAGAATTCAACTGTTGCTTCCACTTATCTAAGTCTATCAGTTGCTTTCAAACATTCTCCAAAATCGTGGGGGCAACCCTCAAGCCTCATTTTCCTCTCGTATACTGAGTGTTTACAACTTCTCTTAGATCTTCGCTGAATTTCCAGCTCGCCTAATGCGGTACTCCTTGTTACACTTACGAATCGAAATTACTTAATACAAATTTACGATGATTAAGTCAGTAATAATTATTTTCTTTTCAATATTTGTCTGTTTTTTTCAGTCCGTAAGATAAAGTAAGTAACTCGACTAGTCAACGGGACAGCAAACCAAAATTAAACATCCCTTGCAGTGATCTGATGGATAAATATTCAAGAAACTTCTACGTCCTTATTCAGGAATGCAGGAAAGCCACTTAAGTACAACAAGATTGCTCGACCAACACTCTCAGTATATTGCCTTACTGCATGCAGTATTGGTCTCTCTTGATAATCTAAGTGGCACGTTTCCCACGTAACAGACGATGGCTATAACCACAACTGAAGATAACATCATGCATTAGTCTGACACTCTGAACATAGTCAGAGGTCTCTGTTCAACACCGTTACTCAAGCATGCCTACCTGTAGCCGTATCTTGCGAATCATTCCGCGTCAGTTATGTTTCATCGGGAGCATTTGCGCACTAAGTACTTAGTAAATGAAACTGACATTCACGATAAATTACGGAAAATTGTTACCTGACATTTCTAAAGAGACATCTGAGAGCTCCTTGTTATAAAGGTCGTGAGGGGGAGAGGGAGGTATCACAGTAACGTGATGTATGCGCGCCGCAAATTTTGGACGTCAAAGAAGTATCAGTGTTGGTAATCCGAATCAACCATTAATGATAAGATCAATTCGTTTATCAATGATATTGAAGATGATGAGATCGTAAGTCAACATTTATCGAACTATACCGAAACGTATCCAGAGAACAATATGGTCTAAATTCAAGAGATTTGTTGGAGTGTATCTGTAGATTACAGGGGCACAACTTTTTAATTAAACTTCAGATAACCTAACGTGTACGGTTGGATGATTATTCTCGCTGGAGAACAGATGACTGAGGGTAAAAACTCAGCCGTTGTCTCTTCCGCTACGACTCTTTCCACTGAAGCTCACATACCGCTATTTCAGATGAGGTGAACTAAATGTAATTATCGTTGGTAGTAAGGTTGGTTAAGAAAACAAGGCCATCAGTGAGGCAAATAAAATAATCTTGCACTTCATCTGGAAAGACCAGGTGATGTAATTAAGATCAAATGATTGTCCCTTATCAGCCTTGATAAAGTGACTGTCGGAATTTAGACCCATGCAAAGATAATATTTTCATTCAATGACGGGCTCTGCCGCATTGCAAGTTATTAATGCTCTCATACATACGAGTTCAATTCATTTGATTTTACCTGTCTATTCCATTGTTACCACAATCGCAACATTACGGCGGTGTTGACTTGAGCCATTTCTATTTCCATGAAAAAGGAAAAAAATGTACAGGATTTGTTTCCGGTCACACATGCGAAAGCGCAAATGTAGACGCATGGGATTTTTAGAAAGTGAAGTACATGCTATTACCGGAAGTAAATAACCTTAGTGTTCGCTCCAAGCTTGACTCAGCAACTACACTCCATCATTTTAATAGGAAAAGTTTGTGTAATTATTGGATTAGCAGTTTCACACGGACAACACACAAATACTCGATACACAGTGACTGGATAAACAAGCACATGATAAAAAAAAACTTTGACAAGAACCAATCAGGACAAGATTAACTTTTTCTCTTTGATTCAGTCTTCTGCGAATCATAAAGCGTTTCTTAAATAACCTATACTCTATTTCATCCCGTGAATTGTAGTCTGAAACACGTGACACGCTACAACTGAGACCGGATACGCGCTCTATGGACTTGGTTAAGATTTTGATGTTAATTCTTCTCTCTGGCTGCAGCACATTTCCTTGTAAATCAGTTACAAGAATTTGGTGTGAGATTATAACAACAACCCGTCTGATAAGATTGAGTATTCTTATTACCTGTTTGCTGACTAATGTATTGATATTATCGGAAGAAGTTACATGTCGATCACTTTTCGGAGTGAAGGGGTTAATGGCCACTACTCATTGTGTTGGTTAAAAGAAAGAAAAAGAAAATTAGCAGAGGTTGGCAGCTAAGCTGCAACAACGCTAATGCTTTGTAAACTTGTGAGCAGTGTCGTCTTTTGTTTGACAGGACACGCTAAATATAGAGATTCAAGTGAAATGTTAATTATAACACCGCACGTCACTGAAAAGCACATTAACCGAGAAGTTTGCTGAAGAATTGAACGAAAAACTTAAACAGATCAACTGACCATGAACACGCTACTTTTACGAAATGAGTCAGAGTAGATAAACCTACCGTATTTCATATTAGCGTTCAGTAGCTTCTCCTTCTTTTGTTCTCTTTGAAAACCCAAAAGGCTTTTGTGCTTAATATTAAAAATTTGCAAGGTCAGAGTTACAGCTGCCGTCAAACCACATACTCGGCCCAATCGACGAAAAGTCCAGACACCACCTTTGAGGTTTTGCATTTCGTTCAATCTCACTTTGAGGATTGTAGTGTCATCACCTGGTTTTATCCGGTTGTGTGACACAGAAGTATGCGTCAAACAAGGGTATCCAATGGAATTATACATTTTTGGGTATAACTCGAATCACTTCAACGCGAAACTTTTAATAACGCAGAATCTTTGACTCGGATTAAATTTAGTTAGAAATGTTTGAAAATAACACAAATTGAAGAGGCTTACGTTTCTGAATTCAGAGAGAGAAAACAGAATGGGGAAAGAACGTTTATTTTTTCGTAAACCTTTTCAAAACTTTTGATAGAGTCACCGCGTTTCCTCTGCAGCACAAGAATGACTGTAATCCTAAGAGAAAAAATATGGTAAACCCAAAAATGATAATTAAATTTTATCAAAATAATGACAGATGCCCTCACGTCTTTCAATGAACCAAAGACACCGTGCATCTCTTTGTTTTCCATTTATTTTGAGGTCAAACTTATGTTTATTATTCATGATATATCAATTTTTTTGGTTTACGAAAATTAAGACATGACAGGTTGTCAATCCGCAAGCTTACGACTTTTCAGTAATAATGTTTCGTTAAAAGGAGAGGAACGAAATTTTAATCAACAATGGTAGAGTCACATCGGCCAAAAGCCCCATCATTTGAAATTACGGTGGTAATAATATCTTTTCAGACTTTATAAGCTCTTCATCTCGTGACTGGCAGTTGGTAAAAAAGTGAGTAATCTGTGAAGAGTTGTTCCTCAATCAAATGTCTCAATCTGGTTCGTTAAAACTAATGTGTTACTTTTGCCTTTATCACGTTTTCGGTACGAAATTTACGTTCATTTGCTAATGAACTGAATCGAACGCTTTTACTTTGTCGATGGATCGAAACTGATGAAAAGGAACTAGATAGACGCTGCTCGAGTAGATTTACCGCAAACAGTATCAAGGCGAGGCAAACCAATCAGTTTCAGCGACAACAACTTATCGCATGAATATTTGACGACTTCCCCTAAAGCAGTGGAAACGTTAGTTAATGGTTAGCTTTGCAATCGAAATTTATTTGCATTTTCCAGTCTTACAGAGATAAGAGCTACTAAGAATTACGAAGGGCGTGTTATCGCGCCTCGCTGAGTCACTAAGTTACTAAGTTCTTCTTTACCCTTTGTGGCTTGATGCCTCACAAATGTGCTCAGCTCAAGCCCTGGGTCATTTAAGCTCTTTGTCAACGATATGGCCGTGTTCCTCTAATACTGATTGATCAGCTCCATCGCATCATAAGATCCATCGCTTCAGCTCATTAGTATTAGTGACTCAAAGAAAACCCCGACAGCGACGGTTACGGGAACGTTGTGAAACAAAAGATCTCATGGGCAAAACAGTAACGAAACACGTGCGTTTTAAAACTTCGCACATTACTTAGCCATTGCAATGAATTTCCACCGCGCGCGCCTAGTTTGAGATAAAACTGGTCAACTGACCGGGTTTTATGTGGTCCAGCTTTCTCGAGAATAATTGCTCGGAACAGATTTCTTAAAATTTATCATCATGATACTCATCCTGATGATAACTCCAAAATGCCTTATCGTGGCAATAAAAACTTTGGTAAACTATTCAATTAAGGTAAAGAGTTCCTTGATGATTTGAACACCAATTTAAGGTTAAATTAAATTTCTCATCTCAGTGCAGCCAACAGGCGAAGCTATGCAACGCTTAATGATAAATATAATGGCTTAATCTCTCATTCTTGTAAGCTTTTCTGTCTCTTTGTAATCGGCAGTGAGTTTTTATGAGGAAATTAAAAACACTGCTCAGACCTCTAATTCCATTTTGGGGCAAAAATTGCATCCTTAATTGCTTCTGATTGGTTGGCCAATAAACCCCAAATTTTCAGGGGTGGCTAAATAGGGAAATTTAGACGCTGCTAGGTGATACGATTGTGATCACGCATGTCAATTTTTTTTTTAGTAATTAATTTTTTGATTATTTGAAGCAATGCATTCTCTGTTACCCTGATATGAATTCAAATTTACCAGTACAGTAAGCAGTAAGAATTTAAAGAGGATTCATACAATTAACTCTCTTAGCTTTAACCACTTCTGTATCTCTGCTTTCAAAGAAGCACTCCGCAAAACTGTAAAAATTAATCAAAAGTTAGCTTCTGGCACTCAGGTTAATTAAGGCCTGGGTCAAAAATGATTTTCGCCTCCAAGGCCCCCCCAGCAATGTTCGCGGAATTCGCGTGGATTGCGCGAGTAACTATAGTTACTTGGAATCAAGACCGCGTTGTTCGTGAACGGCATCCGCCATTTTGAAGTGTCGGCTTTGCATTGGTTTTTCCCATCTTCGCTGGTGAATCCGACAATTTAGAGGAAGACATCAAAAGAAGGTAATAACATTTTCTTTTCTATCTTCATTTCCTCAAAAAATGGCATGATATCGCTATCTTAAAACCAAAAAGAACCCTTTTGAACCTACGAAGACTTCTAAACACCGCTCTCAACATGTTCATGGACTTCACTGCAAATACAATGCAACATGAATTTATAATATAGCGCTCATTTCTAGAGCTCAGTAGCGTTTTACAATGTTTGTAACTTATGCATAGAAAAAAGTACTATGTTTTGTAACAAATGTATAGAAAAAAGTTTCATTGTGGATATACCATTCAATTTTGAAATTAAATTTAGCTTGATAAATCCTATTTCATATCATGATGTGTATACTTATGGTGTCTATCACAATTTAGGCTTTTGAATGCTTTGGAAACAATTTCTCCAAGAAGCAGATGAATTTACTTACAAAAGTAATCCCCCAAAGCAGTTGTTAGGTAAGTTTAATTGCTTCTGAACACTCGCGTGTCAAAATGGCGGACACTAAGTTGAATACGTGAATGCGAGTTTTCAAAATTCCCACCTCTTAAACAGTTTTAATTTGTCTTTTTTCCAAATAAATAGGAACCTGTAGGATTACTTTCATTGACAGCGGTTGGAACCAGGTAAAGGCTAAGATGTTTTCGGGCGAAAACCATGATAGGGGAAGCAGCATGCTTCGCAGAGACAAAACTTGATTTAATCTGCCTAGCACATCTCTCTTTTTTTTTTGGCAGCCATTCCAAGTGGGAAAACAATGAAAAACGTCTCAAATATTCATAGCGATAACTGCATTTTGATTTGCCTTGTGTTTAGTGGTGGGAATTTGCTCAAGAAAGCAACCGACGAATTTGGCGCCTAAATTAACTGTTTTTGGCTTTTGAGAGTATCATATTACGCTGCCACAATTCAGTCCGAGAGAGATGGTAGTGATACACATTTCTGCAAAGTATGAGAAAAATCTCTCGCAAAATAGCTAAGTTATTCTCAATTTTGTGAAAAATATGGGTTAAAGGCAAGGTGACCCAGGCCTTAATTAACCTGAGCAGCAGGTTTTCCCATTGAGAGACTTAAATAAGGTTAGATTTTTATCACTTTTAATCATTTACATATATGTAAATTGATGTAATACGTACGATGACAGTATTTTATAAAAAAATCCAAAATCTTAAAAGGTCCTGTGGATCAACTTCATTTCCACTCCACTTCAAAATGACAATATGCGCGAAGGAGAAGAAAACATTTTCAAGCCCCCCTTACTGATCAGAATGTTTTGGAGAAACCAATCAAGTGATATGAAACGAAAGATATTCTGGACCATGCTCATTACCGATTTTGTGAAATTTCGCGAATGATGTCATCAAAAGGAAGCCAACCTAATTTAGTAAATAAAATTGCTGAATTGCCTTAGGAACTAGTATCACTCTCGCGTAGCGTTTCTGTAGCCGTAAAAATTTATTCAACTGTTCCTTTGAACAATAACCCCATATTTCACAGTAGTATTAGAGAACTGGTTTGATAAGGGAATTATAGAGTAATCGAGAACACCAAGTACAAGGTGAGGGAAATCAGAGTTTATTTTCCGTCTGCCTTAGCCATTAACGTCATTCCAAAAGAATATTAATAATGCATTAAGTGATGTTTATCTGTATCTACTACGGCAGTGTTAATCCTCTGAGAGATCATCTCTACGTTAAGATATGGAGCAAACATTGGTTTTAGTGCAGATTGTACTCTCTAGCAATTTGTGAACCGTGATCATGATGGCATATCTTTGATCGTTCACATCAACACCAAATAGCTAATTAGCAGGGATATTGCTGTAGAGTATGAGGTCGTCACCAAGAAGGCATCTCCAACGGGAGGGGCTGGTGTCGTGCTTCTTCCACGGCAGTTGGACTGTCGAGGAGGTAAGGGCTTCGTGATCTTTGGAATCGGATATGTGTAGTTGTTAGGTCTCTGGAAAGGAAATAATTAACAATAGTTCAAAGGAAAACTCAGCACTGTACACTTACTTCTACTCCTCTAAGGAGGTGGCAGACTTACTGTTACATACTGAATCAGATTGGAGATAAAGAAAACTACGATTATGATGAAAACTATGCCTATAGCGAGGCATTTACCCTCCCAGCCCCCCCCCCAGTAAACAGGCACACACCCGTGGTCATACACCCGCCACCCACTGTTTGTTGTGTTTTGTCATTTCGACATCTTTTCATGCACATTATGTCGGGATTTCATTATCACCCTTAAGAATTGCACTATGTTAACTGTAGTGAGTTTCGCACGGGCCCCTCATCAGTTTACTGACCGCGCGACAATATGAAAGAAATGTCTCTGCTTCATCGAATCTCTTCCTCAAGTCAGACACCAATTCCTTCGTCCATGAGATATTTGCCCCAATGAGAGGATTTGACCATTTTGACTCCTTTAAGGAAGGGCTAGACAAAGGAAAATTAAAGTTAAAAATAGATTGAAACCAAACATTGCTTGAAACAAGACATGCTATACCTGTACGATTTAATAGACAATCTTTGGTTTAACTCCACAGTCATGTTCGCTTCTTTTGGTGCTATGGTGTGTTTCCTTTTCATCTTCTCTGTGTTCTTCAACTCTTTTCGTATTCGCAAACATTTCTTTTTGCAGTTTGCTTTGAGTTTTGTTCTCTAGGCTGTTATAAGGATAATACTCTGTCAGACAGTCATGTGCTTAAATTCATTTGTTGGTCAATTTTCACTGTGTTAGCTGACTAGAACGCCAATGAGATTTATCCAGCTTCTTGACGACTTGGCAAAGAAAGGATGCCAGTCATGATCAACGCTGAATGTTCTATTACCTTCAAGAAACTTGCTGGACGGATCATTTCGTTTCACGCGAAGAATGAAATAGGCCCTTTGTAAGAGAAATTCATTCCCTCCTTTCAGGGGGGGATACCTCAGCACGACAGCATAGGAATGAACCAAATACACAAATAGCATATCTAGGGAATAATTACAATGCCCCGAATACCAACACTTTAGTGTTAAACTCCTTGCTTTTTATTGATAGGCGATGAAAGTACTTGTGAAATTAAGTGCAGATGGGTAATTATTCAATAAAATAGCTCCCAAAAACAGGATTCTTGTTGAGAAATGCGAAAGATTTCAGGTGGCAGAGCATGCAACACCGGTTTTACTTGAGCTGTTGTTCGCACTTTTGACGCTGCGTTTTGATTATTTTCTCGACAGACGTATTAAGGTGGTTTCGTGGAAGCAGACCAGCTCTAATTTCAACATTACTTGAACAAGAATGTATTAATTCACTTACAAGCGTTCTTTGATGAAGTCGTACACTGGCTTACGTAGAGAGCTGGAGCAATATGCTGTAGCATTCACCATTCGAGGATAGTAAAACATGTAATTCAGACACATTTCTTGAGTGGTAGAGAAACCAGCCTGTAAGTGGAGTAGGAGTACATTATCTGTCACTCTGTCATGCACCATGTAAAGTGAAATCAATGATGGCATGTTTTTATTGCAATCACTTGAAATAGAGATTGAGAGAGGTGTCACTGCTGTAAAGAAACCAACAGCTTTTTTTGAGGGCCCAGATATCACACTTGCCTGCACGAGTGTATCGCGATCCATTGTCTCGTATTTGCAGAAATGAATTAAGTCGTCCCCCTGAAGGATAAGAAAGACGTCAGTGAAGAAAACAAAATGTGCAGCGATCATCTGGATGCGAATTCTTAAATCTCGATTTGATAGAAAAGATCAAACTCACATTAACTTAATCTAATTTAATTAAAAAAAAAAAAAGGAACGTAAAATGATCATAAGCAATGTTGTTCTTCCAGATTATTCAATCACATGGTTGCGTGGAAGCTTGAGTGCATTAAATAAATCAGTAGGACACATCGTCTAACTCACATCAATTATTATCCTTTCATGAGATAATATAAAATGTGATTCTATGAAAAACTGGCTCTAAAATCAAAGTTTTTCTCAAACCGGTTTGATGTGAGCCTCCTCTCTCAAAACTTGTATATCCTGCGGAATAACAAGTGAAAGTTAACTGTTGGAAAATTAATGACAGTTTTTTTGATAAAATCAATTCGCAGCTTGGCAGCCAGCAATGTCTTATGGCTCACGTAGTGAAAGATGAACTGAGGCACTTATTAGAATGTATCACGTTTCGACACTCGAAAGGAGCACTTGAATCTTAATAGGGAATGGTCACAGTGCCCACAGTGTTGAGGTTATGGTTGTACTATGACTTCCGTGAGCGACCACTGACAACTGGAAGAGTTATCTTATGAGGTCGCGATAATCCCAGATGTTGTCAATACTGACTGGGTAAAACGAAAAATATATATATTGAAAATTAAAGTATTCTGGATGTCGTGAAAATATTAGTAGTTCCGACTGGACAAATTGATTCAAGTGAAATAAAGGATAAGTTGATGAGGGGGTAGCATATTGTATAGTAATTCTTGTGCATTCGGCAAATGCTAATAGTGGATCTTATACCACATTAAGTCGCACCTGAGGTATGAAGTATAAATTACCTGAAAGTTAAAATCATAATGGTCATCTCTTGCAATTTCTGGTAACTCAACTCCGTTGCGAACGTGCTTTGTCCATGTTGCACGCCCTGCAGATGAAAACAAAACTCGATGATATTAAGGTTTAGCTCCATAATGACGTATGACTATCAACAGAACGTGGAAACATAAATCAGACACGCGTACATATAAACAAACAACAACCACCATGCACTTCTAAACAACGAAAGTAGAGCAAGGTGACTTACCCTGCAGGTGGGTGTGAAGAAGGGCAGCAAAAACTTTTATTCCTTTTTCAGGGAGCTTAGTCGCCTGCAAGTCTTCCTATGGAAAAAAAAAGTGCTTTATGTTAAATGCTGATGTAAATTTAAGACACACGTTCCTAGGCACTGTAATGCACCGTGTATAAAAAAAGGTGAAATCATAAGTTGTTAACCACATGTGTTTTGCCCCTTTTCGATGCCAGCTTCACCACATTGCCATTTTTTTTATTTTTTATTTTTTTAAAAACTCTGGATGGCATGGGGGTGAATAAGAAGTTTTCATGGAAACGCAAGTGATTGTGAACGTTTGAGACAATTTACCTGATAGCATTCCTTGGGACAGTAACCCACAGTCAACCAAGATTCCTGTTTTGGTGGGATTATCGCAAATTTACTTATTCTTTCTCCAACACACATTATCCCAGCATCGTACTCACGGAGATGAGAAGTGTAGTAAAAACGAATCCCTGAGCTGTCTTTTCGTCCTATTTGACAAAAAAAAAATTTTGAGGTAAATAGATATTTTATAGCTGAGGGCAAAATACACCTCTCATTGTTTCTTCTCCTCAACTAAAAATTGAAACGAACAAAAGACGCAAAATGTGAGGTGCTAACCTTCAATTGCATCGGGATTGTCATAGTGTAGCTCAAGAAAAAACGTCCTTGTCGAGTTCGACGTACCAACTGGATACCCAGCCTTCGGTGGATAATAAAATGCCTATTTGATAGTAAAACATACATTTTTTTAGGAAGAGTAACGAAAAACCTTTCAAAAGTCAAAATATTTCAAATTTAAAGTTAGTTTTCTCGGGAGAGCTATAAGTTAAACGTCTTACCGTACCACCAACAGCCCAAGCAGCAACGACACTGTAGTCATAACAACTTCGTAGAGGCATATTGGGTACAGAACAGTCAAAGCCAGAACCATATAAGGAAGCATTACTAAAATTCCCATGACACTCGTAGACGAGTAAATGATGCACGATTCCTTCGTTTCCAGGTGTTACGTATGGCTCAAACTATAAAAAAGCAATATACTGAAACTTCTTTGGAAGCGACACCAACATCAATAGTGTAACACTTTACTTCTTCTTAATGATTACTTGCTACAAATCTCTAGAATTCCATTAAGAACAAAAACGTTTGTGAAACCTTGGCCGCATAGATCAATTGATACACCTTTGGTAAACTTACCTTAGGTACTTCCCTACACCTAAACATTTCGTTACCCGCCCTAAGCTCACCGTCCAACTTAAGGGTGTGGCTTTTTCTGACTCATAAGTGGAGAGTTTTGAAATGCACGAGTGAAATGTCAAAGGTTGTGGCAAGGTCAATAAATCCCACCGACTACGAAATTGTTTTTCTTTGGAGAACTCAGTTGGACCGTATAAACAATTTGTTATCAACGCATTCCTGAACATGCAAGTTCATATTTTTTACTTATTTTCGCAAGAATCTACGCGGTGGCCTTCTACATTGATCGGTCACTTAACCATAATAAGATATAATTGGATGAAAACAGGCTTTATTGCAATGTTTTGCACTTCTGTACTCACCTTTGTAATATGATGCTTTGATTTGAACTCGGGTAGTTGGATAAGAGAACACCAATACGTTGTGCGCTCTTTAGGAATTGTTACCTGAAAAAAAAAATTTACATTTTGAGTTAGCTTCAAACTCCCTGAATGGACACTCTACAATCTTCACTTTCGATAACAATCTCCAAAATTTAGAACACTAAAATAAGAACTTTTTATCTGTATCTAACATTTCTATTTGTGACGTAAAACTGCTGCCACCCGGTTTCGTTCACTTGTTTTTTGTCCATGTTGTTAAGAAGTAGAATGCTCTTCGCCCCTCGGAATGTATGTTTCTTCATATCGTCCTCAGAAGTGGGGTCCTCTGCATGATATGCAAACACGACCTTAGTGGTGCCCTCCTGTCAAAAAAAGAAATTAAAAAAATAAAAATTAGGGTGAAAAGGGATAATACCAATTTACTTTCTTTGCTTTGAAGGAGAAATGAGAGAACATTATTATCATTCAAAATTATGACGCAGTCTCCCTAAAAACGGTCCGGTGTGTTTCGCTAGAAAAATCGATTTCCTTCAAACTTCGCCCAGGAATCTATCTTAGTTTAAAAGTAATCGGAACCACCTTGGTTTTTTCAAATACAGCAAAATAATTTTTTTTTCCTAAGCGAAAATCGCTTCAGCGCTCAAACGCCCGTTTTTAACAACACCGATTATCAAAAATAGCACAAATTGCCGAGCTCGTCTTTTCACAATATTCTAGTTTGAAGGTTTTGTTTTGTTTCTCATATATAAATCAACCCTTTCTGAGGGCAAATAACATACGTTTTGTTAACAGTTTTTTTCCACTGAATTTTTTTTTGGTTAAAACCTACTTTGACGCTACCGCTATGACCTGGAATATGCAACTTTTTATCTCGGCTCAGCGCAAACTCCAACTTCTTTCCCAAGGTATTTTTATTCAGACTGGCTAAAATAGGGTAGAAGAGTACGGAAATATAAAAACGTCCTGAGGTTTCGGCGGACTTCTCGCTCGAATAGCCGGCCAACAAATTGCGCGCATTTTCGAAAATTCGACCTAACAATGCACATGAAGCGGTCTCAAAAGTAGACAAAATTTATACGGCTAATTTATGATTGAAGCGTGAATTGAGTCCACAAAAGCTTTTTCCTGACTTGCATAAAGGATAAAAACCATTAAGTAAAGAAAATCATTATCTTCATATAGAAAAACAAAGCCGCCGAAAGCTGACTCTCAGCTATAGGCAACCTATCGTTTTGTTTATCGGTCAATTAATGAGAAAGGGGGAAAAACTTCGGAAGCCAGGATAGCTATGACGAGATTCAGGTTTATTCAGAATATTTCATGTTGTTCATTTGGAAACCGTTCATCTTAACAGCAGTTAAAGTACAGTCCTTTTAATTCGAAATGCAACCTTTAATTTAGTAAAATTTCGCAACGAGAACTTATTTATTGAAAGGTCCCCTCTTTTGTGTTTATAAACTATGGGTTCGTAAAAAAATCGTCGGAAATAAGATATTTTTCGAAAAAAAAAGAACAAATAAACCAAATGGATCATTAATTTGGTCAAAAACTGAGAGGAAGGAAGATCCTGCACAAGTAGCTAACGATATGCGCAATGCTCGCAACACCGGTGGTACACAAATGTTTAATAGATGATGTAATGGCTTTCAAAGCTTCAAATCCAGGGACATTTCTTCCGACTCTCTGCGAAGAGAAAGCAATCAAATAGCAAGGAAACCTCCAGCGATGACGCTGAGCCTGACGATAATGAAGAGCTAGCTGAACAGTAATATAACTAATATAAGATTAGTTATTTTAAGTGAGAAAGCCTGACTTGTTATAAGCCTCGTGGTTTCTTTCAGGTTTTCTCGCCATTTATTTTCTGTCATCAATTTTCTTCATTTTTTTTTTCCATCTGTAAATGTTGTATATGGCAAAATAAATATTGTATTGTATTGTATTGTATTGTATGCCTTGCTAACCGATGAACAAATGCTCGAGAGAGCCAGTGTAGCCGTACAGTCTGAAATTGGCGTCAAGCATACAATGATCTATGATGTCTAAAACCTTTGCGAAATGGCATTTAAAAACAAACTTTCATTTCTCAAGGTTAAGATGCTCAAGGAAATGTGCAAGCATTTTGAAATCCTATCTAAATCAAGAAACACCAAATCGAGTTTGGTTAAGAAACTATAAAAATTGTCGAAGATTGCTCATTCATAAAAGAGTAAAATAAGCAAGGCAAGTTTCAAACAATAATTTCAGTAAATTGAAATTCCACAACTTTGTCATTGACATTTGTGACGGTTTGGATTATTTGGATTCTGAATTATACGTAGGAGACCTTTAGGAAGGAAAACTTGGACGAAGTGAGAAAATAAGAAAAGTTTGCATTTATTTAAGTTTTTTAAAACGCCAGCACCAGAAAAGGGTACTGAGTAAAATACTGATGCGGTGAGGTTTGGGACTGCATAAGGTTGTATGCCAAAAATTAATTGATGGAAACACACCCGTGCACTTTTTGGTACGGAAATGGGAGGAATTACTGGAAAAAAAAATAAATAACCAAGTCTCGTACACTCTGTAGTCTTTGGAACTATTCTACCTGGTTAATTTACTTTCTGTTCCGGTCAAAACTTCTATCGTAGACAATTACTTGAAAACTTCTGGCTTATTGACATAGACGAAGCATCAAGAAGGAACTTAAATAACAGAGTTCAGTGCACTTATATTTATTACTGACAAACCTGAGGTTGCGTGACGCATTATTTAAGTTACCAAGTTAAAAAAATTATTTTGCGACCTGACGGCGGTGCAAAGATATCTTATCGTCTTGGAAAAATTCCTTCTGGTTTGTTTTGTGGGTTTTCATGAAATATTTTATTTCTGGCGACTTCGTGAGAACTTGAAGTTTCATCATTTATTTGATTATTCACTTATATCAACTAGAAAGGAATTCACGTTAAAAACAACGAATGTGAAAACTTCGACTCTGAAACTTCAAAGTCGAATTCTGAGTAAACGTAAATCTTGTCATAGCTATCCTGGCCTCTGGGGTTTTTTCCCCTCCTCATTAATTACTAATAACCAAACAATAGGTCGCCTAGAGCCAACTTTCGACAGCTCTGTTTTTCTACTAATGAAGATGAAGATTTTTCTTAAGTTAATGATGTTTTATCTTATTGCAAGTCATTAAAAAGCTTTTATGGAATCAAATGACTCGTCAAAGATAAGTTGACCAAGTGAATATTTCAAGCATATTTCACGTCATAGCGGTAACATCAAAGTAGGTGTCAACCAAAATAAAGACCATTAAAAAAACAAAACTTATGTGCTTTGTTCGAAAAAGGGTTTATCTAAATATGCGAAACAAAAAAAATCCTTCAAACTGGAATTTTCTAAAAGAAAACGAGCTCGGCAATTTGTGTTATTTTTGATAATCGGTGTTGTTAAAAACGGGCGTTTGAGCGCTGAAGCGATTTTTGCTCAGAAAAAAATTATTTTGCTGTATTTGAAAAAACCAAGGTGGTAACGATTACTTTTAGACTAAGACAGATTCCTGGACGAAGTTTGAAAGAAATCAATTTTTCGACCCGAAACGCGCCGGACCGCTTTTAGGGAGACTGCTTCTTAATTAGCGCTGAACAGTTGAATGATAATCATTAGCAACACGGTATACAGTTTATTCAGACACAGTGACACTGCCTTTAAAACGCAGCAGAATTACCCTTTTAAGCTATGATTAAATATTTTGGCTGAGCTGACTGATATGACTGATGGAAAAACACGAACAGGCTATGTCACGAGCCCAGTAACTCAGGTAATGAAGTAATCGGCTTCTGACTACGTTAAGGATTACCTCAATCTTCCTGTCGCGAGGATCACAGGTGTCAAATTTCCTACAAAATCTCAACACAGTTTTCCCTTCGCTTTCCTCAAACCCAGTAAAGTTGTAATTGTTTTCTTTGTCCAACGGTGGACAGCTTTGGTTATCAGCAAACCGGTCCTTAAAAAAAGTTAATAAAACAAGATCAAAAACTAACCGTGGTATGCACTCGCAGACTTAAGCCAGGTATTTATTTATTTTTTTAAGTTAAGCTTTACTGATTTACAGCTTAACTGCAGACTGCAATGAAAAATATACAGCTTGGTAGGGTCAAGTCTCTTTAAAAGGCAAGTAGTTTGCTCCTTTTTAATTTGTTTACCAAAGATGACGTGGAATACAAAACTATTTTACATCACTTAAATAACAAAACAATTTTAGAAGCATCAGTTTACCTTTATATACAGACACGTTAGCGTGACAACGGGTCAATGTTGTGCTGATACTGCTCAAAATGTAAGCAGTGTTAACAGAAGAGCAAATCTTTTCTTGAACAGACTGCTATGTTTCTGTGCAACTACGAATACATCCTAAATTTAGGCACTGGTTTGAAAGTATTGAACGTTTTGATCTAAATAGAAACGGCTAAAAGTGCAGTGTCAAACACCACTTTGGCTGTTTTAGTCATCTAAATCCAGATGTCGTAATGACGTTCATTCCTTCTTTTCTTTCTCAACCTTTTTCTTCTGCTTAGAACTTCACCGTGACTAGTGTCCTTTCGGCAAAAATTCTTGCTCACTCGTCACTTACCGTCAGGTAACCCTTGGAGTCCTTCACCCATCCGATAACCATGTCGCTTCCGGCCATATTCCCATTACCCGAAGAGATACCGAAACCAACCCACCCTGTTGTTGCTGCCTCGACAGCAAAGGATACGGTTTTATTTTCCCAGTTCACCGTCCAGAACAGTTTCATTTTCTCGTAAGTATCTAAAACTGCTTCGTGAGCAAACTCAGCAGACAAATCAGCGCCATTGGCAGGGACCAAAGCTGAAATTGCTATCAACATTAAGGAGAACATGTTGCCGGCTTAAGCTTGCTGTTGCTCTTTTGACAACTAAACCTGAAGGACGTCACTGAATATTACGTAGATCGTTTTGTTTCTAAGAAACAGATGGACGTGGGGATCACGAACTCATTGTGATTGGGTAATTGCCAAGGAAACTGAGGAAACTAAGGAAACTAAGGTCAGACCAACGATGACAACCATCCCTCCACAACGACCACCTCTACACACCGAACATTTTTATTTTACCGTGAAGAACATTTCACTTGGGTCTTTTTCCCTCTCTTGACACTCTTCACAAGGCAAAGGCCGCTAAGCTGCAGCGTAAATGCTACATAATATCTTCACGACCATAAGTTAATCACTGACTGAACGTTTGACACAGTAAAATGCGTGATAAATCAATCGGGCACACAATCTTTGACAGTGTTTTACAGAGGCGTAATAAATGTTTGTGTAACTAGAAACAGCTGTTCTGCAAACTTGTATCTAATTATTCTGTGTCACTTGTTTCGTTTTGTTATCATTCTGAACATGAGCTTTTGGTTTCCTAAGAACTGCTATCCTTTGATTCAGTTACCTCTTTTTATTTTGTACGTGTCTTGGTATTGTTGTTGATGTTGCTTTGTTCAGTTGTTTTTTTTTGTTCTTTTTTTTTCAAGAAGTAAGAATGCTCTGCCCTCCGGAAAAAACAGAGGTCACACTTCGCCCCCTAACCTCAAATAACGACCACCTCACGACAAAGTCTGACATCGTGCATCCTTTTGTTTTCCAGTTATTTTGTTGTAAAACTTATGTTCATTATTCATGATATCAATATTCTGGTTTAAGCAAATTAAGACAAGACAGGTTGTAAATCCACAAGCTTTCGATTTTTCAGTTATAATGTTTCGTTAAAACGGGAAGAACGAAATTTGAAATAACAGTGGTAGAGTCACATCGGCCAAAAGAAATTATTGTAGTAATAATCAGTCTTTTCAGACTTTATAGGCTCTTCATCTCGTGACTGGCAGTTAGTAAAAACGTAAATAATCTGTGAAGATTTGTTCCTCAATCAAATGTCTCAGTCTGGTTCGTTAAAACTGTGTTACTTTTGCCTTTATCACGTTTTCGGTACGAAATTTTCGTTCATTTACTAATGAACTGAATCGAACGCTCTTACTTTGTCGATGGATCGAAACTGATCAAGAAGAACTTGGTGGACACTACGCTAATAGATTTACCGCAAACAGTATCAAGGCAAGACAGACCAATCAGTTTCAGCGAATTAGCATTTGACTGAAAAGCGACTTATCGCTAAATTTGTTGACGACTTTCATTACAGTAGTCGAAACGTTACTGAATAAATGATTTCTTTGCATTGTCCAGTCTTACAGAGATAAGAGCTACTAAGAATTACGATGGACCTGTTATCGTGCCTCGCGCTTGGCTGTTTTACTCTGGTCACTAAGTTCTTCTTTACCCTTTGTGGCTTGATGCCTCTTAAATGTGCTCAACTCGAGCCCAGGGTCATTTCGGCTCTTTGTCAACGGTATGGGCGTGTTCCTCTAATTCTAATTGATCAGCTTAGATCCATGGCTTCAGTACATTAGTATTAGTGACTTTAAGAAAACCACGACGGCAACGGCGACGAGACCGTGGCGGAACAAAAGGTCTAATGAGCAAAACAACAACGAAACACGTGCATTTGAAAACTTTGCACATTTCTTCGCCGTCTCATCCAGAACAAAAACCAGATTCGTGGAAAGGGGTTGCTTGGAGGGCCAATAGTTTCAATGGTTATCTGTGACAATTTACCCTCTACATTAGAAAACGAGGTCAGGATTGAATTAGCCCGGTCCTGCACCTGGAGAATCTGGGAAAGGGAAAAGTTGACTCAACTGTGAGATGTTGCTCTCGGTCTTAACCAGCTACTGAACAGCAAAGGAGAAAAGAAGGGAAAGCTTACATGAATAAACAGACAGAAGGACAAAGCCTGATGACGGACACGGAAATTTTTAATTTTGGCGTAATCGGCCGCACATTCACGATTTTCTCGCCCATCGCAAAGATATTGCATAGCGTTACATCTGAAATTTAGACACTACCTTCAGTGTGCATCAATGACCTTTCAGTCAAACGAAAGTTAGAAAGTAAATGGCGTCTCGAAAATATCATTTACCTCAATTCACCTTACTTCTGTTTATTTTTGCAGCAGGTTTTCCCATTGAGAGACTTAAATAAGATTAGATTTTGATCACTTTTAATCATTTACATATATGTAAATTGTTGATGTGAGACGTACGATGACAGAAAAAGATCCGAAATCATAAAGGTCCCGTGGATCAATTTCATTTCCCCTCCACTTCAAAATTACATTGTGCACGGAGGAGAAGGAAAATTTTTCAAGCACTCCTTACTGATGGAGAACACAATCAAGTGAGTGCACTATTGTATGATTGCACGGTTATCGCACAATCCCGATTCCAAAGTCTGCAAAATGTAATAACTTATATAAGACCCTGATAGACAACATCTAAAGACAGGTCAAAACGTTGGGGGTCAAACGTTGTACGCTTTGAGGGTAGTACGTAGCATTGGCCAAGGAAGGGAGTAACTTCTTCACCCCACTGACTGACCTTTTATTACCGCACTCAAGTCTCACGTAAGGAAGAAGGGAATTGGAGACTAGCGTACACTTGTACAATTTTAATGTGCGCAGTAAATACTGCTAAATGGGTTTACAGACTAAAGAAAAATCATTTACATTGCAGAAAAGTAAACCTACCTGAAGACTACCTTGAGCTGATTCCTCTGTATTGTACAGCGCAACTTGTTCTGCGCATAAAAACACGTAATCAGGCGAATAAGCGCGCGCGTATTCCGAGAAAACGATATTGTTTTTCAATCAATAGACCAGATAGAGGCGTACGATGGTCTTAAGCTATGAAACGAGCGCATTGACTTATATTTTTATTGCAGAATTTTGGTGTACAAATTATCTCTTTTAATTTTTAGATTAATCATTCATCGATGGAAAAAAAAAAAAACTGAAGGCGTTCACGAAGCCCGTAATTCCATGATGCAAATTATGACCTTGAAAGCAACGACTCGAGGAACGTTATGAATCGATGTCGTTTTAAAATTGCATGATTTTCCCGCGAATTATATATCAAATTGTTCCTTACGCTCGAGATTTTTTACCAATCATTTCTTTTTCAAATGTCACTTTAATAATCCTTGCTTCCAGTTACCGCAAAATAGACCGTAAACCAATGAAATATTGTGCCTGATTTATACCAGTACTAACGTAGATGAGGTGAGTTTGGCACGTCATATTTCTTAAACAAGGTAACCTTTCCTTTTTTTGTCGTATTTCTCGATACAGACATTTTTGGAGAATATTAAAGGACAATTTCAAAAAAAGAAATTCGATGACCTTTATTTATAAGGAATCACCATAAGACAACCCCGCCGAATGAAAACAGATCAAAGGGCTAACGCTCGGAATATGAGGTTTAGAAACTCACAAAAAATCGGTAATTCTTTGTGCTAGAAAGGCATAAAAATCGGCGTTCTTTGTGCTAAAAAGGGCCTTTTCGGTCGGACGAATGTGTATGTCAAAGAGGAAGGAAACGTTTGGCATTTAATACGATTTTTCTCGTGGAACTTTCGTTCCCCTCCGGACAACAGTATTTTTTGTTTTTTTGTTTTTTCGGGCATGATTGGATAATAATAAAAATAAAAAAATGATAATAGTACTAATAAACTTTGTTTACCGAGAATTACATCCATTAATGATAACTCAATAGTTAGATAATCTAAAACTAGAACAAACCAAAGTAAAACGAAGAGATAAAGAAGTTTGATAAATTGAAATCAATATTTGTAGTAAATATCAAATGTTTAGTAACAGAGCTTTTTCAGTCTCGTTTTTCTATGAAGGTCTCTTAAAAGGCGCCTCTGTGACTATGTATCTATAAGAGATGGTTCTGTTCCGTTCCATCGACGAGTGGCACTGGAATGGAATTTTCTGAGGCCTTGATTTTTCTTGTTCATAAGCATGATAAGATAATTTTTTATTTTTGAGGTTCTCGTGTAGTGTTTTGACTAACCTTAGTGTAGTTAATATAAAAGGAAAGATATTCTTAACCATGGTCATTGCCGATTTTGTGAAATTGTGCGAATGATGTCGTCAATAGGAAGACAACCTAATTTAGTAAATAATATAACTGAATTGTCCTGGAAATTAACATCTAGCATCACTTTGGCGCAGCGTTTCTGTAGCCGTAACAATTTATTTAACTGTTATTTTGAACAGTTACCCCATATTGTGCAGCAGTATAGAAGAACTAGTTTTATAAGGGAATTATAGAGTAATCGAGAACACCAAGTACAAGGTGAGGGAAATCAGAGTTTATTTTTCCGTTTGCCTTAGCCGTTAACGTCACTATAAAAAAACTCAAATTCGGTAAGTGATGTATATCTATGTCTACTACGGCAGACTTCATCCTCTGAGAGATCATCTCTAGGTTAAGATATGGAGCCAACACGGGTTTTAGTGCAGTTTGTAAACTCTAGCAATTTGGAATATACATAGTTTTGAACTGTGGTCATGATGGCATATCTTTGATCGTTCACATCAACACGAAATAGTTAATGAACAGAGATATTGCTGTAGAGTATGAGGTCGTTACCAAGAAGGCGTCTCCAACGGAAGGGGCTGGTGTCGTGCTTTGTTCACGGCAGTTGGACTGTCGGGGAGGTAAGGGCTTCGTGATCTTTGGAATCGGATATGTGTCCTTGTTAGGTCTCTGGAAAGGAAATAATTAACAATAGTTCAAAGGAAAACTCAACGCTGTACACTTACTTTCACTCCTCTAAGGAGGTGGCAGACTTACTGTTGCAGACTGAGTCAGATTGAAGATAAAGAAAACTACGATTACCATGAAAATTATGCCTATAGCCAGGCATCTACTTTCCCAGATTAAGAGGGTCCCCTCCACCCAATAGACAAACACACACACCCATGATCATACACCCATTATTTGTCTTGTTTTATCATTTCGACATTTTTTCATGCACGTTATGTCGGGATCTCATTAGCACCCTCAAGAATTGCACTGTACGGTAATGTTAACTGTAGCGAGTTTCGTTCCCCCTAATGAGTTTACTGACCGCGGGACAATATGTGGAAAATGTCTCTGCTTCATCAAATTTCTTCCTCAAGTCAGACACCAATTCCTTCGTCCATGAGATATTTGCCCCAATGAGAGGATTTGACCATTTTGACCCCTTTAAGGAAGGGCTAGACAAAGGAAAATTAAAGTTAAAAATAGATTGAAACCAAACATTGCGTGAAACAAGACATGCTATACCTCTACGATTTAATAGACAATCTTTGGTTTAACTCCACAGTCATGTTCGCTTCTTTAGGTGTTATGGTGTGTGTTTTACATCTGCTCCGAGTTCTTCAACTCTTTTCGTATTCGCAAACATTTCTTTTTGCAGTTTGCTTTGAGTTTTGTTCTCTAGGCTGTTATAAGGATAATACTCTGTCAGAGAGTCACGTGCTTAAATTCATTTGTTGGTCAATTTTCACTGTGTTAGTTGACTAGAACGCCAATGAGATTTATCCAGCTTCTTGACGACTTGGCAAAGAAAGGATGCCAGTCATGATCAACGCTAAATGTTCTATTACCTTCAAGAAACTTGCTGGACGGATCAGTTCTATTCACGCGAAGAATGAAATTCGCGGATATAGGCTATGATAGAGCCCCTTGTAAAAGAAATTCATTTTCTCCTTTTAGGGGGGGGGGATACCTCAGCACGACAGTAGAGGATTGAACAAAATACACAACTAGCATATCTAGGAGATAATTACAATGCCCCGAATACCAACACTTCAGTGTTAAACTTCTTACTTTATTATTTAGAGACAGTACTTGTGAAATTAAGTAGGGATGGGTGATTATTCAGTAAAATAGCTCCCAAAAACAGGATTATTATTGAGAAATGCGAAAAAGGTGGTTTCCTGGAGGCAGACCAGATCTACTATCAACTTTACTTTAACAAGTATGTATTAATTCACTTACAAGTGTTCTTTAACGAAGTCGTGCACTGGCTTACGTAGGGTGCTGAGGCAATATGCTGTAGCATTCACCATTCGAGGATAGTAAAACATGTAATTCAGACACATTTCTTGAGTGGTAGAGATACCAGCCTGTAAGAGGAAGAAGAGTACATCATCTTTTAGTCTGTCATGAAGCATATACAGCAAAAATCAGCGATGGCATGTTTTTATTGCAATCTCTTGAAATATAGATTGAGAGAGATGTCACTGTTAAGAGGAAACCAACACCTCGGCTGGCATAAGTCTGAATTCTGAATGCCGTCCTTATTCTTAGAGAGACTACTTAGTGATTTTTGAGGGCTCAGATATCGCACTTGCCTGCACGAGTTTATCGCGATCCATCGTCTCGTATTTGCAGAAATGAATTAAGTCGTCCCCCTGAAGGATAAGAAAGACGTCAGTGAAGAAAACGAAATGTGTGGTGATCATCTGGAGGCCAATTCACAAATCTCGATCTGATAAAAACAATCAAACACAAATTAACTTAATCTAACTTGATTTTAAAAAGGAACGTAAAATAATCATATACTATGTTATTCTTTTATCAGATTTTTTCCATCGCATTTGCTCATTTAAATATTAATTTGAAATGGTTGCGTGGAAAGCTTGAGTGCATTGAATAAATCAGTGGGACACATCGTCTAACTCATATTAATTATTACGCGTTTATGTGCTGAAATCAAATGTAATTCTAAGAAAAAGTGACACTTAAATCAAAGTTTTCTCAAACCGGTTTGATGTGAGCCTCTTCTCTTAAAACTTGTATATCCTGCGAAACAACAAGTGAAAGTTCACTTTTGGAAAATGAATAAATGTTCTTTTAATGAGATCATTTCGCAGCGTGGTAGCCAGCAATGTCCTATGGCTCACGTAGTAGAAGATATACTAAGGCACTTATTGGAATGTATCACGTTTCGACACCCGAAAGGAGCACTTGAATCTTAATTACTTTTTCCCCCACATGCAATCGCGTAATTTCTCAGAGAATGGCCACAGTGCTCAGTAAGTTAAGGTTATGGTTATAATATGACTTCCGTAAGCGATAACTGGCAAGTAGCAGAGTTATCTTATACGATCGCGATAATCATTGATGTTGTTACCGACTGGGTAAAATAAAAACATTTATATCGAAAATTAGTGGATTCTGGATGTCGTGAAAAAATTAGTAGTTCCGATTGGACAAATTGATTCAAGTGAAATAAAGGACAAGTTGAAGAGGGAGCAGCATACTGTTGCAAATTGTTTTTTGAAAGAAGCCATGTGTTATAATTCTTGTGCATTCGCCAGATACTAATGGTGGATCTTGTGCCACACTATATAAATTACCTGAAAGTTAAAATCATAATGGTCATCTCTCGCAATTTCTGGTAACTCAATTCCATTGCGAACATGCTTTGTCCATGTTGCACGCCCTGTGGATGAAAACAAAAACTCAGTGATATTTAAGTTTGGCTCCATAATGACGTACGACTGTCAACAGAACATGGAAACATAAGACAGACAGGCGTAAATATAAACAAACAACAACCACCACTTCTAAACAACAAAAGCAGCGCAAGGTCACTTACCCTGCAGATGGGTGTGAAGAAGGGCAGCAAACACTTTTATTCCTTTTTCAGGGAGCTTAGTCGCCTGCAAGTCTTCCTAAGAAAAAAAGGTGCTTTATGTTGAATGCAGAAGTAAATTTATGACACACGTTCCTAGGCACTGTGCGAACTTAAATGCACCGTGAATAAAAAAAAGGTGAAATCATAATCTGTTAACCACCTGTGTTTTGCCCATTTTCGGAGCCAGCTTCACCATACTGCCATGCATTGTTTTTTTTTCTGTTTTTTGTTGTTTTTTTTTTCATTTTTTTTCTCTGTATTTTAAGAAATTATTGTGAATATTTGAGTTACCTGATAGCATTCTTTGGGGCAATAACCCACAGTTAACCAAGATTCCTGTTTTGGTGGGATTATCGCAAGGTCAGTTATATCTTCTCCAACAGACATTATTCCAGCATCGTACTCACGGAGATGAGAAGTGTAGTAAAAACGAACCCCTGAGCTGTCTCTTCGTCCTATTTGACAAAAAATAAAAGATATTTAGGGAATGAGATATTTTATGGCTGAGGGCAAAAAACGACACCTCTTAATACTTTTTCTCCTTAACTAAAAATGAAAACGAATAAAAAAAGCAAAATGTGAGGTGCCAACCTTCAATTGATTTGGGATTGTCGTAGTGTAGTTCAAGCAAAAGTGTTCTTGGCGAGTCCGACGTACCAACTGGATACCCAGCCTTAGGTGGATAATAAAATGCCTATTTGATAAAATATATATATATATTTCTTTAGGAAGAGTAACGAAAAACCTTTCAAATTCAAAATGTTTCAAATTAAAAGTTCATTTCCCAAGATGAGCAAGTCCAATTTATAAGTTTTATATCTTACCGTACCACCAACAGCCCAAGCAGCAACGACACTGTAGCCGTAACAATGTCCTAGAGGCATATTGGGTGTTTCATGACAGTCAAAGCCAGAACCATGTAAGGTAGCATTACTAAAATTCCCATAACATTCGTAGACGAGTAAATGATGCACAATGCCTTCGTTTCCAGGTGTTACATATGGCTCAAACTATAAAAGAGGAAAAAACTGAAAATTCTTCGAAAGCGACACCAACATCAATAGTGGAACGCTTTACTTCTACTTAATGATTACTTAATACGAGGAAATCTCTAGAATGCCACTAAGAACCAAAACGTTTGTGAAACCCTGGGCCAATCGGCACACCTTTCGTAAACCCACCTTAGGTTCTTCCCTATTCCTAGATATTTCGTAACCCGCTATTAGCTAACCACTCAACTTTAAAGTGGGGCTTTTTCTGACACGACTAATAATAAGTTATGCATTAATGAAATGTCAAAAGTTGTTGCAATGTCACGAACTCTCACCGGCTACGAACTTGCCTTTCCTTGAAGAACTCAGTTGAAGCGTCTAAACAATATGTTATCAACACATTTCTGAAAATGCAAGTTCATAATTTTTCGAACATTCAAGTTCATTTTCGTAAGAATTTACGCGGTGGCCTTCTGCATTGATCAATCACTAAACCATAAGAAGAGATAAACGGATGAAAACAGGTTTTATTGCAATGTTTTGCACTTCTGTACTCACCTTTGTAATATGATGCTTTGATTTGAACTCGGGTAGTTGGATAAGAGAACACCAATAAGTCGTGCGCTTTTTAGGAATCGTTATCTGAAAAAAAATGTATATCTCTGTTTTGAGTAGGCCTCAAACTCCCTGAATGGACACTACAATCTTCGCTTTCGATAACGTTCTCCACTATTTAAAAAACTAAAAGAAGAACTTTTATTTGTAACTAACATTTCTATTTGTGACGTAAAACTGCTTCCATCCGATTTCGTTAACTTGTTTTTTGTCCATGTTGTTAAGAAGTAGAATGCTCTTCGACCCGCGGAATGTATGTTTCTTCACATCGTCCTCAGACGTGGGGTCCTCTACATGATATGAAAACACAACCTTAGTGGTGCCTTCCTGTAAAAGAAAATGAACCGGGAAATAGCAATTTACTTGATTTGCTTTGAAAAAGAAACAAGAAAACATAATTAATTAGCGCTGAACAGTTGAATGATGTAGCGATAAATGTTACATCAACATGGTATACAATTTATTCAGACACAGTGACACTGCCTTTAAAAGGCAGTACAATTACTTTTTTAGCCATGATTAAACATTTTGGCTGAGTTGGCGGCAAAAAAACGAATAGGCTATGTTAAGGATTACCTCAATCTTCCTGTCACGAGGATCACAGGTGTCAAATTTCCTACTAAATCTCAACACAGTTTTCCCTTCGCTTTCCTCAAACCCAGTTAAGTTGTAGTTGTTTTCTTTGTCCAACGGTGGACAGCTTTGGGCATCAGCAAACCGGTCCTTCAAAAACAAGTCAATAAAACGAGATCAAAACTTACCGTGGTTATCTATTTTTCTAAGCCAAGCTTCATTCACAGCTTAACTGCAGACTATTCTGTAATGAAAAATGTACAGCTTTGAAGGGCCAACTCTTCTGAAAAGACAGGTAGTTGCTCCTTTTTGATTTCGCTTACCAATGACAATGTATAATACAAAACTGTTTTGCATAACTTAAACAACAAAAAAATCTTAGATGCATCAGTTTACTGACCTTGATATACAGGCAGGTTAGCGTGACAACGGGTCAATATTGTGCTGATACTGCTCATAATGTAAACAAAGTTCACAGAAGAGCAAATCTTTGCTTGAACAGCATTTAAATTCCAATGTTTCCGTGCAACTACGAATACTTCCTAAATTTAGGCACTGGTTTGAAAGTATTGGAAGTTTTGATCCAAATAGAAATGGCTAAAAATGCAGTTTTTAACGTCGCTTTGGCTGTTTGTTTATTCATCTAAATCTGGATGCAGTGATGGCGTTAACTCCTTCTTTTCTTTGTTAATCTTTTCTTTTCTGCCTAGAACTTCATCGTGACTAATGTCCTTTCGGCAAAAATTCTCTTACCGTCAGGTAACCCTTGGAGTCCTTCACCCATCCGATAACCATGTCGCTTCCGGCCATATTTCCATTACCCGAAGAGATGCCGAAACCAACCCACCCTGTTGTTGCTGCCTGAACGGCAAAGGATACGGTTTTATTTTCCCAGTTCACCGTCCAGAACAGTTTCATTTTCTCGTAAGAATCTAAAACTGCTTCGTGAGCAAACTCAGCAGACAAATCAGCGCCATTCGCCGGGACCAAAGCTGAAATTGCTATCAACATTAAGGAGAACATGTTGCCGGCTTAAGCTTGCTGCCGCTCTTTTGGCAACTAAACCTGGAGGACGTCACTGAATATTACGTAGATCGTTTTGTTTCTAAGAGACAGATGCACGTGGGGATCACTAACTCATTGTGATTGGGCCCACACCTTACCCCACGACCTCTAGAACTGCCCTCCTAAATTAGGAAACTAAGGTCAAACCAACGCTCACGGCCATCCCTCCACAACGACCACCTCTTCGCACCGAACATTTTTATTTTTCCCTGAATGACAGTTCACTTGGGCCCTTTTCCCTCTTGACACTCTTCACAAGGTAAAGGCCGCTAAGGTGCTGCGTGAATGCTGCATAACATCTCCATGACCATAAGATAATCACTAAGTGGACGTTTGACAAAGTAAAATGCGTGACAAATCAATCGGGCACACAATCCTTGACAGTGTTATACAGAGGCGTAATAAATGTCTATGTAACTAAAACAGCTGTTCTGCAAACTTGTATCTAATCATTCTATATCACTCGTTTCGTTTTGTTATTATTCTGAACATGAGCTTTTGGTTTCCTAAGAATTGCTCTGCTTTGATTCAGTTACCTCTTTTTATTTTGTACGAGTCTTGGCGTTGTTGTTGATGTTGCTTTGCTTAGTTGTTTTGTTTTGTTCTTTTTTTTTTTTAAGAAGTGAGAATGCTCTGCCCTTCGGAAAAAACAGAATTCACGCTGCACGTTCCCTCAATTAACCGCTACCTAACGACAAAATTTTCGTTCCTTTCTTCCAAAGTTAGACTTTGTAGAGAGGTTCGAACTGATTTAGATAAAAAGTCCACGGCTACCGGGCACTAAGAAATTACAGAAACAAGGAGATAAAGTTATTCTCTAAAGAAAACGCTAAGGCCGACTACATCAGCACACTTATTCCTTCGATCTTCAACAGATTAATGCGCTCATTTCGGATTAGAAATGGCAATAATGTGCTTAGGGTGGAATCTGACAATGGCAACAGCGACTCTGCAAGATGAACAGTAATGAAGGTGGATGTGAAGATAAACTTCCCTTGCTGCCTGGTAGTAAGTTCCCTTGATTAAGCCAGAACTTCAAACGGAGGATCAGATAGATTGAATCCCCAGTACCATCTTAATTGATCGTGCCTAATGACATTAATATCCGTGTTTATAGCTGGAATAGAGAGCAACTTATGTCCCAGTTTGTTGATGCCAACTTTTACTGAGAAGCATGAACTAGCGATAATTTGTTGGTTGTCAGGGAGGGAGCACAATCTGTGGTTGGTTTAGTGCGACCTCCTTATATGTCCGAGATTTCCGAGGGTGAAACTACGACAGGAGGCGTGTAATCTTTGTCGTGTTTCCATCATTTTAAAAGGAAAAGTTTGTGTAATTATTGCATTAGTAGTTTCACACTAACAACACACAAATACCCGATACATGCTGACTGGATAAACAAGCACATGATATATAAACTTTGACAAGAACCAATCAGGATAAGACTAACTTTTTCTCTTTGATTCAGTCTTCGGCGAATCATGATGCATTTCTAAAATAACCCATACCTTATTTCATCATGTGAATTCTAGTCTGAAACACGTGACGTGCTACAACTGAGACCGGATACGCGCTGTCTGATACAACCTGTCTGATAAGATTGAGTATTCTCATTACCTGTTTGAAGATTTGACGAAGTTACAGATTCATCACACTTCTCGGAGTGAAAGGGTTAATGACCTCTGCTAATTACCTAGGTAAAAAGAAAAAAAAAATTTACAGAGGTTGGCAGCTATGCTGCAACAACGCCAATGCTTTGAAAACCTGAGTAGTATTTTTTACTCGTCTTCTGTTTAACAAGACACGCTAAATATAGAGATTCAAGTGAAATGTTAATGATAACACCGCAGGTCACTGAAAAGCACATCATTAACCGAGAAGTTTGCCGAAGAATTGAACGAAAATTTAAATAGATCAACTGACCCTGTTCACGCTACTTTTACGAAATGAGTCAGAGTAAATAAACCTACCGTATTTCACTTTAGCGCTCAATAGTTTCTACTTCTTTTGTTCTCTTTGAAAACCCAAAGGGTGTTTGCGCTAAATATTAAAAGTTTGCAAGGTCAGAGTTACAGCTGCCCTAAAACCACATACTCTGCCTTATCAACGAAAAGTCCAGACACCCCTTTGAGGTTTTGTATTTCGTTCAATCCCACTTTGAGGGTTGTAGCATCATCACCTGGTTTTACAGGGTTGTGTGACACAGAGGTATGCGTTAAACAAGGGTATTAAATGGAATTATACTTTTTCGGGTGTAACTCTTATCACTTCAACGCGAAAATTTTAATAACACAGAATCTTTGACTCAGATTAAATCTACTTAGAAATGTTTGAAAATAACACATATTGAAGGAGCTTACGTTTCTGAATTCACGGAGAAAACAAAATGGGGAAAGAACGTTTATTTTTGCGTAAACCTTTTCAAAACTTTTGATAGAGTCACCACTTTTCCACTGCAGCACAAGAATGATTTTGATCAGTAAGGAAAAAATATAGGAAACCCAGAAAATGATAATTACATTTTATCAAAATAATGACAGATGCGCTCACGTGTTTGAATGAACCAAAGACACTGTGCATCCCCTTGTTTTCCATTTATTTTGTGGTCAAACTTATGTGATATCAATTTTCTGGTTTAAGAAAATTAAGAGAAGACAGTTTGTCAATCCGCAAGCTTACGACTTTCCAGTAATAATGTTTAGTCAAAACGGGAAGAACGAATTTAAAATAATAGTGGTAGAGTCACATCGGCCAAAAGCCCAATCATTTGAAATTATTGTAGTAATAATCAGTCTTTTCGGACTTTATAAGCTTTTCATTTCGTGACTGGCAGTTGGTAAAAAGTAAATAATCTGTGAAGAGTTGTTCCTCAATCAAATGTCTCATTCTGGTTCGTTGAAACTGTTGTATCACTTTTGCCTTTATCACGTTTACTATACGAAGTTTTCGATCATTTATTAATGAACTGAATCGAATGCTCTTAATTTGTCGATGAATCGAAATTGATCAAGAAGAATTAGATGGACACTGCTCTAGTAGATTTACCGCAAACAGTATCAAGGCAAGGCAGACCAACCAGTTTCAGCGAATTAGCATTTGACTGAAAAGCAACTTATCGCATGAATTTGTTGACAACTTCCCCTAAAGCAGTGGAAACGTTAGTTAATGGTTAGCTTTCCAATCGAAATTTATTTGCATTTTCCATTCTTACAGAGATAAGAGCTATAAGAGCTATGAAGAGCGTGTTATCGCGCCTCGGGCTCGGCTGTTTTACATGGGTCACAAAGTTCTTTTTTAGCCTTTGTGGCTTGATGCCTCACGAATGCGCTCAGCACGAGCCCAAATTCCCTAAAGTTAATTGCGTCGTGATCACGGCAAAAGCAAGAGGCAGTTTACCTGTCGATTTTCATCAGCTCTTTATGGACAATTGCATTGTGGGAACTATTGTAAGGGAAACCAATCGCTTTGCGCACCAGGTTTTGGCACAGAGAAGCAGGGAACCAGATTCATGGAAACAGGTTTCTGTGGCGGAGTTGAAAGTTTTTCTTAGACTACCAATTGCTATGAGTATCCACCGCGCGCCTAGTTTGAGAGAAAACTTGTCAACCGATTGGGTTTTATGTGGTCCGGCTTTCTCGAGAATAATTGCTCGGAACTGATTTCTAGAATTTTATACAATATTCATCCTGGTGATAACTCCAAAATGTCCTATCGTGGAGATAACAACCTAGGCAAACTATTTAAGGAAAAGAATTCCTAAATGATTTGAACATCAGCTTTAGGTTGAATTACAATTCTCATCAAGTGCAAGCGCTGAACGAGGCTATGATCAAATATAAAGATCCAAAATCCTTGGAGCAGTATTCGCCAGTGAAGTAGATCAGCCGGGCCATAGCAATTTGCTGGGGGCAGATAGTTCCAATGGTTATCCGTAAGAATTTACCCTCTACATTGGGAAATGAGGTCAGGATTGAATTAGCCCGGTCCTGCACCCGGGGGAATCTGGGTAAGGAAAAGGTTTACTCAACTGTGGGATGTTACTCTCGGTCTCACACCAGCTACTGAACAGCAAAGGAAAAAAAAAGGGAAAGCTTACATGAATAAACGAACAGGAAGACAAAGCCTGATGACGGACACGGAAATTTTGTATTTTAGCGTAATCGGCCACACATTCACGATTTTCTTACCCATCGCAAAAGTATTGCATAGCATTACGTCCGAAATTTACATACTACTTTCAGTCTGTATTAGTGATCTTTCTGTAAAACAAAAGTTAGAGAGTTAATCGTTTCTTGAAAATATCATTCACCTCAGTTCACCCAATTCCATTCCAGGAAATTCTAAGTAGATTGCAGTTTTACCATTTACATGTTACAATTACTATAACTAATATAGCGCTTCTTGATAAATAAAATGGCTTAATTTCTCATTCTTGTAAGCTTTTCACTGTCTCTTTATAATCAACAGTGAGTAAGTAAGGAAGAAGGGAATTGGGGAATGATAATAATAATAATAATAATAATAATAATAATAATAATTTAACTCTTATATTGCGCGCTTTCCATGACATGACCAAGCGCGCATTACATGATTTCTATCTATGGCAATTTAACACAGGGTATCTAACTGATAATTATTTAAAATATACTATGATAAAATTAAAATATACAACATATGTTAAGATACTAGTAATTATCGTGATAAAAATGAATGAAAAGCTTCCCTAATTTAATGGCAGGGTATCTAACTAATAATTATTTAAAATATACTCGGATAAAATTGAAATATACAATACATGTTAAGATACTAGTAATTTTCTTGATAAAAATTAATAAAAAGCTTCCTTAAAAAGGTGCGTTTTTAAATGGCACCTAAAAATCCCTCGATCTGTAATAGAACAAATCTCACGCGGTAAAACATTCCGGAGTGCCGGAGCTGCGACTTGAAATGATCTGTCTCCCAATGTAACCCTACTTCTATAAGTTGGCGTTGCAAGCAACAAACCATCCG